CCATAGTTTTTTTTTTCGCGATAGCTCCGAACACGCCGGTGATAGAGAGCTGAAGCTTTGCATACCTGAGCTTTGAATCAAGCCGGATCTTTTGACGCCAGCCGCATTTTCGGGTCAGATCAGGTCACTGACCCATGAGGTCATAAGTGAACCTCTGCACGGTCTTCAGATGTCGCAACTTCGCAACGCCCTCACTGCCAGAGGAGATTTCACAGGGAAATGAACCTTGGAGGACCTAGTATCTATTTGGAGTTTGACAACTTGTACATCTCGGATTTTTCCTAAGGTCATTTTCGTGACCTCACCATTAGGTGTAAGTCAATGGGGATAAACTGAAAACTTTTTCTGGCGCTGTAAACGATCTTCAACTATCTCAAGCACACTGAATCTTTCATGCACTCCTTGCAAGGTTCGATGCGTCACTTTTGCAATGTTGACCTTGCGCGACGTCATTTATGAAGTTATAAGGGTCATATAAGTTTGTCGTCAATAACTACCGATCAAATTGAGCTAGCGAGTCGGGGAAGCCATCAATGGACTCAGGAAGACCTGCCGCATCGAATGATATGCGACATGACCTCCTTCGACCAATTTCGTGACCTAAGGGCGCTGACCTGACCGTGACCCGTGGTCAACACCCTCAGTTTACCTCACCCAAACAAAAAGTACATCATTCGACGCGCCTGGGAGAGGCGAACACGATGCTGGCAAAATTGCGGCTCTGCGGCCGTTTTTTTGCGAAGTTATTCACCAAAAACGGAACCGTGCCTTGAGGCACTTGACCTGACCTCAGAGGTCACCGGTTGACCTAGAACCTTAAAATCGGGTATCGATCTCTGCGTCTTGTAACGGCGCACACGCTCGTTTTTCCGCGACGCGCTAGCTCAACCTGGGGCGCAACGGCGAGGGGGGTCGTACCCGCCCACCGCCCCCTCGGCCGGCGCGTATGTAGAAAACCTATAGGTCCGGTCCGACGAGGGTTAAACTGGCCTCTGATGGCCCAGACCGACCTCTAAAAGTCCCACACCGGTCTCTGATAGTCAATCAGCCCAGTTGCAGTGGTCGCTGATATAAAACCTCTTAAAAACGTTATAGGTCTGGCTGAGCCTAGCTAGGCCGTTCATGCTGATTTTTATAGGTATATTGAAAAGACTCGCTTTGCACGTTTCACGCTTGCTCGTAATGAAAAAGTTGCTGGATGCCTCTGGAATTTGCATGGGTGCCAACGGCTGCGGAGGACAGGGGAACGCGTCCATCAGTTTGAGTTTATGGACGGGAGTCTCCCTGAAATTTTAACCAATTTTGTTTTTGTTTTTGTCTCGATTTTTTTAAACTCTGATCATGTTTGCGAAAACGAAGTGGCCGAAATCCGAGGAGAAATCGGATTTTGGGGGTAGGTTAGGTTTTGGACCTCTGGGACCTTGCCCCCCCCCACTTTCGAAAACGTTCCTACGCCTATGCGCCACTGCCCGTTTCAGTTGTCACCAGAGTGTCGCTGGGGAGACGACCCGACCGAAGTTCTCTCCCCGGCATCGAACGAATATAGCTATAGCCGACAACCACGAGTATCTAGACGGTAGACCCGATTACCAAACGAGAAGCTGAGCTCGAAACCGAGCCAAAACGAACTCTGCAACGCTGTGTTATCGGCCCAGCCGGGCGTGCACGAGTCGCCGTGCAGACAGGGTGCTTGGGCCAGACAGGCGTCGTCCAGGACGCAGCGCGGGTCGGCGGCCGTGTAACCGGGCCGCAGCTCGCAGTGGCAGCTGTAGCTGGGCCGGGTGGCGGCGCTGCGCCTGTAGGTGCCCTTCCTGCGGTCCGCAGGGCGCGCCCAGTCGGCACGGGTCGCGCGGCTGCTGACACAGCGGCCCACAGCCAGCGATAACCGTGGCGGTACGGGACCGCAGCGGCCACCATAACAAGACCGCCACACTCCACACAGGTTAGCCTGCACGCAGCTCAGGTCGTCCAGAGAACGCGGCTGCAAGTTGCAGCGCGTCTGGCAGCTGCAGCTGTCGGCGACGCTACTGCGCTCGGCCCGGTGGCCAACCTGCCGATATTGGAGCGCCTCACCGTCCGCCCACGGGTTCAGAGGCTCGGCACCCACCAGTTGCGGCCGGAGCGAGAGTGCGTTCGCGTCGAGCACGCTGCAGCGGCCGCGCAGGTAGTACAACACGTGATGCTGGTTGTCACCAAAGATGGCCGTGTCAAGCCGCTGGCCCAGGCGCTGCCGCGATTACCGGTGCGCCGAGCCGGCCGAACAAGCACCAGCTAACGCCCACTGCGGCAAGTGGCCTGCAAACTGCGGAATGCACATCCCTCCACTCAACATCTTTTTGAGCATGAAAATCGTCCTTGTCCCAAGTGCCCCCCCCCCTTCCCATAATGGACAGCTGCATCCGCCAGTTAGTTTTTGCTAATATCATAAAAAGGTAGATATTGGCCAGCCTCTGGCATCAGACACCAGCGCCCAGAAAAGAATGTACTTTAGGGGTCTGAAGCAGAATCAGTTGCAACTCGCAATTGTAATAATTTGGTAAAGCAGAGTCCTGATTGGTTCCAGTCCACTGAAGTTCTACACAGTCAGTCTGCAAGATTTATTTCACAATAATTACCTGTGAATTACACACAACACAAATGCTATAGGCAATGGGTGCCTTAGCACTGAGAATATTACCTTCTGAAGATGGAGAAAAAAGATAAGATATATGTTCTATGCAATTCAGAATCAGTAAAAAAAAAAAATTCAAGTTAGGAACTGCCCTTGTAAACAGGTACCTATACAATGGCACTTGGCTTGGCAACACAGACTCACAGTTAAACTTGGGTGATAAACAAGGTACTTTATTTTCTTATTTTGGATTATTTTGGAGGAGATTTTATATTTTGGTAAAAACTGACCTACATTATTCACACAAAAACCATAGATAGGTATTCATTTCACTGAACATTATCTTCCATGTACAAAGACCCCGTTCAAAGCCAAAAGTTGGGTTTTTGCCCCCCAAACCCAAAAGACTCATTGTGCGTAAAAGCAAATCTTGTCACCAACCCCAAAAGCGACTTCTCACTAAGGTAAGGTCAAAAGAGAAATTTGTCCCGAGTTCAAAAATTATTTGTCGCTAAGCCCACAAGCTGCTTTAGTCACTAAAATCCAAAGCTATTTTTCCTCTATGTCCAAAAGCAAGTTTTGATCCTAAACTCAAAAGTAACTTGTCGCTATGCCAAAAAGCGGCATTTCCACAGTCAATTTTTTTTGCTAAGCTGAAAAGCCGCTTCAGCCCCTAAAACCCATCAGCTATTTTTCTGCTATGCCCAAGAGCAAATTTGACTCAAAACCCAAAAGCGAGTAGTCGCTAAGCTCAACAGCGAAATTTATCCAAAGTAAAGAAATTATTTGTCGCTAAGTCAAAAAACTGCCTTAGACCCTAAAATCCAAAAGCGACTTTTGACCCTAAACCCAAATGTAACTTCTCGCGAACTCAAAAATGACATTTGCTAAATAAAGTCAAAAAATTATTTGCCGCTAAGCCAAAAAGCTGCTTCAATCCCTAAAATCCAAAAGCGACTTTTCCGTTATGCCCAAAAGCAAATTTTGACACTAACCCCAAAACTGACTTGTTGCTAAGTTCAAAGGCGACAATTGCCCAAGTCCATAAAAGCCTGTCGCAAAGTTCAAAGGCTGGCTGCTTTTGACCCCAAAATCCAAGTGACCTTTTTCCATGCTCAAAAGCAAAGTTCATTTTTGTCCTTGTCGCTAAGCCCAAGTGACTTACCTACTGGTGGGTCAAGAACTTACTTTTGGCCCAAGACCAAAAAAGCAAGTTTGTGCGGTAGTAGTATACAGTGGTGGATCCAGCTCAGTTTTTTTTTTGGGGGGGGGCAAACCATAACAATTTATTGATTCTTTCCATGCCTCGTCCATAGGCGTAATGTTAAAGTTATGCCATTTGGGAGGGGAAAATGCCCATTTTGCCCCCCCCCTCCCTGGATCCACCACTGGTAGTAGGTATAACAGGCATCATGCTTGTTTTTTTTGCAACCAAGGGGAGGTGCTGTAGGTTAGGATGTAGGTTGTGGGTTTCAGGTTGTAGGTGGTAGATTTTAGGTTGTAGGTTGTAGATAAGGTTAGGTTAGGTTTAGTTATTTTTGGTTTGGTTAGGCTTGATAAGAAAGCTCTCTGGGTATAGCGCCTCTCCTCGGTTGCAAAAAGGAGTGTGACGCCTGCTTTGCGACTAACGTTTGTGCAATATCAAACACCAAGCATTTCACCTAGATATTAGGTAATTTACAAATGTAATCCTGAGGCTGGATTCAAACGTTAGCAGGCACTAAATCTGGATACAATACCTACTACTAAAGAAAATACATGAATTGCGCCAGGATTTAACAAATTGCAAAAAAATGGAACAGCCATTTGGCTCATTTTTGAAGAATAGTCATTCTTACGAGTAAAAAGACAATTGTATTTATATTAAGTTCTTGTTTTACTATTTTCTTGTAATATTCATATCATCCAGATAAATATTCAAATAAATATTTTCGATGTTACCTTTTTATGATAAGTAAAACATTCAAGCCGATAGGTAGGCATTTTCAGGCATTTTATAGGTATTTAGCAACTGCCGAGACCAAAGCGACGCGGGCAACAAAAGAAACCGTGGGGATAACGTCATTTTGAGTCATGAGATAGACATAAATGGTTTTAAGTACAAGGCATCTGCACATTTAACACTCAAAACAATTCAAATTAGCATTTTTATTGATAGACAATTGCCTAGATCTTACCGTCGAAATCGAAGCCGCCCAGCGCGCGAATGGCGGACTGGTAGTTGATAGAGCTGGACACCAGTACTTCTGGATGGGCGTGTTGTCATTTGAAGGTGCCTATTTACTACCTATTTAAAAACGCTAGGTATGAATTTGTTATTATTTAATCTACCTGCCACCCAAAACCGAAAACATCAAAATATTTGCAATTGTACATGCAAAATACCTACCCATTCCATCATCACAAAGTACCATCTCTTTCATACGTCATCAATATGGCACAGCAGAAAGCTGAAATGCCCGGCGGATTTGTGTGAACGCGAGGGAAGTCACGTGACCTTGAGTCACACTCTTTATGGCAAAATCCAGTAAAAAGGGGCCCATCTGATATTTATACAGACGTTATATTACGACATAAGGAAGGCGTTGTGATGCTCAGCATAGTGGTGCCCGATTTTCGGGCACCACTATGCAAACGGGCACCACTTCGCGTAGGTGTATCGGACAAAGGGCACCACTACGCTGGTCTTACAAACGCACACACACACACACACACACACACACACACACACACACACACACACACACACACACACACACACACACACACACACACACACACACACACACACACACACACACACACACACACACACACACACACACACACACACACACACACACACACACACACACACACACACACACACACACACACACACACACACACACACACACACACACACACACACACACACACACACACACACACACACACACACACACACACACACACACACACACACACACACACACACACACACACACACACACACACACACACACACACACACACACACACACACACACACACACACACACACACACACACACACACACACACACACACACACACACACACACACACACACACACACACACACACACACACACACACACACACACACACACACACACACCACACACACACACACACACACACACACACACACACACACACACACACACACACACACACACACACACACACACACACACACACACACACACACACACACACACACACACACACACACACACACACACACACACACACACACACACACACACACACACACACACACACACACACACACACACACACACACACACACACACACACACACACACACACACACACACACACACACACACACACACACACACACACACACACACACACACACACACACACACACACACACACACACACACACACACACACACACACACACACACACACACACACACACACACATGCAAAGCAAATAGATAATGCAAGGCGTAAGGCGAATTTCAAACAAAAAATAAATTACGTGAGCGTCACGACTCTTCTTAGGAGAATAGTTTGTGGCTGGACCTGTAACACCCTGCAATAATGACAGCAGAAAATGGCCAGGAACATTATTGCGACAGAGGACAATAAGATTATATGGGGAAAAACAAACTGCAAAATATACAACACCGAATCCAATAGAAGTCAATATAAATAAATGAAGCTGCAAAAATGCAAACAACATCAAACATATAGCAAACCGTTGCCTGATAGCATGCCCCTAACAAATATGAAATAAAACATGTGCAACGTGCTGCTACGATGATAGGTATGCTTTTAACGGCGTTTCGAAAACAAATTGGCGACGGTACCCTGCGCAACCGTACAATGTCCTACCGTGCACCGTACTACCGTATACCGCACTATCGTGTACCGTACTGCCGTACACCGTACTACCGTATACCGCACTATCCTGCCCCGTACTGCCGTACACCGCACTACCATGCACCGTACTACCGTATACCGCACACCGCACTACCGTGCACCGTACTGCCGTATACCGCACTATCGTACAACGTACTACCGTGCACCGTACTACCGCACATCGCACTACTGTGCACCGTACTACCTTGCACCGTACTACCGTGTACCATAGTACCGTACTACCGTACTGCCGTACACCGTACACCGCTCTACCGTACAGCATACTTGCGTACACCGTACCGCGACAAATCGCCCTCATGTCCGTACACCGATCTCCCATAAACTGTACTTCCGTACGCCTTACCGTACACAGTACTACATACACCGTACTACCGCACCGCACAAAGCACTATCGTACACCGCATTACCAAACTCAGTACTAGGTACCGTACTTCCGTACTGCCTTACTACCGGACTACCGTACAACGATACTACCTACTATATATCATGCATACACCATACTAGGGATTAGGGAATGTATATCAACCCTTCCTTACGCCATACAGGTACAGCCCACCGCTATAGTAATGTGTGGTTTTACCAATCTCAACGGATGGCTTTGACTGGCGATTTTTTAATGCGGAGCGATCGAAAAGAAGAAGTCAATAGATAAAGCTGCAGCTGCAAAGGTGACAATGCACGTAAGCTACATTCAAAGTTTAATGTAGTCTGGCTAATCCTTCCTAAGCTTCAGAAGCAGAACATACCCATGGCTGAAACCGCACATTACTTCTGCTGTGGACTGACCATACACTGTATTCTGAACTACCATATTTTCATACAGTGCTAAATCATAGACCTAATGAATGAAAGTAATTATCCTTCTTAATGTAGCTTTTACTTTGTGTGTAAACAGAGATAAAAACAACATAATGCTATGCAGTTGGAAAGAGCTCCAGCTGCAAGCCACCTTGCTACTCACCTCATACACAAAGAACCAGGCAGTGTAGAAGATGCCTATTCCCAGAAGCAGGGTTGTGAGATGCGGGAAGATGGAGGGGTTCACCGGCGAAACAAAACGGCTCATCTGCTCAATGTCCAGCTGAAACAAAAAAGAACAAAAACTTCAGAATTAAACAGCATCCGAGTGGTTTCTGATACACTTGGGATTGCGGAATGTGTGATACAGGTCTAATGTGCAGCACAACTATGTTCACAAAATTTTGTCTTGTCTAGTCTTGGGGTAGGACACATAGCTTCACAAGGCCAGTCCTCCGTTGTCCACCGCACCAAGCATGTTCACAGAAAACCCCATGTTCCAATGTTTGGCTATGAAATTAGATAGTGCATATTACACAGGTTACATACATAATGCAAATGTACACACATGGGGTATGCCTATGTTATATGCTAGTTGGTTGGTTTGGGTTAAGTACCATATCCGGTGATCCAAGGTACTAACCGGATTCCGGAACTCCCACGCTGTTCCAACTTCCAAGCGGTCAGACAGTGGCAATGCATTGCCTGGGAATCAAACCCAGATGGCTGAATTTAGAGGCGAGGAACTAACCCTAGACCAGAACGCTCCCCCTATGTTAGTACGAGCGAGCGAAGCGAATTCTTTTCAATATTACGGAAAATTCTCAGTATGAGCGGCCCGACCCAGCCTGTAACGCTTTGGAGAGGCATTATATCTCAGTAACCGTTATATCTCAATAACTGCTGCTAACAACTGCTGGACCCATTGTCCTGCGGTCTTTTTTGTTGGAAAGTCCTATTCCTTCTACCCCGTAATTGACTACTCTTGATACATTTCAGGGGAACGTCGTGGCATGTGCCACGTGAAAAGTCAAGGGTGTTCAAACATGTCATTCACCCATTTTGTTTGCGGATGAGACAGCATTTGCATTGCAGCATTTGCATTCACAACCGTTTCTCTTTCTTTCTTTGTGAAGCATTAGCACCAACTAGGGTAGACTTGTCGAGTTTCCACAACAATTCACATGCAGACGCACAACACCAGTTCCCTGACTCAAGGCCCACCCACTGGCCCCAGCTTGTGTCCAACTACATTCTTTGGAATTGGCGCATCTCTGAACGACTTGGGTTTCCCTCCTTCTCACTCCTCTCCTAAGAGCAAGGCTGAGGAAACCCAACAGGTGAGTTAAACAGGTGAGTTAAGCTGTTTTGCAAAAGTAGTGATCTTGAGAGGCTCATATATCCGCAGCTGCTTGGGCGATTATCTTGCAGTAATTTTTGTAGGGTAGCTGCATCCCTTCACCTAAGGTCGGATACTCCTGAGCTCTGTGAGTGACCCCAATTTGTTCCCATTTCAATAACTCGGTAATTACTGGGGCGATTTCACTTAAACTTGGCATACAGGCAGGCACCTACCAGGCGATGCATGTCCATGTGTTGCAGCTAGGGTGCTACTGCACATGTGCAAGCACAGGGGGCGCTTCCAGATCTTGAGAATGGCTGGGCTGATTGCGCTCAAATTTGGTACACAGTTGGGGACCGGTTAATAGGGTACAGTGCATAAGCCACTTTGGACCCCATTCATTGGAACATGCGCACATGCAGAATGCCGCTTCCAGATCTCATTAATTGCTGGGCCGATTGAGTCCAAATTCGGCACACCACTAGTGACCTATTAGAAGGGTGCTTTGAGCAGGCCGGATGGAAGTACCCTCTCACCCTTCCGCAATCCAGGGCTCAATATCTTGCTCCTCGTTCTTCGCCCCAAAGGCGTTTAACTGGCATATACATAAGCAATCTCTAAATTAAGTTATCCAATGGCATGATGTTCTTTAAATGAAAACCACCATACACCTACATGAAGCTTATTTAGTTTACATCAGTTTATAGTAGGCGAGACAAAATTTAAGCATTAGGCATTCAACGACCCGAACCCTAAGAAAAACATAACATACATACCATGGTTCACTCTATTCAGCTCAAGTTCTTCAATTGCAATAAGCAGCAATATTAATAAAATATATGCTCTTCACACGCGGTGACCGCCCCGTGGCTTGTTTGGTTCCAAAGAATCAACAAAAAATCACACGTAGGCAGCCTGCCGGCTTGGGAAACGATTTTGAGCTACCATCCCACTGCGGCTTTGTGACGTCATATTAATTGTCCAATGGATTAAGAGCTTTTAACATATTGTATCATAGTACGCCGTTTTATCCTTTTCTTTGGATGGTTTTCCTAATTTTTATTATAGCATTTTCATTTGCACGTAAAAGAAACTTTTATGAGCAAATATCACACAACTTCCTCCATTTTTGATTCAAATTTTAACAAATTGACGTCATTAATCTTATGACGTCAATTCTTATTAAACTTTATTCTTTTGCGTATTGTTTAAGGATTTATGTTTTAAATGGCTGAAATTTGGAAAAAGAGAAATCTATTTTGATGACGATTATTAAAATCAATAACCAAATTTTACCATTTATATATTTATTTAATATTTTTGTTGTCATCGATGCATAATTCATTTTCATTTTATACCATACAACAAAAACAAATTGCGTATAAAGCTAAAATTAATTCTTGACGCAATCAAATTACAACCTAAAAAATTCACATATTGTCTCAAACGCGCCAATTACGATGACCATGGAAGAGGAATGAATACAACGGTATTTATCTATCGCCTTATAAATATTGAAATAGGCGTGGAGAGTCATTAGGTTTGACACATAAGGCTCGACTATAGCTAATAAATATCAACATTTAACGGTACTTAATTTGGTCGCCGATCGGGAGAGGTGGCCGTGGGGCATGCAGTTGTGAGCGCCCTTGAATTACAAAAAATACCAATACAAGTTAAAAACGTACGTTTGGCTTACATAATTATCTAATTATTTAAAATCTGCAAGAATTTGAAATATTTATTAAAAGTGCCAAAATTCGTGTTGCGGTCTTAAGTACGTGCCCTCTATTTACCTCTCCAGAACGCCTTCCTGACCTTTCATTTACTGGGTGATAGGTCGAAGGCTGGTTTTATATACCTTGGTTAGTAGGTTAGTAGGTAAGGTGAGGTCAGGTGGTCAGGTTAGATTGTCTTTTATCTAGGTACTCAGACTTCATCTTCACATCTACCCAAAAATTGAGAAGAGGCTGGATTTCTGGGCAGTGGGTATGACATGGTTGGCTTGACAGTCGGGAGTCGCCTGACCCTGAGCAAATACTGATAAGGTATTTAAATTTAGAAATCTTAACAAATATGGTTGGTCAGAACCACTGTCCATTCAATAAGAAATCTCACCAAAATGTTTTAACTTTTGTCTGTAATGCAGGATCCCTGGATAGGACTTTGAAGTTCTCTGACCTGCAAGCTGGCTATGATGCATCACTACATTCCCAACTCAGTTGGGGAAACTACGAGGAGCCAAACAAAAAATGGATTAGCCAATCAGCGGCTGGAGTGGGCGGGGCGATGACCATATATGGTCATAAAATCAGACAACTTCATCTTTTCAATGAATTTTAGCATTCAAATGAAAAAATAAGGCATAAGAATGTTTTTTAACCACACAAGACCTACACTCACCCGGTGCATAATTAACTGGCGGCTCTAAATCGCAGAGTTACAACGCAAGGTCAAACCGTGATTGGCAAATATGGCGGATTGAAACAGACGCGCCAAAAAATGTAAGCAGTACCGTGGTTTAAAAATGTCATTATTTTTATTATTTTGTTTATGGTTTTTCTAATTGTAGTTTAGTTATTATTTTAGAATTAAATATTTTTGTTTATTGTAATTAAATTAAATCCTTTAACAATTTTCCTTCATAAAACCAATCCATTTATTGAATGGCCAGCTGATTGTGACGCCCAGAACCTGCAAAAAAAACCGTTTTCCTATCGCCATTTTCGAGTCAATTCGCCGAATTTAATCAAATCACACTAATTCCTAGTGAAAAATGGAAGCCTTTTCTCTCCAATAAGTGGACGCGATACCACAAATACCGGCTTGTTATACCGTTTTTCACCCTTAGTAGCGGGGGCTGCATTTATGCCCATATATGGTCATCAAAAGTCCATTTATTGACCAATCCATTTTTTGACATTCGCCTCGTAGTTTCCCCAACTGAACTGATAATCAGTTGTGATGATAATTTGGGCTTATGTTTGTGGGAAACTTTGTTCGGGAATTAAGTTGTTATCCTCTAGAACAGGTTGGGTACCTATACCTAGGTACCTAATATTTAAGTCCCATTTAGTGGTTTCTATCTGAGTCTCACAATCGTGAAATCTACTTTTTCAGAAAATGGCTCCAAAACCAAAACACCAGAAGACTTCAAAAGGAAAGGAACACAGCAAGTCAAAAGATGAAAATGAAGTTCCCATTAAGCTTGATCACTGTGCTTTGAACTTTCCAGAAGTGCTGGCCATAGACCATGAGTTCTCACTCCCAAAATACACAGCTGGTAAGCCAACATTTTGACTTAGTGGATGTCCAGATGGGTGCGAAATTCGAAATCAGGTGCAAAAACTACCCTGGGAACATTTAAAATTCGGAAAAGTTAACCAAGGTTATCAAAGGTCAATGACTGACCTGACCTTCATGTGACCTTTGACATCCACCATAATACATGGGACCAACATCATTACACATGTTTGAACGTTTACAACCACAAAAAGACGAAACGTGCGGATAATGCGAGCTGACTGACATACGCCTAGCTCTCGAGAAACAGGTCAAAGGTCATTTGGGTCAGGATCATGAAATTTTTAGGGTAGGAGTAAAATTGATTAAATCGAGGGTACTGAAAGTTTCGTCGTGATCGGCCGCTTTTTGCGCGAGTATTCGCGAAAAAAAAAACGAGGGAAGGGGTCCATTAAGTGCGAGGGTTAATAGCATATGTATCGGGCATCCATCTTGCTTCCATGTAATCACGTGGTCACGGTAATGTGCGTACTGCGTAAATACGGGTATGAGGTGTCAAATACGATAAATACGGTGTCATATCCTGACAGCTCTCACACATTCCACTTCGACACCACTGCTAGCTATCTTATTGAGTGTGTATTTTCTGTCCAGTGGTGTCGCGTCCCGACGGCTCCATTTCGATGGAGGACGTGGATCGGATTCAGCTCGAGCTGGAGGCCCTGCTCTCTGCGGCCACCATCAGACGCAAGACTCTCAGCGCCGAAATAAAACTCATCAACAGCCTCGACAAGAGACGCAGCAGGCCCATCACCACGGTACGGTGCCATTATTTTCTAGTTCGGTGCGATGATTTTCGATACAGTGCGATCATTCCTGGTGTTTCAATTCGTTGGTGGTTATTGATTCAGCAATATTGTTTTTTATTACGAAACTTTAATTTTATGCTTCATTACCATAAGGGACAAAAGGCGGTGTGATTACCTACTGACTACTGCACCTAGTAGGTACAAGCAACCAAGATTCCTTTACTACTCAGGTTGGTTCACTAGGGAAATAAAGGCGCCGTGGTGACGTAATCAGAGGAAATCCTTCACATTCAAATGAATGGGTCATTTGAGTTGCAGATTTTGGCTCGATATGGTCCTACTTTTTTAGTTTCAGTCCCATTTATCGTAATGAGGCGAATTCATTGTTACATTGGTACATCTTTTGATGACATATAAGCCTTGATCTTTTCTCCAACTCGCCCGAAAAATGATGAAATTTGCATGCATGCCTATGGGTAATGGAGATTCTGCCGCCGTGGTGACGTCACGGTAAAGGAATTCTGGAGCTCGTGAACGGGGGCTGCAAGCAACCATATATCCTGTAAGTTACCTACCTAGTATTAGCCCTTCGATAGCCAGCTCACGTGAGTTGTTTCAGGTGGCGCCCAGCTCTCCTGGGAAGCTCAGTAGGAGCGTGGACCGGCCCGCGAAGAAGTTCAAGGACTCGCTGGGCCGCGCCAAGGACGCCACACCGCTGAAACCGACCAAAATCCGCATCTCATCCGGGGTATGTACGAAAACAGCTGTCATTGTTCTGTCCGTGTCCTTCTTATGTGCTATCGACAACTCACATCAAATCTTGATACGTTTAAGCTATGCGTTTCAACAAAGTTTATCTTAAAGTGATGTTTGTAGTCCCTGGCAAATGCGCTTACACTTATTGATCAGCTGGTGAACAAAAAATAAGCATCGCTAACCGAACCGTGTCCTTGCTGGTTTCCACAGCCGAGTCATCCTCCGGAACACAGTGCAGACATCCTGCCGCAAATCAAGGCCGACCCGTGCCTGCCCTCGCCGCCCGTCAAGAATGACGTGCCCAACAAGTTCTGGGCGGCGATGGAGCAGTACTGCGGACCCATCACTGCCAAAGACGTGGAGGTAACTGTCTGCGATTTTTTTCTTTGAAAACGACGGAAAGTTTGTTGCTCAACTTTTCAATAGCTACCCATCATGTTAAAGACATCAAAAATCAATAAATTTTGGACACATGCGCATTTAAAGCCGGGAGCCCAAATTATCGTCACTTTTTCAAAATTTAGTCCCAACCTTTTGAAGAGGTGATACCAAGACATTATTTCTACCTAACTTGACAATACAATTTAACATATAACTTAACGATAACATAACTTTGTTCATTCAAATTTTCATACTGAGTGATCTCCGTACGACCGTAGAGTTTCGGTAGTCCGCTCCCGTTGTGACGATCCCCAGCGGTCTGACTGTTCGCCGCTCCTGCTCAGATGCTGGAGCGTCTCAGTGCCGAGGAGGAGGACATGGAGGAATACCTCAGCGCTCCTCCGCTGGGCAAACACTACACCCTGCGCTGGGCAGAGGAGGACGGCACGGCCGACGGCGAGTCGGGAGACGACACCGACTCGCAGAGCGGAGCGAAGGCGAAGGGAAAAGGGTGAGCAGTGGTGGGTCTGGCTGGGTTGATCCTTATTCCATGGTGGTCGACAGATATGGTCTGTTTCCGTGTTGTTAATTCGAGTCTTTTGTCTTTCGCGTCTTTTGAGCGTGTTAGATTGTGCGATTCTTGTATGCTGTAGCTTATCCGCTCAGTTTTTTTTTTCGGAAACACTGGTGAAATTTACGTTCAGACTTCTCATCATTCGGGTCTGTGACAACGATCCCTCTGAGTGATGTCAGTACTGGTAATGGTGACTGCTTTGACCCACTCATTCACCTCTAACCCACAGTGATGACGAGGCGGCCGGACTGGGCGCCCTCACCCAGCGCCTGGTCTCCGGTCTCGTAGAGGAGAACTCCAACGCTGAGGATGCCACCGAGACTGAAGGCAAAGGTGAGAATCTTTCCTATGTAATGCCCCTACGGTAATAATTTGGGTGATGATGCTGTTCGTGTAGTGGAGTTTAAATGACAATGCTTCTGAAATCAGTTAGTTTTGGCCTTGTTAGTTCGCATTTCGTTTCGTTGTTTCAGTTTCACTTCAGTAATCAGTTAGTTCGTTGTTGGCTCCTGAACGCTATATTTTCCTATTTGACTGTCCAAAGGTTTCTTATACAGTCATATTCTGACGTTTTACCCTCCCCAGAGACGGATTCGGTGGTGGCGCGGCCGGGCCTATCGTCCTCCGTGCAGCTCAGCACTCCCGGTCAGCTGGAGCGACGGCTACGTAAGGAGCTACAGAACCAGGGCTTGGTGGATGACTCCGACGGGCCCAGCGCCGTCGCTGATGATCAGGTGAGGGAGGGGGCCGCCGAGCGAGTGCCGAGCGGTGCTGCTGCTAGTTGGTGGAGTGGCGTGTGAATTAGCTAGGTATAGAGTTGTGTGGTTGGGCTAGATAAATAATTTGAAGCCATTTAACGAATTACCAATATTATTCTGTTGTATTGCTGCGTCTCATCTACTTGATTATAGTAATTTCCGGCTCTAGTGGCGCCATCTGATCGTCCCTCCCGTTACTAGGTTCTAGCTGAACTGGTGCGACATAAGGCTCCAGTGTCGCCATCTAACCGTCCCCTCCCGCTATCCCAGGTGCTGGCTGAACTGGAGCGGTGTCAGGCGCGCCTGCGAACCCTCTCAGCCCATAACGCCAGTCAGCTGGAGCGGCTGCTGCGACTGGCGAAAGCGGAACTTCAGCGACAGGAGCTGCGGGAGAAGCTGGCGGCCACTGATGCACAGGTGAGGGGAGAGAGAGTGTTGAGAAGTGGGAGGAGTGACCTGTGGAAGGAGAGCGGCCTCTGATAATTACATGGGTGGCTGCAGGAGGGGGAGGGGATGTTCAGGACGTGAGACCTGGGGGAGCGGGCATCTAAAACACGAGTAAGAGATGAAAAGAAACCGTTGGCGCAAATGAGAACGTTTCATAAGGGGAGGAGGAGGCACATGTATTGCGGAACAGAAACGAGCTGGGCTTGAACTTCGATTTGCGAAGTCTGGTGACGAGATTTTCGCCTTCTGGAATGTCGGTCGCGGTGTCTGAAATGCAGTTTCCACCTCTCGTCGTTAGATGGTAGCACCAGCTGGGGTATTTACTACAGGAGCTCGCTACACCGCATACCGACCACATCAACACTGGGCTCGGCGATGTGCCGGTCTTTCCGGAGCTCTCAGCCAGCCTAATTCGGAGGTTATGCTGGTTTTGAGCCGGACTGGATGGCATTTGCTGCATCATTGAGTGGTCAATATTGGCACTTGACTATTTCATTTGACATTCATTCTTCTTGTAAGATATGGTTAGATATTGGGCGCGCAGAGGACCTAAAAGTTGGTCAGGCTAAAAGGTAGTTTGATTACGGATTGGACAAATGCTGAAACCGGTAAAATATGGTTCCATCTGCTGCAACGATTGGTGACGCATCCATGCTAGCGAAGTCATGTTGCTTATGACGGTTGTAAGGAGATAGTGCAGTGGTCCATCTACCGCCTAATACCGGATACCTATATCGCTAGTTTTACTTTTGCCTTTCTTTACTAAGTCAGGCGACCATTCAATTTTATTCTCTGCTGTAAAAAGAGGAGATCGGTGGATTGACGCCTTCTGAAAGCTTGTTCAACCGGATTTGGTTTCGGGATTTCCTCACCTGCCTTCCACTGTTGATAAGATAGGATTTGGCTTGTGCCATCTTCCAATGGATTGGATCTCAGGTGCTTTGCGTTTTGGCTTAGCGCTTGAAAGGCGTGTTTTATTCTTTCATGGTCGCTTATTCAATATTCATGCCATTACCATGGAAAAGTCTTGGTTTTGTCTCGGCAGTTTTCGTATTCCAGTAATTTTAAGCTACGAGGTATTAGGAAAAACTCATTGGGTAGGAGAAGGAGCAGGAGCCCCCCCCCCCTCCCCCCGCCCCCCGATGGGCTACATAAGCCCGTTGGAGGGAAGGACGAATAAAATCGATATCGTTCTTTCTCCTAGATTTCGCGACAGACATTTGAGAGGTTAAGCAAGGCACTTCATGTTGCTCTTATGTAAACATTGAAATTAATAGTTGTATTTAAGTGTCACTAAAATATGTGGTGTAGCAAAACATGTTACACCAGAAGAGAGAGGTTTATTGCTAAGACTGGACTAAGATCGCTAAGCCTGGCGGTACCCTTGCAGCTTTTTTTACAGGATAAACACTAATACCTATAATCGCTTATCGCACTAAGCCCAAATGTTGACTTACTCTGTAGCAGGCACTTACGTAATGCCTCTTAGATAAACAAGCGGCATGGAATTGTGGGATTAAGGATAATTTGTGATGTGTGCGAGCCCCAAGCGCCAATAGTTGAATCCCCTGTGCGCTTTTTAACGCAAATAGAATTAACCCTGATTTATTTTAATTGCAGATTTAAATGATTAAATCGATACCATGCCAAGAAATCAGAAATTTCGAAAAGTAATCCATTCATGAATTTCGATGTAGGTGTTGAACACTGAACAGTTTTCGAATTTTTCGAACGTAGTGCGAAACTCATTATCAGTGCATTGCACAATATTTCCAGTTACATTTTAAACATGAAGGAACCCGCGGTGTGAAATAAATTCCCCGACTCACTGCAGCCTCTTTCTAGTCGCTTCATATCATAGGTTCATATTGCATGGCTAATACACAAACATTTCTTGTCATCGCGGGCATAACTGTCCATCTCACTGGCAGGCAACAACCCGCTATCACCTGCTCCGCTAGCCCGGTTCTCGCTCTCGCTCGCGTTCACCCAGCGCCGCTCAGGCAGCGGTGACGCGTCCGATGCTGGTAACCACCTGCACACGTGCAGGTCGGAGGATTAGTCACGTGCGCCCCCATTGGCCCCGTCCCTACCCTCGTGGTCTGGTGAGACCGGTCGAAAGGATGCGGTGTGGTCCGGTTTCGGTTTTTGGAGCTGAGAAACTTAGGGAGGGAGGCTGGGAGTTGGGATGGGGTCGGAAGGGAGGAGAGATTTGAAGGGGATTTGCCCCGTGTCCTGTGGTTGATTGTGGTTGTTTCAGTTCTGAGATTTGATGGTGTTGAGAGAACTGTAGCGCCGAACCGTTGTTTTAGCGATTGAAGTAACAACGCGTCATGTAGCTATGATGTACCATGTGCGGTATATCCGTAATGCGTCCGGATTCCAGTTTGATTTTTTATAAACAGTTACACTGTGCAACTTACGTCATTTCTTGTGCTACCAGTGACTATTTGTAACCACACCAGCACCCTCGCTATTGCGTGCTGATTGACCCATAGTAATAAATCTATCGTCGCATTCTTCCCCCATCGCCTCTTCCTCCCCTGTTCAGTTTATCTCCAATAGTTCTGGGCGCCCTCCCATATTCTGCCCCCACCGGACCGCCCCCTTGCGCATTTCCCCACCTTCCCAGCCTTTTCGTCCCCAGCTCCCCACATTCCCCCGCGCTCACCATCTCCCTTTTTACTCTTCTTCAGGTGCAGGAGGCGTACCAAGCAGTGGCGGCCGCTCGACAGCGCAAGAAGTCACCCTCAAAGAAGGAGCGGGAGGCGGCCTGGAAGGCGCTCAAAGAGCGAGACGCCATCATAAAAATGATGGACGCGCTGTAAACGTGCAGCTAGGGCGTTTCTACTCATCACGGGACCCGCATAAATCCGGCCAGGTCCGAATCTGTGCGGGTGGAAAGGCTAGCCACTGGCGGCAGCAGTCTCCAGCCGCCACGCAGACAATGTGAAGTACTCTAACCAAGGTTGTACGATAGGTTATTGTTAGGCGTCCATAGCGCAGAGCGCGGCATGACGGTCTGGCGCAAATCAAGACAAAACTGATTGACCAAGACTACACGTTCTTCTATACCGGACAGTATTTTTGTACCGTTTTTTTATGTTGCTCTGGCGAACCGGTTCAGCATCTGTGGCGGTCTGTAAATATCCTCACATATTTCTCTTCTTTACATGAGTATCTTTTATTTAAAAACATGTTAAGAAGATATAGGCATCTCGAGTTTGCAGAGTGACCCGGCCGCCTGTTTCTGCAGTAGGAAGGCCTCACGTGTGTCTCGCATGGTCAACACCGCTCAGATTTCTGAAACGGTTCTGAATAACGACTGCTGCTTGCTTTTGACGCTGGGACTCCTCTCGGCGGTCAAAAGGCCAAAAGGGCCGATCTATGGCCAGAAGAGCACGGTACTTGGCTTGGATGACGGTGGCAGCTTGTCTCTGCCACAATAATGCCTCTCTGGTCTTCCTCGCCACACACAGAGAGCGATACCATGTCTGGAGCGTCGCCATCGCTCGCTTCTTTGACTTGACATGCAAGCTTTGTTCTTTCATAGCCACCACGGCACGGAACCTCGCCTTTGGAACACGAGTCGCCTGACGTTAATCTAGCAACGTCGCCCGCTGTTTCGTCATCACTAACAATCAGCGGTACCATATCAGAACCCTTACAGTTTTGATCTCATTACTTCGCTAAACGGTTGACTCGCCTAATGTTTAGGTTGATGGAAGCTGGTGTACAAGTGTAAATGGAAAACTGCTCGCGGTGGAAAGCTGTGTGCAATTCGAATTTCCTCTTCCATGTCCAGTGTTCATACTTTGGGAGTAAGTTTTGCTGGTTGTATTCATGGTTCTGTCCGAACGTTTGTATTCGGTTCTTTGTTTGCATAGCTCGTCGTTTTTTAGTTATTTGTACGAATATGTAATTTCTGAATACATTGTATGGAAATGTATTTTTGGTCATCTCCTTTCTGATCATCCTGAACCTGGCTGCCATCATACCTTGTTGTTCTCTCTATTCAAGATATTTTTCGTTTGAACGTGAAGCACTATCATCATTCATCATATATATTTTTTGACAATTTATCATGCCAGTTTAAAAGGACGTAAGAGCAATGCTCACGATGTGTTTCAGCCTTCTTAAAAGAGTCAAGATTAACTGCCCAAGCATCCCAAGTCTTAATCAGAGAATCCACCTGATAGAGCCATCATTTTTTAGGGCTGAGATGAATCGAAGAATCTGGGACGATGGATTCAGAGGAAATCTGGGCTCGGTAGCAGGCTCGAGTTCGACAGAATGCAAGATTCTTACACGGTTTATTCAAACAGGCTAAAATAATTCATTCCAAATCAAACGTTAAATAGCACACAATTCATCCGTTCATGGAGTGGTTGTGACCAGTCAACCTAGTTAGAATCGCACTCACAATACGTGTTTCGCACAGGGTCTTCAACAAACAGTAAATCTCGGTCTCAACAACTTTAACAACGACCTTCATTACCTCAAATTCACTATAACCGCACTCACTTCTTAAAGCGTCACACCACGTCTATAAAATAGACTAAAACGTTATCACCAGGTTCATCCAATCACCAACAAAGCACAGTCCAGCAGCTGCACCAATCACCATCTACTACACGCACCAGATTGCACTATCACATCTGCGAAAGGACTGGCGACACTCAGTCGTGGCATTATATGTCCTGAGCTACTCTGGATGGTAGTTTCGAGGGAGAACAATGAGCACAGTACGGTCGAATTAAATGCAGTTTTCGACGCGCCACAGACTCGTGCAGCGTGAAATTTGAGCCCAGCGATATTGGAGGTATGTATTCGTACGGGAAGCCGAATCATAGGAACTCCGTGGCAAGCCGCTTTTCCAACCTGATTCTCTTCGTCTCGTACTCACAAAGTAAGGCAGTGACCGAGTTTCCTCTGCGCTTGCTGGCAGGTGCAGGGTATGTTTCGGTTGAACACAGTCATAATTGTAGTTAGCTATCCACCGGAGCTGAAACAGAAACCAAGTCAAATTATTGTCCACGCGGAAAGTACCGCACGGAGGCTATCGCAATCCTTACTTCCCCACAGCCCTCGTTCGAAACAAGATCTGAATGAAAATCATAAATGCAGTACGGCATAGTCGCCACATTAACGTAAACGACATGCGACAGGCAGCACAAGGATAAATTCTGGACCACTAGTCACAGCTGTGCCGTTGGCCCTGACAACTGATACTTGATCCTAGCAACACCTGACACGAGCTGCGTCCTCACACTAGTTTTTCGTTCGGGTTTCCCTTGTCACTTTCTCCAAAAGCTCGGCTGCTGGACGAACCGATCATAATCCGACTCAGATAAATCTCCCACCCATCCATTCGTTGAAAAACGAACACTCATAACTGGGGGGTTACATAAAACGTGTTTATTGAAGAAAATACCAACCTCATTAATGGATAGTTGGCATTAACAAGTGATTGGTAGGGAGTGAAAGGAACGATTGATGAGAAGGCGATGAGCTGATGAGCTAATTTTAGAGATGCACATTGCACAATCCTTATCAGATAACTGAAAGTGACCGCTGATCGGATGAAAGTGATCACTAAATCGGGGACACCCACCCGGCGCGAGGTAGTTCAAGAGGCACGCTCTTCGGGTGCGGTCGTCTGGCTGCGGCCTGCTCCAGCAGCATTTTACGGAATTCCTCCACAACAGCTCTCGGGTCCCGCTCCGGCATCGGGTGACACTGGAAACAGACCATCGGGGCACGTCAGGTCACAAGGTCATGCGAGCAAGGGTCACCAAAGGTCAAAGGAAAATTTCTTCAAATTCGGGTGAAGACGAAGGGTTAGGTCAAGGTCACTTGGGAGTAAGCCAGCATGCGGATAGCGGGATAGTGTAGAGGCCGTCGTCATGAACGAGATAACCGAGATTTTATCGTTCTCAATTAGTGGAACACTTAGGATCACAGCAATCATACCTTCATCGGCGAGATGAAGGCCGCATTGAAGAACACGGTTGGAGGTACTTGATGTACTTGATGTACTTGATGTTCAGGTAAAGAGGACTAATAAGCCCTGTTGGTCCTGCTCTTGACTTTATAAGTGAACCCAACTGGTCCACTCTCGTGCCATAACTTTACTGGCTACTAGTTGAGTACAGTGAGCTGTTTGTTTGAATTTCGTCAAACCTATTCTTAAATTGGTTTACATTTTGAGAGTCTACCAAGGATTGTGGCAGGGCATTCCAACTGTTGACCGTCCTGCTTGAGAAAAAGTGCTGTCTGGTTGCTAGTCTTGCCCTTGGTTTCTTCACTTTATGACTATGGCCGCGGGTTCGTGTATCTGTAGTCATCTGGAAGAAGTGTTCGACTCTCACCCGTTCCATTCCTTTCATAATTTTGAACACCTGTATCATATCCCCCCGGTACCGCCGATGACTCAATGACGGAATATTTAGCGCATGCAGTCTTTCTTCATACGACAGATGTTTCACCTCAGTAACCAGGCGGGTTGCCCTTCTTTGCACTTTCTCTATTTTTGCTTTGTCGGTTTCATATGTAGGGCCCCAGATCACATTTCCGTATTCTAGGAGCGGCCGCACCAATGTTTTATATAGTGGCAAAATCATTGTTTTATTTCTGGCTGAAAATGCCTTTTTTATCAACCCCAGAACTTGATTGGCCTTCTTCGCCACTTTTGCAGTGTGAGAGTGAAATTTCAATTCTTTGTCCATTATAACACCCAGATCCTTTTCTTCTTCCGTAACAGCCATGGCTGATTGTCCTAGCGTATAAGGTTGCAACTCCTTTTGCTTACCAAGATGCATGATTTTACATTTTTTCTCATTGAAATGAAGTTGCCACTTCTCGGACCATTCTTTGACCTTGTTTAAGTCAGCCTGCATTGCATCATGATCGGTCTCAGAGTTAACACGTCGGTATATCTTTGTGTCATCTGCGTAGATCTTCACATTTGAATCTAGTTCTTCTGGTAAGTCATTTATAAACAACACAAAAAGTACCGGACCCAGTACCGAGCCTTGGGGAATCCCACTTAAGATAGTACACCAAGATGATTTCTTATCATTCACCACAACTCGTTGCCTTCTATCAGTCAAAAAATTCTCAATCCACTTCAGTAAATCTCCCTTGATGCCATAAGCTTTGAGTTTGTTGAGCAGTCTCTTATGAGGGACACAATCAAATGCTTTACGAAAATCCATGTAGGCTACGTCGACTGCTCCTCCTTCATCCAACAATAGTGTCCATTCTTCCAAAGTTTCCATAAGCTGTGTTGTACATGACCTCCCTGGGACAAAGCCATGTTGGTTGTCACAAAACAAATTATTAATCATCATGTGGTCTATGATATTACTTTTCACGAATCCCTCTAGGATCTTGCAGGGAACCGATGTCAGACTAATCGGTCGATAATTACTTGGAGCACTTTTGTCTCCACCTTTAGGTAGGAAAGCAAGGAAAATGAAACCGATTTTCACTGGCCAGTCCCTGTGGCTCAAGATGACACGTGGCTTGAACAAGGCCAGAGAGTGAGAAATAAAATAACACGATGTTCCAATCTCCGTACTCTGCGCCCAGTCACATATCTCACCCGGCAGAGCGCCCGGACCCGCTCCAGCTCCGGTATCCGCTGGTCGATCCCCTCCCGTCGCGAGGCGTCGGCGGGATGCGTGGAGAGCCAATCCAGCACGTCCGCCTCTCCGGCCAGCTCCTTCTTCATCGACATCTTGGCCCAGAACGCACTCGCCTCTCGCACGTCAAAACACGCCTGACGTAGGGATGAGGATACTCTAACGTCAATTACATATGGTTCGGGCGGGGCTCTGGGCAGTGCTTTTGCTCCAGTGTCCCAGTGCAAACGCCAAAAATAAAGTGAAGTGTAAAATCCTCCCGCACACATAACAAAACATCTATTATCGCATTTCACAGCTGAAGTCCAACATCACCGCTGTTGGCACCCACCCTTCCCACCCTTCCCTTGCGTCGTCTAGGGCACACCTCACTAAAGCATGCGTCTAGCCCCGTCTGCCTCATTTGCACTGAAACACCATCAGGGTTACTCCAATCCCTTCACTTCTGAGCCACGCCCTCTAAAGTCCAACCCTCCCCCACTTCTTCCCACTCACCCTAGCAGCCAGATGAAGGCCGACTTCGTCCGCCTCCGTCTCCAGAGCGCGACTGTGCGGCAGGTCGCCCAGCAGTGTGACCATCTGCCGGAAGAACCAGTGCGCGAACACGCTGATGCCGTCGTTGGGCAGGAAGGCCCAGATGGCGGCCAGCGGCAGGATCATCAACAGGTCCAGCAGGTGCGCCTTGCTCAAACGCTCACCCTGAAACGGAGGCCAAGACGTAAGTACAGGGGGTCAGAATTGGTGCAATACCTTGGTATGAAGTCACTGAGAAGCGAGAGCCACCTTCAGGCGAGCGGACCAGACAAAATATTACTTATATAAATAATATCTTAGCAAATACCATACATTGTTATTTTCATTTAAATAGTTATAACTAAACCAGCTGGCTCAATGCAAACAGTCGAACTCTTAATTGTTCGACTGTTTGTTAATTTTTCGACAGCTTAATTGTTCGACAGCTGACTGGACATCGATTGCGTTTGGGGAGTGGTGCGGCTTCAGGAGCATAGCTTACCGAGTGCCCCAGGACGGTGTGCGCCATCTCGTGGCCCAAAACACAGCCCAGCTGATCGTCATTGTCGCACATCAGCAGCATTCCCGTAAACACAACTATGTTGCCACACTGCAACAAACATATCGATTATCCACAGGCATCAAGATGTTGTGAAATCGCAGCTATTTAACACGATACAGCGATCATTACACCTATTGCACATAACCAACGACACAATCAGCTCAGGTTACCACAGGTAATCTTTGAGATGAAATGATGGGTGCAAGTGGTGGGATAGACAATAGACATGAAGTGAGGCAATACCAGCTTAATACTTTGAGACTGGCTGGCAGCCACCATTAAAAATATAAAGCAGCACTATAACTCACACATAGAAGCGCACATAAACGAGACCACGCTGGAGCTCAGAAACAGTCTCAAATTACACCTCAACCATCTTATTACCGCAGGACGTTCTGTTATGCCTGATTTCTCAATCTCTGCGCTATGTCCTCTGGTCCACGCTGAGCCAAAGTTAAGTCATATTAGGAGTAAGTTAAGTTATCTTTATCTCGGCGGGGCCGCTCACCTCCATGGCATAGGCGTTGACGTGCGCGTCGTCTGCCACCACAGTGACGGCCCAGTCCCGCTGCATCTCTGCCAGGTCTCTGTTGGCAGACAGGAGACGGTTCGCCACGCGTACCACGGTCCGGTAAAAGCCGTGGTCCGGAGGTAGGGTGTCCATCGCGTGCTCCTCGATCATCTGAGAGGGTGGAGGGGACAGAGTGAGCGTTGTGCACTGGGAGGGGAACACAGTTCGAACAGGAAGCAGAGGCCGACGAGCAGCTTGACGACGGAAATATTAAGATTGTGAATGCAGCATTTACCAGGAGAAAAATCGAGATTTGACGACATTTAGGCACCATACATCATCATTCACGATATGCAAATGATACATCGTACAGCAAATGCCCAGCACATTGCCTATTGCAGTACGCACCATTTCAAAGCCTTCCTGCGAGATTTTCACGATTTGCTCGGGCGTGAAGGCTACGAATCGGGTACGTCCCGTGACGGGCGTGGTCTGAAGGTGCGAGTAGTAGTAGTTGAGCGACAGTCCTCCCACCAGCGCCGACGCGGCTGTCGGGTAAAGCCGGGGTCACACCGGGCCGGGTAGACCGTGTCACCTTGGTGGTCGCGTCACCTTGGCAGCCGTGTTAAACGGTCCGGCGACCGCGAACGACGAGGCATAAGCCGGTGCCGCAAGAGCACGACCTTGGGATACACGCGAAACCGGACGGGCTCTCGGAAAAAGGGCGTGTTGTGTCACGATTTCTTCTCGTATTTCTGGCGGTCTGACATCGGTTACTCAAAGTGCTCGGCGTATGTTATACACAGTAGGTAGTTAGGACTTAGGACAGTTAGGAGTAGCACATATACCGTCAGATAGAAACGTCAAATACTTCATACATTCCAGTTGCTAATAAAACGAGAGTTGGTGAACATAAACGTCCAGTCAGTGCTCACCGGCGATTTTGCGGCGATTTCTGCGCACACTGGCCATAAACACGGCCCGCTTGTTCTTGGGCAGCGCCTGCCACCACTTTCGGTACGCCCTGCCGAAGAGCACGGCCGCCAGCTTGGTGATGGGTCGCAGCACCAGCCACACCGCCGGCGGCAGCGGCGCCGGCCGGGGTGCCGAGGTGCGCAGCGCGGCCGCCCTCTGGCACCGCCCGGCCGGCCCGAGCACGCACCGGTCGCCGCTGCAGGCCGTCAGCCGACCGGTCCGCGCCGCCAGGCCCCGGGCCACACTCAGCATACTGAGTGCTGATGAACGGTGACTGAGCCGCTGGAAAATAAGGACCTGTAACACATAGGTGTTGTAGAAGCTAGTGTAATTCATTCAAACTGTACGTCATGACTTACAAAGTAGCGGTATAATATGTTTACTGGCTATTGCACAATATAGAAAACACTCTCCAGAAGTCCAGATTTCACAACACAATAAGGATATCATGATGATGTCTATTGTCTCATATCACTCAGTCAATGGCAATCAAAGGAATCCATGATGCTGGTCTCAGTCTATGTAAAGAGAAAAGGTTGGATGGAAGTAAGCTTTGTAAGGTTAGGTATATAGCTCCATATGCTGACAATGCCATGCCATGAGCCAAGGCCATTATTTGTTGCAAGACAATGGATTGAACCAGATTTTAAAAAGATCTCACCACTTTCCAGAATTATTCAACAAATGACTGGAAGCTTACACATGGCATTATAGCCAATTGTTGGGCTGATATTGGTTGAATGAGTAATGGTTGTAATACAAATACAACATTACAAACATATCTCCACATAAAATCAGCCTCTTTTCTGAAACATAACCTTTTGTTTAAAAAATAATAACAAAATTTGATTGTGAGAAAATTATTTCTGTTTGAGCATCACAAGCCAGCATTATTTCTAGCTTATCAGGTGAATGGGGATCTATTTTTAATGCTGGTGGCAAAATAGGATCAATATTTAACTTATGCTTAGGACTGATTTCTTCACTTGAGAAACATTTCAATTTTGATTTTGACTTTTTCTGGTGTATGATAATATTTGACAAATTATCTTTCTAGCGGTACCATTCTGATTCACTGGTCAGAGAACTGAGAAGTGTTGCCTTGCTGCGTTAAGGCCAATAAAAGGTCACACTTTTAGGGTATCTCTTCAACATGGAGCAAAATCATTTAATAGAGCGCTCTAATATTAGCTTATTTCCCTGGTAGGTAAGTCACCAACTGACACGGGCAACTACATGCAAAGTTGAAGTTAAGTTACACCAACACAGTTCACTTCCTACTCTGACTCACGATTTTAAATGGTATGCATGAACTTTTGTTTTAGGGCCTTGCATGAACTGAACTATTTTCACTACAATTTTTCGCTTATTCGCACAGCAAAAAAGGAAAGTATGCACAAACTGCCACAATTTTCGTTCCCACTTCAAAGTTCAACTTCCCCCAAGCAACGGAAACGGAATTTCTCGCGTGACAATTGACACTTTTGCGCCATCACTGCCTACCAACTTAGCTACCATATCAGGTAAATTGCTGCCATTTTCTTTCGCCTCGCCATAGATAATAAGATATCAATACAGACAAGGAATCTTGATACAGACTAGTAGACTACATATCTATGCGCTTCGCGGATAGCTTTTTAGCAAACAATGCTGATTCCGATTTTGGTTTATATTGGTTACATGGCCTTGTCCTTATGAAGGTATGTCTTTGGATTCTGTTGACTGATTTGCTTGCTTGCTGAGGCTCTCCGAGCCCGAGTCTTTGACGGTTGTTGACCATGGTTCACTGACTAGACTTCGAGAGCCGAGACTTGAGAGATCTAAAAGGCCTAAGATCTGGTTGACCTGTGCATGACCTGGGTATATGTATGCCTGGGTATATGATCATAGGCGGTGGAACGTGGAACGGGGGGGGGGGGAGGGGGCACCGGGACACTGTGCCAGCCTTTGATTTTGGCATTTTAGGTACCATTAGCCCTATGGGCATTGCATGGAAAGAATGTGACAAAAAGTCGGCAGTGCCCCCCCCCCCCCCTCCCTTCCCTTGAATTAAAGGTGTTCCGCCGCTGCCCGCCACTATATGTGTATTAAGATTATATTATATCCAATCCTGAATATACATATGCAATGCTCATCAACGCCAAGAGAGATGGTGTTTACCAAATTAGGTACTTCCACACAACTACCGCCTATCGAAACGTTGCTTGTCAAGCATGCTTTATTTAGGTAATACCCAACATTTGATGATCCCACGATAGAAACACACGACATCCGCACGTTTTTTATTATTAGGTACGTACATAACAACGAACAATGTGCCGTCTAATCCTCGGGCTTCTGAGCACAGGTAGGCACTGGCTACCGCAGCAGGCCCAAGTGAAAAGGGCAAAAGGTGGCCTGGCCATTGTCCGTCCGATCTATACAGGCAGAGACGAAACGCCGCACGGCCCACCAGCTGCGCTGTCAACCGCCCGCCAACCGCAATGCAATGCTTAATTGCTCATGACTTAGCTCAGCTCAACAAAGGTCTCTCGGTGGCTAGTTTCTCTTATATCTAGCTCTTGGGCAATCTTGGGATGATATCAATGACGGCTGTCATTGGGAGATATGGCGCTAATAATAAACTTATAGCATACCTATTGCATAGCTATAGGGAGATAGAAGGATAGGAACTGAAGTAAATTTTAAGTTAAAACCTAGAACTAGATATATGGATAAGTAAGTACCTAGGGCGTACCAAACTATTTTCCCTTGGAGAAAATGGCTTGAATAGCTCGTAAACAGTCATGAAATTGAAGGTTCTGCCGCAAAGATGCGTCAATTTGGACTTGAGGTTGTTACCTGACCATTGTGATTTCAGGATTTACTGCTGTCATTCATTAAAACAACGACATTTTTCCAAAAACAGACACGAATGATTTAACGCTTCCAGCCCATCTAGCGAAGACGTACCTATTTAGGCAATGTCACATACAATTTACGCTCATTTCAATACTGCACACCCTAATAACTCAAATTTGTATGCACAGTATAGTCAGATCTAGGTACTCCTTTTGCCTCCTGCAAGAATGGACTAGAAGTCGGCATGACATAACTATTTCATAACACAATTCGATTCGATTGCATAAGACGCTCCATAGTCCATGAAATAGCTTAGTCAATACTCATGCATAACTAAAGCCACTACGACATGAGTCTACGGAACGATTGTCCGTTTTGCAGAGTTGGCATGAATTATTAAGGCAAACGTAGCAAAAGTGTATCAAAGTAGAACAACTGCAATGGTTTAACATCAGCAACACAAGAACATCTGCCATCTGGAGTGTAGCATTGATATGAACTGAAAAGCAGCGTTTCACAGCTATATTCTCGAGTAAATACTGCGCGAATCCCTTCCGTCGCCCGATCGTCGATGCACTATAGGCGCTTCTCGCAACATTTCATTCAACTCTCAATCAAGCACTGGAGGTCATAACTCTGAATCTCTACAGGAGCTTGATAAAAAATGCGTGAATTATGTCGACATTAATAAAGGCTGATACATACAATGCATCTGAGCTAAATATTTTGGCATTTTATAAGGTTTGTGTTATTTATGAGCTGTAATTTCAGAGTTTAGAAAATATTCATAGGTATAATCTAACATAATTTCAGCATTCGAAAATGTTTTTTTGTGGATAGGTATACCTACTGCGTCTGAAGTTAAAGTTTTTCATAACAATACCAATGATTTATGTCGAACCATTTATCTTTCGTTGCATGACCTGAAATCTTAAATAAGAGAGCGGCAATTGAAAAGAGCTCACTAATCTTTCGCAGGGTGACGTTTTATCTATAGCAAATCTTAAATGAAATCCGTAAGTACTGTCTGCCGATATTTTACAGTCAAACAATATCGGACAATAAAGTTCTCGAGCAGCACTGACTTCCTTGTAAGTCGCTAAAACGCTTGAAACGCAAAAACGATAACGTCTCCAAGCATAACATCCGGGAATAGGTACCCCTATGAAACCAATCAATCGTAAGCATTGGCAGATCCATATGAAAAACAGCGTACTTAATGCACCAAAGATAACAGTGTTCATCCGTTAATAATGAAGAAGCACTTTGCATATCATACTGAAGACCCGGCGGTATACTAGGCACGTTCACTCTGGCTCCGTGTTGAGTGCCGTCACAACTGAGCTCGGCCCTTTGTCGAAGCGGATCAGCGAGCTGTAGACCCCCGGCGACCACCGTGACTGGCCCAGTATTTATACGGATGCCTAACGATCCTGCATGCACTCTGTAGTATCTCTGGCACGCCTATATAGATACCAAAATCACATTTGGATTGTGGCGATACGTACCGCTAGCGCGACACATCGGACGGCTCTTAGGACGGAAAGTCGAGTTCGAATCCCAGCACGGTACAGTTTTATCGCTGTTAATCCGTTCTCACTTTACCCGATTGTCTCTCAGGCACAGACCAAGTGGTCTACGTCTCAGGGCTACTCCGTGCGCCCCGCGCCCGCGCTCGCGCTCTGACAGTGCCACACTCAGGGATCATTTCCTGACGACGACGCGCGCGGTGGCTGCTCCTGAAGAGTTTCGTCGGCGGTGGGCGAGGGCGAGTGGCTCGAGCTGCTGGCCGAGCTGTGGGGTGTGTGCAGCGGCCGCATCCGCCGGCTGGCGGCGGTCTCCTCCGAGTGCGAGTGTGTGAGCGTGGCCCGCGCCAGACTGGAGTGTTTGCCGTGCGCCGACGGCTCGTCGTCCAGCGACCGGGCCGGCACGTGCGTGCCCGGCCGGGCCGTCTCCAGACTAACCAGCTCCAGAAGTGTCTCCATGAACTCGGTCAGCTTTCGCAGAGTGCCCTCTCGCATCTTGGAGTAGCCCTTACCTGCCGCAGATAGGTGTTTTATTATACAAAACGTCATGCACGAAGCGGCTGTCGTTAAACGGCATGTAAATATTCGTCACAAATGATACGACTACAATAATCTCGCATTGAGACTGGTTACCAACGATATTTTTAGGAATTCTAAGAAGATTCCAGTCACGTCATTGGAAATGCAAGGTGCGGTTCTTTCGAGCGAAACAGGACGACAGTTAGTTAGGTACTTATCCTCTCGGGCTGATATAGATCTGTCGGTATAAATTAGTAATTGCGACAGCGGTAAAGATAAACGTGAGGTTAGGATCTTCGGGAATTAACCAGATTTGAAAAATGTCGAATGAGTGCCGTTTGTTCCAAATAACCCGATGATTTCAGAACCAGATTTTCGTCCCGTTAAGCGAAATAGACAACGATAACAAGATCGACCAAACCCAGGCATCAACAAATTACACTAACCAAAGTTTTGGCTAACAATTATCATGCCTAACCCATTTGTCCATTAGTGGGTGTTTTAAGTACATTTTACAAGGAATAACGCATAAAACAGCCCATCCAGTACATTTTCTACACGTTTTCGGCCGAGAACACTAAACTCTAGCGGCTGTAAGCGTACGGCATATCTGTTAAACGTTTTTCGCACTCTTCTACTTCGATCTTTTCTTTGTGCCAGAGTGGCTATATTCCATCACCGTTATGACTCAGACACGGAGGAGCGCGTGCTCGGTGCTTACCTGCAGGCTTCAGAGTTCCCTCCACGGGAACCCCCTGCTGGGTGAGGGCTGCCGCAACTCGCAAGAGCAGGCTCTTCTGCTGGTCGGGCGTCAGCGGCTGCAGGCGCGATATGAACCGCACCAGGTACTCCACCGTGAACCGGGTGTCCTGCAACGCACAATCAACTTTAGATTTGTGTCCCGCAACTCACACCCGATCTGCGAGCCGCGTATCCCGCAACTGAGACCAGACTTCACTGCCAGCTGTCTCAGTAACCGCATGTCCGGTGGCTGATTTATAGCTGATCATGCACTTGCAGCGAGCAAGTACGTCCTGCGCCATAAAAACGGAGGCTTAATTGCGCGCAAGTTCAATGTCATTGCATTGTGGTATGCGCAGCGGGCGCCGGACACATCATTAGCAATGTGAGTAGTAACGAGCCAGTGATGCAAGCAATAAACACGGTAGTTGATGAATTTATGTCTGATGCACAAATAAAATAATGCTTCATGAGATGTAGGTATTGTACCTACTTAGCTGGGACGAAATGAGATCAGCCGATAACATTTTGAAGGACTCCAGGAAATAAAACTGCCTTCTACAAATTTATGATATTCTTTGTGAAATTATGGGCCCTCTTATAGTCGTCATATCAGATGCAGATACGACATCCTAATTAATAACGCATGACTTGGGTCATTTGCAATCTGCTAGACAACAGTATCTTCTTGTTTCTGCGGTTTTGTTTCCACGTCTTATTCCGCTAGGAAGCAATCGAAACTGTCGGTCGTTGGTGGTGTTTTGAAACTTTTTTTTTAAACACTGGTGAAGCTTTTTTTCTGACATGAGCGCAGACTGCAGAGGATGAAGATATTATACCGGGTGGCCCCCCCCAAAAAACTTCCGAACTTTGGAGGCCTATATCTCAAATTTGAGTGCAAATAACGAGCCAAAATTCTCATCAAGTTTGCGTCATTTCTTTGCGCATTGGTATGCCAAATTATAACACTCTATCATCATTTTCAAGCCAGCAATCTTATGTTGAATTAAGTAAGACGTTTTTGCTTTTTTTGCCGATGTTGGACGGTAGTGATGATTGGCTTAGACGTACCATGTTAGGAAAAAATAGAAAAATGGAACACGTGAATGAAACCAGCTCGTGTGTTGTTATTTTAAATATTTTTGTCCCACTTATGTGCCGAATATTCAAATACTGAGCCAAAATGGTTTCAATGGATGCCATTCGTTTCAACACTGAGTCCTGTTTCGAGCAGGAGTGGCACGGTGCATGGGTTACTGCTGATTGCCCTCCCTTAAAGAAGATCAAACAGTAAATCGACCGAATAAGGAAAAAAGCTAGAGGGAATGTGCCACCCTAAGGCCTGAACCATCGGTGAGGCTAGTTGCCAGTAGCAGTCATGGCTGCAGGCCGTGGCCGAGATGGAAGTGGCCCGTTCACTCACATTTTTTTAGTAAACATCTGAGCAAAAAAGTAATTTTTACATGGCATGCTAGAAACACGAACCATTCAAAAAGTAATTGCCCGAATAACATAAAAATAATACAATGAAGGTACTGAAAATATATGCCGCATTGACTATCGGAAGTTTCAATGTTGTGTCTTTATGACTTTCTGAGAAATGCTGATTTTTAAAGTTGAGAACGTTTTTTCTGGGCCACCCGGTATACATATATCGAGGATGTGGCCTGTGATAATTGACAGAACCAATAGCGGTAAAGATAGACTTTTCACGACGTTCCAGCGTTGCGAACATACCTTGTCCTGCTTGGTGAAGCAGTAGTCAATTTTTCCAGGCGCCAGCACTATGTATGTTAGGTATTCCTTGTCCAGTATCGGTGTCTTGAGGTGCTCCAGCCAAGTAAATAGTAAACCTGCCAGTGACAAATGAGTGAATTAGTCTTTTAAGTGCGTCAACCTTATACCCAATGTCCAAGCAAAATAAACAAATGATCAAAACAAGCTGCCTTAATCATCTCTGGTCGAGGGAGCGGTGCTATTTGTGAAACCATGTCGTTTTCTCAGACGTCATTACAAGTAGGCTTCAGGGTAAGGGAAGTGAAATTTCTGACTACGAGAAGGTGCTCGACCTCACCGGAATATAGGGATCAGGCCTGGTCAGAATCTAGGCCTGGTTCCATAAGCACGTCAGCACGCGATAACCTGTTACAGACCGGTGAGCGGTGACCGACATGTATACCTGTTGTTCTGTGATCTGTCACAGATCTGTAATTGGTCATTAACCGGTGACCTGTCAATGACTTGCAACCTATCACGATATGAACTATGAAGTGGGGACTGATCGGAGCTGCGATCGTTGTCCCACCCAACCGACCCAAGATAGACCCAACCAAAGCCAGTCTAGTGGTGTTCTCACCAGTCTTTTCACTTATCCGCTGCGCAATGGAACCAATCCAATTCCTGTAGCTCACGACGCAGCTACGAGGCAGCAATAAATTACGGTGCCTTTGACATAATTTATGCAAATGGTTCATCATACAGCATCAGCGAGGAATTGGTCGTGAAACCACCCCGAGCGGTAATGTACCCGGAAAGTCGCCATTGACCGGTCGATATCCAGTGAATAAAACACGTCCCTGCCGCGAGTGGCGGCACGCTACCGAGACACACTCCTGCGGCACTGTGCCGCCCTCATAGACGCTACTGGAGCCGCTCCTCCCATAGACACTGCACTGGGGCGGCACCTCTCATAGACACTGCAATGGGGCCGCAACTCTCATAGACACTGCACTGGAGAGTGGGAATCGTACCGTCTAAAGGCATTGCACTGGGCATCGCGGTGCGATGCCCAGATTCCCAGGCATGAATCTGCAAATTTATGACGATATTTCGCAAATTTATGATGATATTTCGCAAATGAGATTTCAAGTGTCAAAATAAGCCGTGTTATAACGTCATCCATTCCAAACTCGCCCAAAGAGCCCGCTTACACCTGCCGGTAAGCACCTTATTCCGCTGCTCACCAGTGAGAACCTTGAGGTCCGTCTCGGTGCCGAGCTTCTCCCAGGCTGACTGGCGGATGTTGAGCTCCAATCGGAAGCTCTTGATGCGTTTGTTGAACTCGGGACCGAGGAGGGCGTGGTCCACCAGCAGCGCGTCGTAAATGGCGGTCACCGGTACCCTCTGAAAGTATAGGATATAGATACCGTCAGGTCAGGTCAGGTGGGGTCAGGTCAATGCAGGTTGAAGCCAAGCGCTGAGTTTACAGCGACATAAGGACAACGGCGTCATGCGGGTTTCTGGCTCAAAACAATTCAGGAAACACAAACGCACATATCGATAAAATACATTACAGAGCCTACATATTTCAGAGCCATCTGTCCTGAAAACCTGCATATATCCGCTTTCCCGCAGTCAGCTAGCCGTCTCATGCCCGCAGCAGCGGCCTCCCCACCTGGATCTGTTCGTCCTCGGCCGCCTTGCGGAGGTCCACCTGCGACATCATCTCGTGGTAGACGTCGTTCTGCGCCAGACTCTGGTTGTGGATGCCGTCATCGAGCACCGAGTCCAGACTGGTGTCATCCACAGTCGACCCGAGCCGGGAGCCGTTCAAACTGTCCGAACCTGCGCGGAACCGAGAAGTGTCAATTGGGGCAGTGTGTTTCAGTGGCGAGTGTTGAGGTGATGCTATTACGTTATGTCTTGTAAACGACAATCACCGAACGATAGTTTCTTAAGCAACGGACGAATTACCAGCGTTAAGAGCATTGTGCCTGAAGATTGAGGCTACGTTTGGCGTTTACAGACTTGAACCACAAACTGAAGGAAACTTCTGGAGAAAACACCATTATTTGCACAAATTAAACACGGGGGAAATACCCCACTGATCTCAAGCCAAATGCCGCGCTTCGCATCAGCGACTATCTTTATGCGCTAAAACAGTAAAATAATTTTCATTACATAACATTCATACTTCTGCGACACCGACGCAGCAGAAAACGCCTGATACGCTAGTGAGCGGTTCGCCCATGCGGAGATGGGCGGATTTCGCCCAAGGTGATGCCGGCTCGCCCTTGTACAGACGTGTTCGAATGAGATTAACAGTTCATGTTGGTGTTAGTCACCAAAAGAGGATAAAAAGTGACCGCGACAAGGACAGTTAGGCCGTCACATTTTAAGTCACAAAGGGGGTTTGGTTTGACAGGTGAACGGGACGACACGATGTTGTGTGTGAATTGTGTCATATTCTGGTGTGAGATCGAAGTCTCACATCATATACCAACTCAATGTGTGTAGTGTTCTCAGTGAGGTTCGACCGTGTGGCGAGGGAATGAGTTTGCAATAATCGTCAAAATTATCTACCAACCGATTAGTATTTGGAGCCCCTGCTATAGCTGCAATCGGTTTGATTTGCGATAAAATATATCTTTGCAACAAGTGCATGGCTGCTCAGCGAACAATGGCATTTTGAAGATGAAATAGATGCTTCAAAATAATTTAGCTACATAGACATGGAACTGGATTTTCAGCCCATCACAGCTTTAATCTAGAAATCCTTGCATCAGTGCTTCTGAATTTGCAGCTTGTCACTTATCTAAATGCATCGACTAAAACAGGTGAAAAAATCGGTGGACAATAAACAGGTTAATCACGCCATATATAAAAAGGCGAAAGCCATCTTAATTAGCAACTGGCAAGGTGAAGAAATCAACGACCTTTTCATTAGATGATTCCAGCATGTGACCTATTGCCAGCAGTTCTTTTTTCCAGTGCTGCGGTTAAGTGGACCTCGCTCTTTCGCAGTAAGCTCCTGTGATTGCCCTCAATACCGAGCGATAATCGTGGCTCAATCTATGTTCTAATACCACCACCCGGTTCAGAGTGCCCATACAAATCTCATCGATCTGCAGCTAATCGTCACTCGTGACTCTGCATACCGTTCGTTTCGTGACTCCCACACGCGCGCCAGCAGCATGCCCTCGCCACGATGTCACGCACGCTTCCATGGCGGCGTTGTCTCACCGAAACGGGACTGCTGTATAGGATCTACAGGATCTCCATCGGCACTTTGACGATGTGAGGAATGGCTCCTGCCGGAGTGTCTTACCTTGCGGCATGAGCCCATTCGGCCTCTTCCTCAAGGCATGGGCTCTCGCTGATCTTGAAACAAGGTCTTTCCGCCAGCCGCCTTATCGGTTGTGTTTTACCCTAAAGAATTGCCACTGTGTCTTACCATGAGGAACGTTTTCTCGGTGTATCCATTGCATGTCTCATCGTGAGAAATGCTATGTCTCGCTGTGAGACACGGTCACCGTCGCGTCTCAGGTCGTGAGACATAGCCCCCCGTCATATCTCACCGTGAGGCACGGGCGAGTCGGACGGGCTGGTGACGGGCATCGTGCTCATTTGCGAGTAGCTGAGAGTGCTGGCCGTCTCCCCCTGCAGGCGGGCGGCGATGAAGAACGCCGTGAAGCTCGGCGACCCGACCCGGTAGTCGGGAGCCGCGCTGAACAGACCTCCGGACCGCGAGCGGGAGACGGGCTCGCAGAGTCGCACCAGCCGCTCACAGAGAACGTATACCAGCTGGGGGTGGAGGGGTAGTAAAGGGGAGAGAGGTCAGCTGTTGGTGGCGGAGTGGAGGGGCTGGGGAGGGGAGGTCAGCCGATGGAGGCTGATGCTTCTTACGGAAGGAGAACTCACCGTGACCATGCTGTTCACATGGAAGTTCACATTTCTTCAGCTGAGTTAAAGGGCTATTTTACATATTTTCGTCACAGCCATCGCGGTAACACTGCTATATCGACAAACAATTAAGCTACACACAAGTATTAGGACCTCTGACCGAATGTTCGTTGCGCTTGCTTATTGTATTTACCTTGGGTATGTGTCGCAGCACTCGTGCCTCATAGCCGTGCAGGACGTGCCTCTGGCGACTCAGACACTGGGCCAGTGTGAACTCCGGGTGCTCCTTCTTCTTGTCCCGGTCCTTCACCAGCTCCCTACGCCATTGTCATAAGAAAGACGTTAGAAATTCGGTCACCTCTAGAATTAGCAGTCAATGTTCAAAAACATTTTATGGAATCAGATAATTGAGCGAAGTCTTAAATGCGAATAAAAACTGGCCTTGAAAGCTAGCCCTATAGGCATACACTTGGATCGATGGGCAGTTACTCGAAAATAAGCTCTTCTTGGCAAAACGTTTCCGGTAAAACGTTAATCAGCTCAACGAAATAGCGAGGCGCTTGACTGTCAAGGACATTTTGTTAGAGCCACTAAAAGGATTAGAAGTGCGTAAATCTTCGAATTATTTCCCGATAGCTTCTTTTAATGTTGAATAAGATGCGATGAGCTGATGGATGTCACGAACGGTTTACGCAGAACAGTATCACGAAATTCACTACAAATATTTTCCGCTTTAACCGTAAGTTCGTAACCCATGTAACCACGGTCACTGAGTAAAATTAATTGAACAGTATTACGGAAGTGAGAATGAATGAATGTTCTCTAATATTTTTTTTTGTTTGTTGCTCTTTCTGTACTGTTTGATTATCATTTGAAGCTCCTTCTTCGGATTCCGGATGTAACCCCCTTTTTAGAAAAGACGGTCTTCTGAGAGACGAGAGTTTAGAGAAGACGGACATATGTGAGATGTAGACCTTGTTGGAGAAGACGAGCTTTGAGTTGTGGACGTACTTGTTTGAGAAGACGACCAGCTGTGGAAGGATGAACTGCTCGAACTCTTGCACGGCCAGGATCTGTCCCCTGGTCTGCACGGCGTTCGGCCGCTTCAACCTCACGTAGCGGATGGCGTCGTTGGCCTTCACCCTGAGCCAGTAGACCAGGTAGCAGGCGATGATGACGCCCGTCCGGCCCAGCCCTACGGGAGGAGACTGTCAGCTGGCGCAATAGCTGGCGGACTATAACACGTCGCAGTTGCGTGGCAAATAACTGCAAGGTAATCCAAGCGTAGATAACATCGGAAATGTCAGCCGCTGACATGTAAAATATTAATATCTCGCTATTTTGAATGTCTTTTCTTTTAACGAAAAAAGTCCAGCAGGCATCAGCACCTAGTGACAAAGAAGCCATGCTTATAGCCCTTATTGCCAGGTGGTGCTTTCCCCAGTCCCACTGCTGGCTATATATTTGTGTATGTGGCATGACGCTCACGGGCCACAGCGTCGCAGAAACGGTCAGCGGCGACCACCAGTCGCCAACGACTTCGATTTATCGACCCCACCAGCTCTGGCGAGCACTAAGGACCTCAACAAGGGCCCGCGCGCGCACCGACCGCCCTGCACAAACAACCCGAATTGGACGGATGTCCCGCGTGCCTGCTGCTAACCAGCTGGCCCGCAGAATGGACGCTGGAAACGGCGCAGGGTGTGGTATAAATATGGAAGGTCTTATAGTGGATGGTAAAGTGGGACTGGTATCACCATTGGCCCAACTCACGGGACGGATGTTCGGATATTTACAGATAGTTGTAATGTTGATGTGAATTTTGATGTGCTGGGTTTTACGGTGATGTGAGTAACGAGTAGGTACCATTGGGTTGATGGAGATATCTCTCTATAAAAAGCAAAAGCAGGCAGGATCACCACCAGCCCGCAGCTAACCTGCATGGCAATGAATGGCCACTTTTCCCTGGGTGAGTGCAAATGCCAGCACTTTGGTGATGTCCAAAATGCCCGCTAGCGACGGCTCGCCGTAGTCCTTCCATCCAAAATTGTAGAAAAACACTGAAACAAAATGGAGCGCTTGTGAAGTCAAAGCAAAGGTGAATGGCGGTCAAAGTCTAGCGGACGGCTATTATATTACGCATGGAATTGGCTCCAGATATGTCACTTAATTAAGTTAAAAACATTTTACTCTCCACATGAAGATGTCTAAGCCAACTGCCACATCTCTACACCTTCTCCAATAAATTATGAAGTGACGGACTCTTTCGGATTGAACCTCGCTACCCTCCGTGTAGCTAGCCCTGCGTGACACTTATAAATTGATAGTTGATGATTGTGTGATGCGATGATGAGCTGCCAATAAAATTAAACGGTGAACTGATTTCCGATGGATTAAATACCAGTTGCACACCAAACTTGGGAACTTAATAAGCCGGCAGCAAAATGGCAACAGCCTATTCGACTTCACAGAAAAGCGACCTCAAAAGTAGTACTAAAAAGAGTCATACATGCATCCTAACAATATAAAAATGATAGCGACCACTGAAGCTATTCGTTGAATCATCGATCTATCACCGTGAAAGCCATTTAGTCGACCCACATACCGTCATTGGTCATGAAAATATTGGGGTCGTATGTGAAGCCGCTCTGTTCAATAGTGCCACAGTGGGAGTGCTCGCCGGGTAGCTGAAGGTTGACCAAAGACCGGATCCCCAGCCTGCGGGCAGAGAGGTCAGCATCAGGTCAGTGCAGTGATCCGTGGAAGGCGTGAAAATGGGGAGGAGGTCAGTCTTTGGGAGTGGCGATGGGAAAGCAAATGGGAAATGAGCGTTGGGAGAGGGTAAATGGTATGACACTATAGTTGAGTCAGTTTTTGGGAGAGAATGAAGGACTCCGGGTCAAATCCATAGCACAGTCGACTGGAGGTAAGCGTCAGGCCAGAGAACAGACATCAATGCAGCTCAGCGGACCCATATCATTCTGAAGCTGCTCATCAGAGCAGCACGGCCTAGAACAAGACAGACACCGTAGAATTGCAACGGCGCAACACGTATAAACGTTGGGATGAGTGATATAGTTAACGTTTATCTTACTTAAGACGAAATAGTTGTGGATGGGTTCAGGACTAAATATTCTGTATTTGTTTGCTCATAGAACATAATCATGATTGTAAGACAGGCCCATTTTCGGTTTACGTTATTTCTTACGTACGCACATGCCTACGTACATTCGTGTGTAAGAGTCAGGCCCTAAAACTCGGCGATTTAAGCTGAGCCAGCTAGTCCCTGAACCAAGCTCATCAGGCATGATTCGGAAGAACGAATATCAAAAATTTAATTGCTTTTAATAAAAACGTTGTATAAGGCTAGATATTCGCAAATCGTGATCGGTCATGGCTTTTTATTGCATAAGTAGGCACTAGGCAGCCGCATTATGCGGAAACATCAACTTTTTAACATCCTGTTTCAAGATTAAACATGTATGATGAATGTTTCGAACACACCCTTGACATGTTTTAGCCATGCATTTGCACTAAATCCCTCCCACTCTGATTTTTGCTAATCTATCACCGTTACATTGTCAGACGAAAAGAAACGAGGCGGTTGCAGCCTAGTCCCTAATCTGTTCCGATACCATCGGCGGCGACTGTGAGCGGGCGGGCTGTGCCTATCGGACAAACCGGAGACATATGTCAGACGAGCTGTGGCCCCGCTAACCAGAAAACCAGACACCCAACTGGGATGGGGCTGATTTCGGCGGACGGTGTCCCTTAGCACTGACTTATCATATATGCACTGCAAAGTCTGCAATATCGTAGAAATTCTTGAAGTTATTAAGCTAAGAGTTAGGTACATGAAATCGGCAATACCTATATATCTATAACGATTTAATTATTAGCTTAACTTCATCCTATTTTTGATAAAGACTGTGGCTATGACTGTGACTATGACTGGCATAAACCCCAAATAATGCGAGTTATGTGCTTTTGACTAAAATTCTGTCAGAACTGCAATAGGTATCGCTATTCTTTTGCATGGGACAAACATCAGTAGTAATGCCCTAGCCCTATAGTCGGCCGAGGGGGTGCCGCCCCCTAGTTTTTTTTTCGCGATAGCTCCAAGCACGCCAGCGATAGAGGACTGAAACTTGGTATACCTGACCTTTGATCCAAGACGTGTCTTCTGACACCAGCCTCATTTCCAGGTCAGGTAAGGCCCCTCTATGACGTCATAAGTGAACCTCTGCACGGTCCTCAGATGTCGCAACTTCGCAACGCCCTCAGCGCCAGAGGAACTTTCACAGGGAGATGAAATTTACAGGATGTAGTATCTTCTAGAGGTCTCACAGCCTGCATATCTCGGATTTTTCCTAAAGGTCACATAAGGTCAGGTCGGTCACGTGACCTCACCATTATATCCCTCGCCCTGTAAGGGAGGGGGGGGGGGGGGGTCCATGCGACCTCCCTGAGTTTTTTTTTGCGATGGGCACCGAACCATTACGCGTATCGTGCTGAAATTTTCCATAGCATATGGGGCAGGCCTTGCGCAACTTTTGATAAAAACGTTATTTTCGGGTCATGTTAGGTCACCGAGCTATGACGTCATAAAAGGTTCAACCTCCGACCGTTTTTGACAGAAATCGTACATTCCGCGTAACTGGACGTGACCTCATCGACAAGAACGAAACTGTTTCGTGTGGTTTATGTCAGATTTTGACAGGACGTGAATCTTTGCATTGTATAATATTGACCTTTCTAGGGTCAACCAAGGTCAATGACCTCGCATGTTCACACGATGACTTCTGTGATATGAGCTGTGTTTAGTGGGGTTTCTTGAGGTCCTGAATCCGAATCCGTGGTTCAGTTTTCACCTAAACGCCTTCAAAACTGTTCCTTGACCTTAACAAGGTCAATCAAGGTCAATTAGGACCGTCCTCGTCGGCGGTGGGTATGACCTCCCGTGTTCCCGGAGACTACGTCACGCCAGTAATGCTGAAATGCGGTCAACTATACATCATTTTGTAGCTTATTTGTTGAGAAACAAGGCCGTAAAAGTTCCATGTCGCTATCTTTCATAGATTTGCCAATATTGGCTAAGTAACTTGGAAAATTATAGCTTTTCCCTGAAATTTGACCTTTGACCTGTCATAACTGGGTCAAATATTGACCTAGGGTCGAAACTATTACTACCAATCGCGAGTACCCGTTGAGAGCAATCGTTTTGGTTGCGAAGCACTACGACGCTTAGTTTCGAAACGCCAGGGGGGGAGGTCGCATCGACTCCCTCCCCTGCCAGGCCGCGTTTTGAAAAAGGCCGTGCCAGGGGGAGGGTTATGTCACTGGGGGAAAATGAAAACTGCTATTCTAGCGCCGGGAACAATCTCAAACCATCACAATCACGCGGAATCTTTTTCCACTCCTTGCATGGTTCGAATCTTCAATTTTGCATCGCTGACCCAGGGTGATGTTAGTAATGACGTCACTTGGGTCAGTTTTTCGTCAATAACTCCCGATAAAATTGAGCTAGCAAGTCGGGAAAGCCACCAACGGACTCAGCCACCAAGGACCTGCAGGATCGAATGATATGCTAATGCAGCATGACATCCTACGACCAACTTCGTGACCTGGGAGCGCTAACCTGACCTTGACCTGAGGTCAACACCTCAAGTTGACCTCACCCGAACAAAAAGTATACCATTCGACGCACCTGAACAAGGAAAACACGATTATGTCAAAATCGCGGCTCTACGACCGTTTTTTGCGAAGTTATTTATGAAAAACTTAACCTGTGCCTTGGGTCACTTAACCTGACCTCAGAGATGACCAATTGACCTGAGACCATAAAATTGGTTACCAGTCGCTGCGTCTAGTAACGGCAGGCACACGCTTTTCCGCCACACTCTAGCTCCATCAGGGGCGAAACGGTGGGGGGGGGGGGGTCGTACCAACCAACCCCCCTCGGCCGGCGCGTATGTAGAAAGCCAATGGATCCGGCGAGGGCCAGCTGTTGAATAAAACATGGCGAGGGAGATAACTGTATGTAGTGGATGTTATTGCTTCAATAGTGCATACTGTCCTCCCTTAATCCCATTTTTGTTTCACAAACGCGGTCACGAGGATGAATGGGCTTTATACGTCATTTTATCTTAGACTTGTCTCTAATTGCACAACTTTATGCGTCATTTGCATAATCACTCATATCACAGAAAAATGCTGATTACTTGATTACCATAAATATCCCATATCTGATACCTACCCAACCTAAGTTGACATTGACCCACATAATGGGGCATTAAAGACGCTTACGTCTTATGCTGAGACACCTAAAGACGCTGAAGATTTCAACTATGTATAAGTCTCTCTAATGTATACATTTGCGCCAGTATCGTTCTGCAGCGTAAAGTGTCGTAAATATGTTTTATTTTTGGTTGAACATAATTGATCTTTTTTCTTTCTCATCAAAACTTCTTGGTCTGTTAAGAGTTTATCACAATTTTTCATTTGCAATCATTTAAGCATTATCTCTTTATATTAAGAATTTGGCAAATAAAAATAAAAAGAAATATGCACAGTAATACGGCATATCGTAAAGAAATCAGTGCACTAATGTTTGTAATTTAATGTCGCTCTACAAAAGCCAAAATCCCGTCAACGGTTAATGCTGAGATTCATCGATTAATAATGACTGATGCTGGCCTGGCCTGGCTGGCAACACTGCAGTGAGTATATCCTTGAAACCCCTGACCTAAATGTATCCAAGCCTTTTGTGCGTCATGAAATCAGTTTAGCCCTCAGGATATACCGGAACCGGCGGATTAACAAGAGCATATACTTGTTAGTAGCACAAGACCACACGCAACTAGGACAAAAAGATATGCGGGTAAGTCTGGTTATTGCAAGGTTCTAAGGACAAAAATGGGTGCGGTTCCCATCTTGATGCTTTTTGAAGGTCACAGCCCAAAAGAAAAGCTTGTGTTATCCACGCAACATTATCTGGAGCATAAATCTCGTAATTACTCGTCCGTTGTTCTCATTTCTCCGGGATCGCTGTTCATGCAATTTACAAATGCAGTGTGGCCTGTGGGTACTCCGCGAATATATCTACAATCGTTGTACTTGTAAGAATGATAGCCTATCTCTCTTGAGTTTCTTGGTTTATGAATATAAATTGCGATTTCAAAAGAAAACATCTTTTCGCGAAGCTTTTGGCAATGCACCATCAGCTCAAAACATATTCCATCAAGCATATTCAACTTCAAGACTATACCGGCTACTTAGCGCTGGTTATGGATAGCATCAGTTATGGAAATCGAGAAAATCGCATGGTGTTTTCATTGCAGGTGGAAGGCAACAACTGTTCCAGAGGTGGAAGGCTGCTTCTAGTTTCTAAAGCAAAACGATTCTCGGCTTAAAAACAATATTGAAATACATTTCTAGGTGCACCTTCTTTGTGTCTATCGTTATCAGGAACAAGTCCGCTCACCAGCTTATAAACGCCAAGAAACTTTCCAATTTGTTACATTGGATAATGGATAAGCTACAAGTCATTTATGCCTGGTGCTAAGCCTGTTCCGTATAGCTCAGTTGGTAGAGCAACGGACTACCGGTAGTGAGAGCCCGGGTTCGAGTCGCTCCGGCGCTCGATATTTGAAACTTCTGACGAGGATGGTCTGCGGTTGGTGGGACGGGAGCAGCCGCAGCCAGTTGAAGTCAGCTGAGTGGGACAGGCCGTGTCCGGCTTTGAAGGGCACGTTAAAGGTAGTGTGCCACCTTCCAATGATTTCCCATTTATTTTTCCTAGGATAAGAAGCTTCTGTTTTTACCTAATATCGTAAAAAAATCACAAATGGGCCTAAAATAGTGTGTTTTTTTTCGCCTAAAAGTTTATCGGTTTTTCGATATGTATAACAACTGTAGTGAGCTGACCTGCAAACAGGCGTCGGCAACAATCGCGAATGCGGCGCACATGTGACAATAAGCAAAGGTCATTATAGAGTTACGACGTACGGGAATGATTTATCAGCTGTCTAATCGTAGACAACACAATGTCGAATTTAAACTGTAAGCCTGTATTGGTATTGTTTCTTTTAATTTGGCTGTCGAACATTAATTTATGGTTTGAAATATTATTTTATGTAAAATAACTGATATGAAACAGCCGTCTCTAAAGTTATGACCCCATCTCACCACATGAAAGTGGCAGAAATGACAATGATCAGCTGACACATTTTTCTTGGCCGAAGTCAGAGCGCGCGGCCCGACGCACCACCACCGCTCCACAAAGTATGAGCAGAAGCCGCACCCAAAGCTAGGGTCCCGGTAACGTGAGGTAGCCGAGTCGGGGCAGCGTGCGCTGACCCAAGCCGGGGCTGCGGCTTTGGGCGCGGTCTACCGCATCCCCGCGGGCAGCCCCGGGCTATCACATGACACCGGGAGGACGCGCGGCCCCGGCTTGGGTCAGCGCACGCTGCCCCGACTCGGCTACCTCACGTTACCGGGGCCCTGGCTTTGGGCGCGGTCTACCGCACCACCTATCAGGCGTGTTCGAAACCGCAGGAGATGATGATTAACGGGTTTATCGAAACTTGATTGGATGAGCCTATCGGTAATAGCGATTTCAGTGTGTGCATTTATTGTTCATAGTGGTGTGAAATGTGGTTGGGGTACGACCGACAACCCGTTGGGGCGAATTTCGCACTGGGGTACTCAAAATTTGAAGAATTTAAGACGTTTCCATGAGTTTTGAAGGTATGGATAAGTTCTAAAAATCCGGTTCTCCTTATCTGGGCCATTACCTCCATACGGTCCAGGAAAGCTGGCACACTACCTTTAAACTTTGGCATCTAAATTCTCCCCGTTACCCGGAATTGCGCGATCGGGCGGTAGGAGTCGGGGTCTACGCAACAAGCTCTGCTTAGCGTGGGCCTCGGCTCTGTCAATCCGTCCATTCAAACATTCGAACTAAATTTATAATAAAGTACATAACAGGTTTGATGGTGCGCTTCCGATAGTTACGCTCTAAAGCACAATATCACCAGTGCTGCCTTGCAATATTGAATATTGAAGGCTGTGCCGAATCGATGGCCAGACTTTACCCTGTACTCTGACCTTTGAGGCTTACGGTGCGGGGTGCTGTTCAAGCTGCTAGAAAAAACGGGGTGTTCTTTTCACTTGCGCAATGGACTCTGGTATCTTCTCATTTTTCAAAGGTCTATTTTTCATCCGTTTTAGTAGCTAGAAATGTAACGTATTAGGTATGAATTTTTTTCTAGATTAGCTGCATTTGAAGATAAGTGAGAAAATGTTCTCATTCTATATTAAGTTAGCTCCTAATAACATAAAGACAATGTTACGCAATAACTGTGGTCGGCCCAGATCTAATCAATACAGGGATTTCACCCATCATGTATGTCAGCACCCCATGCGGCCGTATACGCCATACCATACCCTTTTAATCCTGATTGGGCACTACTGAGCCTGTGGTAATCCCACACGGACGCATGGCACGCAAATGGGTAATTTCCCGGGCACAAATAAACTATGCAAACGAGGCCTTCCAGCCACCAGGCACGCCACTGTTGTAACGACAAAACAAAACTGGCCTTGGACTATCGGATGCTTCGTCTTCCCCAGCTCTTGGGGGTTACAGGCCACTCAAGCAGTGACGTGCTTAGTATCACATATAAGTGAATTTATTAGACGAAAAGTTTATTAGAAGTTTGCTTTTATGAGCAATAGAACAAATGGAACTTCATTCTTATTCCATTTCTTTCGGACGTAGCAAATCGACCAAAACCGGATGCCCCTTCAAAGTGGCAATATGCATCTCATACAGATACATTGAAAATATGCTGAAACACTGGCCTTATGCGGGAACATAACGGTGTTCTAAGTTCATATCCAAATGCCACCTATCTCATCTACATATATTAAAATACCTTTGTTCATTTTTTAATGCATCCCCAATGCCCAATGTTCACAACTTTATTCTGCACAAAACTAAGCGCTCTAATTTTGCTTCTGCCTGAATCGCCAAAATAAATATGTTAAATCGATACGACTTTATTAGATAACGTTTGACATGACCTGAAAGAATGTGAGCTGGCCAGATCATCCCGTACACGTCATGCTGAATCCGTGTACGCCATAAATTTATATCTTGTCGACCAGTCTCCGTCGCACTTCTGTCACAGTTGAGCGATCCCCAGTCTAGCCGGATGTCGGGCTGGACAGACCGGGGAATCCCATGGATTCCGTCAGTGGACAGGCTTGGGGTTTTAGAATCACCAAATGATTAAGAGAAATCCGCCTCCGGGATTTGATTGGATGGAATGGCGAAGTAGGCTAGGTATAATAAAGGATGTTTAACGGCTGTTGGTAATTGTGACCGACACTGGCATTCGGCCATCCCCGACTGAACAGCTGCAATGCAATTCCACCTTTGGCCACCAGTTCAAGGGACAGTTACTTACAAGTTCGAGGAAAACTTAACAATAGTCGCTACTCGCTGGCAAACTGCTCAGGCCAGCTTTGCCTTTAGAGACAAATTCAGATGTGACAAGGATGCACACATTTATAGACCGGGGTGCTTACCGTCGGAAGTGCTCGATTGTGCTCTTTTCTCTGATTGTCTTGGTGTTCGGCCTCGCCATCGCCAAAATGTCGTCCGTGATCCTGAAATAAAACACAAACATCGCTGGTAAAATGGGCGCGGACAAGGGCGGTCCGAGCGTTCATGGTGATCCATAACTAGCCCTGCTTAGCATGACACCTGGGCCTACAGTCAACCACCCACACAACCAAAGACCCAATAAAAAATATTAGATGTATAGTTAGCACAGACGAGCTTTAGACATGCTTGCGTTGCAAACATCCCTGACCTTTGCGCTGCAGAAGAGTTTCATTCGCTAAGCACTGACGCGACACTGTAGAAATAAAATAATGGAAAGAGACAGGTGGAAACATTGGAAACGACCTTCAGTAAGTGTCCGTTTCTGACCGATTCACCTCCGTGGTGAATCCGGGTGTAGATCAAACCAGGCGTGATGATCAGCTTGTTGATAAGCCGTGAAAACTTTTGAAGCGATGCAATGCTACCCGATCGCAGACACTGTCTTAACACATGTCTACACCCAATAACATTAGTGATCTGCAAGATCCGTGACATGCCATATCCGGTGTAAGGTTACCCAATCTATCGTACCACTACTTTTAACTCGTTCTCACTTATAACAACTTCCTAGACTTCTGTCGTGACCGCTATGGTCAAGTATGATGTAATACCAATTTTGATAAAGAAATGCACAGTTGACAGTGGAATGCTTCTTTTTCTAACATGACTGTGACATAAATTCTCCTTTTGATTAAAATAAAAGAACGTTTTAAGTGTGAACAAGTCTGGTAATCAACTTTGCTCAAAATACAGATCTTCTCTCCAAAAGTTATTGGCATCAATTAAGGTGAAAACCACTCTTTTCATTTAAAAGACAATTTGTCATCTAAATTTCTTAAGCCCTAAGCAAAAGTTAGCGATAACCGAAGGCCTGGGTTAAGAACGCTATAAGGAGACTGTAGCGGGGCTCAATCGAATGCCGGTGTTTTGTCTGCAAACAAATGCCCAGCCATGCTACCAAGAGACGAAGAGCAACAGTTTGAGAGGACATGACTTGACACGATGACTATTGAAGCGTTGTGTTAGAGGGCACAGCGCAAAGCACAGCTTACGCTCATCGACCGCGGTACTTTAAGCTATCATTTAAACACAAGATTGTCTTTGCTGAGCCTGGTTTAAGTCCGTTAAGCTGACGTTCAGTCACTTTTAGCTCTGTCAGGCCTAAATTGGGGCCAAGCTTCGCACTCAATGCCATAAACTTTGCACTAGATGCGCAAGCCTGCATAGACGTATCTCAGGGAAGATGAGCTCGATTTCGGATAATTACGTACTAGAGAGTTAAATAAAGAGCTGACGTGTTTGGGTCGTGGATTGGATAACGCAGAAAGTGCATGTTGCAGGGCTCCAGTCCAACTGCCATTTGCTTTTACAATTTTACACATGCTATATTGTTTCTGCATCACATGTCGTCAATCGTAACCCAATTGTCGGAGGCGTCAAAGATACCGATTGAAACGGTATTCAGCTATACGATAAGAAACATATCCGCTTGGACTGCTCCTGCAGGATGTAGCCTAAGCTGAGGAACGGCTAGTCTGACTGCTCTGGAGTGAAGCTTTGTGCTCGAGCTGGCTGTCTTTTTTCTGTGTTGACCAGTTCATCGTCAAAACAGGTGAGCTACTGACACGATTACATGGTGAGGAGCAGAACAGGTTGTTTACTTTGCTATGGGTCAGTGGAGGAGCAGCACCTCTTTGGGCCAGTGAACTTTAGGGACTTACATAACAGCTGCTGCCCCAACTGTGAAGAGGCAGGTTCACAAATAGGTACTCCTTGCAACGTATGTATATGTCATTTTTACGCTGTGCTTGTCCTGGCTGGATTTTTCTGCGTTTAAAATGTTAGCGTGCTGTGAGATATGTGAGATATAAATAACCATCAAATAAGAGCTATTAAAATTGGACGTGAACTAAAGCCAGAGCTTTATGAAAGACGCTTTTCCAAACAGGAAAAATAATAGACTTTCGCATGGAACTTTATGAAAAAGACAAGCTCCCATGGATTCCGAAATGCAATCTTACATCTTATCCAAACCCCCAGATAACGTTAGCAGTTATGTTTCAAACATTTCTGAGTCCCATAATATCCAGAGCTGTCCCCGGCCTCTCTCATAATTGCCACCAACTATTACCTTCACATCCAGCGACATCGATCCCACCACCTTCCGCTCCCACAACCATCGCTAACCTCCCTAGCACAATTCACTCAACTCTCCCAAAGCCCCTGCCCCTCCCAACTCACCAGTGCGAGTAGATGCCGTCGACGGCCATCTCGCTCTCACTCCACTCTCGGCCGCTCTCATACTTGCACCGTTTGCCGCCGCAGAACATAGAGCACTGCAGCTCGTTGGGTGTCACCGTGCGCACGCTCTCCGAGAACATGTTGTAGTTGGGCTGCACCGTCGGCGTCTCGTCGGAGGGACGGATGAGCGCGGCTGGCCTCAGAGCCAGCAGCTCCGGAGGACGGGTGTGGGTCATTGTGGCCTCCGACTGCCGACCGAGAGGGTGCAGAAAGGTCACTTTAAAACACAAGTCATAAGAGAAGTCAGCCACTTCTTGGACTGAGTCAGCTACCGGATGTACTGGGCCAGTCCCTACATGCTTCCATGGACCGAGCCAATTAACTGAATGACTGGTCCAATAAATCCAGACGAGGTCAGAAACCTCATTAACTGCGTCACACACTTTACGAACTATGTAGGTTACCGGGCTACCCTCGGTATAGGTCGAAAGCATCATGAAACAATATAAGGACCATGCTAGATACGAGTTGTACTGTGCCTCTCGGATTGCCTCAGAAGCCACACAGAGTGGGCCAGAGTGGTCTCAGAGGGGTCATACACCTTATAGACTGAAATACTCATGGACCGAGTTTGTTAGACGCCGGGCAAGCTGTTAGTCACCTTTTGGCTTTGTTAGACATTACTCACGGATTGGGTACATTCATATACCCGGGACATTTTACTGGTACATATACCTGGGACATTTTACTGGGACATATACCTGGGACATTTTACTGGGATATACATAACTACTCACATATACCGGGGACATTTTTGCTGCACTGCACTGCGTTGCTGGGGCATCTAGGCTGAATTCGATACGATAATGTATTTCAGCGCCGATGTCCGCAATCCACTCTAGTTTGACCCGGCTCGAAACCGACCTGACCTATCCGGTATTTACTCGCCACTGCTGCGCCTTTCAAACAGACGCAATTCGCATTGATCTGTATCTGGTTCAGACCGGATATGTTCAACATAACATCAAAAACAGAAGTGTCGATGCGTGGCTTCGGCGTAGGAACACATTTCAATATTGCTGGCAAGTGAGTGTTGTGATATTTCTTTGCAGTACTTAACAACCATTTAAAAGAAATAGTTGAAGGCTTTTGTATCTATGGTTCTTTCATGGAAGAAGTTTGTGCATGAAATGAACCCTTTAAACATATCTTAACAGGGATAAAAATGGAATTTAATTAACTGTAAGTCTGAACTTTGAATACCGTCTTCTTTGTAAACTACCTCCTCTTCTTCATCTATCATTATTCGTATTATTACAATACACCTTCCAATAAAAATATTACACAAATACAAGCACAACCAGACAGTTTTAGTGATCACCGGGACACAATTGAGACAGTTCCGTATCTGTTCTGTATCTGTTGTAGTTCAGATCTGTATCCTCCCCTTGTGATGCAAGTGCCATCTTTCTGTTCGTACCTGTCGGTCTCCGTTCTGCATGGGGTCAAGCCGTCGTGGCCGTCGACCTGGTGCGTGCTCCAGGGGCGAGTTCCAGAGGGCCCAGCGACCGGCTGGGCAGAGCTACAGCAGAAGAAAATCACCGAGAGCACCGACACGACGGCAGGGACGGAACTCAGACGGTAACGGGGAAGGTAAGGAGAGATTTGGCGAGAGGAGACGGTAAATTAGCTTGAGATTATGAGCTTACTCGAGAAATGCAGTAAGAAGGAAATAACTGAGCAGTCTTCGAGCCTGGAAGAGGTTTTCGATGCAAGGAGCTAGAGAGCAGAGGAGAGTTTATAAGAAATGTTAGATGTCACAAGCACCTTACTGCATGACTTGAAACGCCTGACAGCAGACTTGCGGTGCTGACCTTAGCACGGCCACAGAACAATGACGCGTCACTCAACCAGCCACCGTGTATGTCACAGGCACATCTCGTCTGACAACACTCTGCGATCGCCGTTGGGCATCACTGGGGTGTCCGCTCACCGAACGGTCCCCGATCGGGTGACGGGCCGGCCGGGGCGCCGCCGGCGGCTGGCCCGGGGCTGCGGCTCGCTCGCACCACCCACCTGTGACCACTGAGGTCGGCAGCGACGCGTCGCCGACCTGGCCCGGTCGATATGGGCTGCGCCAGTAGCCGTGCCCCCGCCGTCGGCAGCGGCTCGATGCCCCCAAAGGAGGGGACACGTGCACCGACCGTCGCCAACGGCGGCCCGCGGCCACCGTCTGCCGACCCCCCGGCCCAAGGACCCGACCGGTGACGTGTGTTTGTATGTGTGCCTGCGTGGTCAGGGAGTGGCAGTGTGGATGACGCATCCAAACAGCAGTTTGAGTAAGGGCGTGGGCATGTGTCTGTGAGGGATGAGGGCGCCTATTGACCTGGAAACATCGGTAATGTTGGTGGCGGATTGCATATTTGAGTGATTATTAGCAAGCCAAAATCAGCGTACACAAATGCTGCCATTGCAGTCAAAATAAACATGAAAATGTGCTTGCTTTGGGGAGGGGGGTCACAATGAAGCCCAGCGAGAACAAACCTCTGACCATTTTTAAACTAAAACTTGCCGCTAGCATCTAAAATTATTGGCTTATAGATTTCTATACGTCAAATGGCGGATGATTGCTTTTCTGTACTGCCGATTGTCGTCTGGATACAGCCACCATTTAGAATAATGTAATTTCTCACATTTTAATGAGATGATAACGAGTTTCCGCTGAATTTTGGGTCCCAAGAAATAAAAAGGAGCACGCCAACGTAACGCTTTTATATAGTAATTATCTTCATTAAATGTCCTATCAGTTGAGAGCAGGTCTACAGATGTTTAGAGGCCTTCATTTGGAAGGATATACAACCCTTATCAAGAGGAAGATACTTCGATTGTATTAGGCTTTGCTTGAACGCTATTCGCTTACGCTTCGTCATCAGATTTGAGGTGAGATAACACATTGCTGAAAACGGCATGCAAGTCAAATCGTAAAATGTATTTTAACCTTTGGAGACAAAGCATATTAGCTCCCCAATAATGAGCCTGCAAAAACAAGTCTCCAGTTTATGTCCACTAATCAGTGACAGGAGCACAGACACTAAGCGCTGATATTTCAGTGCATACGGAACATCCTGTCTACCGGGACAGCCGTGCCACTGCGCCGTCACCACCCCCGACCGGAAAGTCCACTGACTAAAGGTCACCGACCCGGCCGGAGGTGACGAAGGCGGTGATTCCGGGTCGGAGACGAGTCGCCGAAATCCCCATCGGATTATCACGACTCTGGTGTAGTGTGCCGTATGTGATACATCTGTTGTCTCCATTCTTTTTTTATACGAAGAAACGTGATCAGTTGAAATGAAAGAGAACAAGCACCAGGAAATTGATGATTAGCGTTTTTAAGTTTAATCATAACCCTCATTGCTCTGGAAACAATATGATACAGAGGCGGATCCAGCTCAAAGTTTTTTTTTTTTTTGGGGGGGGGGGGCAAACCATAACAATTTATCGATTCTTTCCATGTCTCGTCCATAGGCGATAATGTTAAAATTATGCCGTTTGGGAGGGGCAAATGCCCATTTTGCCCCCTGGATCCGCCACTGATATGATACACCAGCTTCAACCCAACCTTCCAGGCTTTTACCTGGCTGAAAGTTTCAGCGCTGCATGAGTCGTCCAGCCGTCCAGTGTTTGTAATTTCAAAGCCATTCTTCTGATTCAACCGATGGCATTAAGCTCAAGACGAAGTAACTATGAATAACAATGCTAAAAGAGACACAGACTTGCGCGACTCGCTCCTCACGGCTCCCGGCCGGCGACACCACCCAGCCGCGGCCGCTCAGCCACTACACCTCACGGTCGCCACGGGCGCGCCCGTTCACCGCCCCTGCGAGCAGACTGACCCGCCGGGCACCCGATCACCGCCCCTATTCGCAGACTGTCCCGCCGGGCATGTGGTCACCACCCCTGCGGACAGACGTTTTCCCGGTTGCCAGGCCCATGGTCACCGCCCCTGCGGGCAGACTGACCCGCCGGTCACGTACTGCGGCCAGACCAGACACTATACAAATGTTCACGAGAAGAGAAACACGGTCAATACATTTTACAACTAAGGTGGCAATAGCAATGACAGCCCTCTGTTGCCCAAATCAAATGTTTTGATGGCACGTAATGTGTATAACATAATGGTAAAGCAAAGGAAAAGGTTTTTTTTTTAAATGTTTGTTTCTCATATGAAAAGGCAGTTTCATAAACTTCACATGTGAGCGCGACGTTTTTCGGTTTTCTGTCATACATAGTCGCAACTGGTCCCATGCATATTAGCTCCCTTTACCCAGTTCCGCTGTGAGCCCCAGCAAACCAACGCGCCATGCGCCGGGTCAGTGGGCGGTGCCCACACTACATGACCGTGCGACGACCACCGGCCCAACATTGCCTCGGGGCACGCATAGCTGAACCCTGATTGTCGACTGCAATCAATGAGCCGCGTGATAAAGCTCGCTCGTATGGGACCGGCAAGTCGTAATCGCCAGCACTTGCCCGGTTTTATGGTGGTTTTGCTCGGTGTGTCGGTTTCGGGGTCAGTCGAGGGTTGCCAGGTGGTGGTCCGATGTGTTGTACGGTGCACGACATGACTTCATACACACTGCTGGCTTCGTGACATTGACCTTGGTATACGGTAACCCGTCATGGCTCTGCTGCCGCTGTCCTGCAAGGTGACTTATTCATGCACTGAACGTAGCTTTGAAGTGATCATAGCAAATACATTATTTAGTGTATCGGAGTCCTCGTATACTATCCATCTAGTTGAACATCTGATGAGATAACATTAACAAAAGATGGGCAATGACCAGCTCGGACATTAGCGCCGGGCAGTGGACAGTGGGCAGGTCATGCAGCTGTGTCAGCGGACAGTCCAGGGTCCGAACCGCAGCGCCGCATACGTTGGACGGGCCAGTCAGCAATGTCGGACACCGGACAGTTGACAGGCCGGTACCTGGTGGCACTAGCGGCTGCGAACAGGTTGTCTCAGCCTGAAGTTCCGGTTCTAGGATTTGGAGGTGTTTTACACAGCTTTGCACATACCACCCCAAAAGCAACTGGGGTATCCCAGGGGTATCCCGCTTTTTAAAATTCAAGAAGAGGCAAGTGGTGCGAGGGTCCGTGGCTAATGCATTTTGTATAATGCATGCCTTATGTTGATATCCAAACTTAATTATTTGCGAATGGTATAAATGACATTGGCTCAATTTTATCACTCATGTCACAATCAAAGACTTGGTACGATAGCCATTGGTTCACCTGCAGCTGCAATACAGCCAGTTCTGCAGTGCTGATTACCGCTTATCATTCCCCTGATAGTATCGACCACATGCACCTACCCATCCGCTAATTGTTAAGAACACCCAATCACCAATGTTTTATCCATGCCGTCCAATTATCACCAAAACCAGACGCTGTCATTAAACCTGCTTGACATACATTTGCTATTGTTAATATCGGAACGCAACGTGTTTTACCGAAATGAAAATGAATACCTACTATATTGAAACGCTAGTATCAGTGGAGTTTGACATCTGACTATTAGATCACGATTTCCATAACCAGCCACTAGAACTGTGTGTCAAAGGGCAACCGCTCTCCCTCGTCACGCCCACGCGAGATTTTGGTGCTAGTGTTCTGGTCGGCGCTGCAGTCTCCCTACTCTCGTCTCGGTAGATGAGCTCTCGCTCCGGCCGCGGTCACGGTTACGCCCCGGTTCCACCGTTGCAGTCTCTATCTCAGCCTAGCGCGGATGATGCTGATTCCGCGGTCAAAGGCTATGGTCGCTGCGGTCAAAGGTGGTCGTCGCGGCAAAGGCTATGTGGTTGAGACCTTGGTCGGAGAGGGAGCGTCCTCGGATAGAGCGGGACGTTCTCGCCTCCAGGACGTCCCCGATTAGACTGCCGGGAATGTGAAACATGTCCGTCGATGGAAGCTATAGTGCGTCAGACCTCAAAGCTTAGTGGCTGGAAAACACCAGACACGTTTTTAAGAAACAATATCTTGCGTGCTTTATGAAAATTTACGTCTGAAAATGTAATGGGTATTTGGTTGAAACCATGTTGTTAGGAAATCGTAACACCGTTTACATTTTTACAAGATAAACCATTCTTTATTCTGTATTCTAGCCTTTGATATAACATATGAAGCATTAAAGATACCGTAAGGTGGGGCTATTTGAGACAGTGGGGCTATTTGAGACAGTATTTAAAAGTGTTTAAAAGTGCTATAAAATAAAAACCACTTAAGATTCGTGCTTAATTTTTTACTCAGGCGATTTACTGCTCGATTCCACACCTCCCTGGGCAAAAATATCACACAAAAATCAAACGATCTTCATTTTATAGCGATTTTAAATACTGTCTCAAATAGCCCCACTGTCTCAAATAGCCCCACTTTACGGTACGCGTGAAAATGTACTACGACGATCCGACTGTAAGCTTAGATGGATGTCTCAAGAACCTTCTCATTTCAGATATTACCGAAGTCATGCTTCTGAATATATGTTCAGCATGTATTAGTAAACATACGCGCCTTAATCGACATATCAAGTGATAGCACCATGCAGCAGTCGACTTCTGCAACAGTGACGCTAGAGACCAGCTCTTCAGGGCGCACGAACCATATCCTATGAAAATAGCTGCTGCCGCTGCCATCAGCAATCAATATGGCGTTCCGATTCAATGCTACGGTGACTTACATTTATTATAGTCTGCATCACACCGGTCCTGTTGGTTGAATACAATGTCGTTATATGACTGTGGTTAGCATTTCAAGACCGAAACGCATAAATCAAAAATTGCGTTTTCCGTTATAATTCCCATAGAACGTTTAATGGGAACTGGTTTACCATAGCAGCGGGTTTTGTTTCTACAAGTTTAAGTTTCGCCTGAGCAGCAGCAGCAGCAGCGTTTTACAATTAATGTGAGCGTTACTAACTATAAGGTAGAAACATATAACACATATGCATAGTCGAATGCACCATGCACTTCATCGAAGCCTTCAGTTCAGCATACAACAGTTGTTCCATGATTGCAGAAACAGTTGGTTCAATGGAACTCACCTATATAGAGCAAACATCTAAGGAAAGACAGTCTTCATAGCTAGCCATAACACGTTTATAGCAGGCACGTCATACAACCTTCTTCTGCAGGAGACAAAAACCTGTTTGCGTGATCCAACATCGAAAACGTCGCAGCACTTTTACACGCAGGGACCGTTAGTCTTACTGATCGGAGCTGCCGTCCGCACAGAAAAAAGTAAAATCTGCAATATCTGGCTCTAAGGCCTGTCAGATCCCAGAACCTGAGACAAACCCCGCGGAACAAAAACGCACCAGGGAGCGGCGCGCAGCGCGCGGTGACCAGCGGAGCGTACACGCAGCACCTGGCCTCATCTCGATAACGTGCAGATTCCCGTTCTTCTCTGTCACATCTCGCGGCAGACGACAGCGCACTCGCGCGGCCTGCGGTTCTCTCTGCAGCGGCGCCGCGGCTCGCCCGTACAGCTCGGCGAGCCCTGGCTCCGCGCTGGGGGAATGTTCTGGACCGGCCTCTCTCAGACACTCCAGAGCAGCAGATGGTTGGTGGAATCATCTCGTCCGGAGAGGGCTGAGCCCGAGGAACGGAAGTCCTCGTAACCGTCACCTCCAGACACCACCAGGAACTTCCCCGGTGCAGGCTCCTGAAAACACACGTCACGGGCAGATCATTGGTGATTCATGGATGCTGGGATTATTGGAGATTCATGGCACTGTGGGACGATAACACACTCGTAACCGCGCCCACGCTTTGAGGCTCCCTAGAGGATAAAATGCAAGAATGAAGCGCTCTGGCTCAAGAGGAGAGGAGGGGGAGCAGAATGCGGAACCTGTTTCAGCTACTTTAGAACCTCTAAGGCCTAAAAGCAAAACTAGAGAGTAGGTATGTGGGACAAGATGATATCGCAAGGTATCGGTGCAATATTAATTATTCTGTAAGTTAAAGGTCATGCCATACAGCCAAACGGCTCATCATCCAGCCACTGTTACGAAACTGGTCATTCCTCGTACTTAAAACATTTATGTACAAAACACCGTTGTGATACCATCTGACGTCAACATAAGTCCAGCAGCCGGGCATGTTTCTAAACCAGGTTTGCAATGGGAGTTTCCTCACTGGAGAAAGGAGTCTGTCACCGCTTCGGAGACGGCCGAGCTGTCGGCGAGACTTGGCACGCGGCGGCGCTGTCGGCTCTCCGGGTGTCGAGGACTCGACGAACGCCAGGAACCGCACGTGACCTGTGTGACCATGGGACACACCTGTTGGAGAAACGGGGAGGACGTCAGGCCGAGCGGAACACGAATGGGTGCTGCAGGTGCCGCTGCAGGCCGCTGCCGCTCCTCCTCCTGCTGGCTGCTGCTGCTGCTCCTGCTGCTGGCTGCTGCCAGGTGCCGCTGCTGTCTGCCACGAAACGTTTTTCACAGCCTTCTGATCAATTCAGGCACTCAGGCTATCGGTATCCAATAAACAATAATTTTATCATATACCACATCTTTCTAGAAAGCTAAAAGGGAGGAGAAGGTCCGGCAGTATATTCCACAATGTTCACGATTTTCACATACAATGACATAAGTTGCGCTTCGTTATCTGTTTCTTGGAAACTAATCACAGTTCAAGAAAACAATAAGTGTAGTGATATACCGAAGTTCGTGTTCACCAGCTGCACATCTTTATAAGTGCAGTAGCGTTGACTGCCAGGAACATGAAACGGCTAGCCTTTGCTAACTTTTTACGGTCGCTCACAGAAGCGCATCCGGAGGAGGTTGACAGGGTGCATGACTCGTCTGTCGAAAAAAGCAGTCCCGCAAGGAGAGAAGGAATATCTGAGACCATCACTATGTAACTTTGGTTTGTATGTACTATCAATTAACGCTATTCAGATATCAATCTGCTGAGTGTTATCAAGATATTATCAGCTTATTTTCAAGTTACCTCTTAACTCTGACTCTACTTCTGTGCGTTGAAGGAGACTGACAATCGCAGCCATGGGAGGTTAAGCGATGATTTGTGAGATATAATACAACTGCTGAGGTCCAGGTCATAAGACTGCCACAGAGTGCTTCCTTAACAATGCCGGTGGCTGTGAAGATTTTAGCGCACATAATTTCTTCTGGTGTCGACCTAAAAATTGCCGACTATCCGGCAGCCATGACCTGTTTTTTCCCGATACAGATCAGACTGCCTTGGTCTGCCATGTTCATCTCGTAATGACAACTCTAGCCCGTCTTCTAAATCGTCCGGGGAGGACGTCTTCTGTGAAGTGCCGCTGCACTGCAGAGGGTAAGGTGACAGCCCAGAAAAAAAAATCAAGTAAACTATCGTTCTTAGAGGACTCACAGATGAACGATTTCTCTAAAAGAAATGAATAGACAGTCACCATTCGCTTAACCGTATTCTTGCCAGATAGGTTTCTTAACAGCCTGTTTATTTGCAGAGGTCATGTGCTATAATTATACACAATTCGTGTGGACCTAATGGATTACTGCTCTGTTGCAAGGAGCTAATCCAACGAAATGCCAGCTCACCACAAAAAGCAACTCCGGGACACTGATGCAAAAAGACAGATACAGCGAACTCATCGACTTTTGCCAATTAATTGATGTTGCAATATGCTATGATGCATCACGATTGACCACCTATGCAGGTGTTTTAGAATGCAAACTAACGAAGTGGCATTATCCCTGAACGTGCTTCCAGGTATTCAGTCTGGGACTATGGCATTGCCTGGTGCGTATGAGAGGCAATGCGTGGAGGTCAGGCCGTCGTCGTGTCAGATCTTATTTCTCCCTACTGGCACCTCACACCGGCTCTCCCAGGTCGGATTAGTCCGGCGGCCCGCGGGCTCGGCTGCACGGCAGGTCCAGTTCACCCGGAGGTCACCAGACGCCGTGTAAGCCGGACCGTGTGCGACTGGCCGAACGCAGCCGCCGCGGTGCTGCGGCCATGACATTTGGAGGACGCGCAGATGAGCGCTCTGGGCTTCCCGACAGTGGGCGCTGTTCAGACAGTCCCCGGCCCTGTCCGCCGCGCGGCGGACACTTCAGAGCGGCCTGCAGAAACGCGTTATCCAACGCCGAATCTCGATGAACAACGCGATAATAACGCCACCGAAGGCTCGACAGTCATTCAGAACAGGCTCGTTTTTGTGATTGACAAAGATAAGGGTGTGAGAAGACAGATTTAGTGTCACCAAGTGAACTGACAGCCTTGAATTAGGAGATTAACTTTGACGAAATCAATTTCAAACCTACCAAAAAAAAAGAAGAAAAAAAAAACAGCAACATCTTCCGCACCTACATGCATGCATACCCATGTATGTAATGCATCTATGCAGCAACCCAACATGTGGTTTGCCTTATTTTTAAAACAACTTATTCTGTATGTCTTATCTGTCCAACAAAAACATCCACCATCACATTCGGGAGTTCAGACAGCCATTAGGGATCTGCGGCATCATATCCCGATACTGATGAGAGAGACAGCAATCCGACCCATCAGCAATGTGCAGAGCGCTATCGACCGATGCATCAGGCATGCCGCCGGTGGCTGCTGTGAGCCGCACACAATGCATGATCGATGTCCATGGATACCCGTGGGAAATTACGACCGAGTTACGACCACACTCTAATCCAGTGGGCATGACGTTCATGAATCATTACCTCTGGGATGCGAAAAAGTGCAATGACATAAGCGGAGATGCAACAAATTAGGAATTGTATATAAGCTATTTCAGTGTAGTTTCAGGTAAAGCAGTTGAAGGCTTCTCCTAAAAAAAACGCTATCAATCACATCAGTGTTTTCCAATGAAGATTGGACCGAATGAAATGCAAGTTTTGCGGTCCCGATAGAACATTAATTAAATGTTCCTAACTCTGTTCACTGAGATTTAAAAAGAGTAGGGCAACCATGACCAGTATAATTGAATTGATCTCAACCCTTATACCAAATACCTTGACTTTTAATCGGTGATAAGCCTTATTAGCAAGCACGTTTCCATCTCTCAGCTGTAAAAGCGGCTCTTCATTAGTAGTCCATTTTTTCAATTCCCTTGCAGAACATATACTGCAGTTTTTGTTGAAAAAATACATTACATAACAGAAGAAAAGGGGGAAAATTATACAAAGTATTTTACATTCCCAGTAGGTAACAAATTAACTAACACCATTCTACGTAATTATCCCATGCATGCATGACAAACAACGTTTTACAAGTAAACCCTCGCCCGTATCGATGTTTTGCCAGCCAATAGCGCACAAGGGGGGGGGGGGGAGGAGGTCCATTGGACCCCTGCCGATCGGCCCCTGATCGAGCTAGAGCTTCACAATGAAAAAGAGCGTGGTGCCCGTGATTTTTTGACAGCCCCGGCTAGAAAAACGAGCTTTCTTATTTTCTCTCTTGAATATGATCCAGCAATCATTTAGTGATTGCATCTATATTCCAAACACTTGGCTAAGTCCAATGGTGTCATGGACTTGCATGAGGTGACTTATTGCAACACTCGGACCATGATCTGTTATATGTAGTGACCACAAACCACACCAGCTTCATTAGAAAGAGCATACAGAGAACTGGTTTGGTAAAAATGGCTGAAATATTACATGGTGCAAAAATCTACCAAGATAAAGCAAACATGTGACTATAGCAAAAGTGCGTACGAACCTCTCTGAAAACAATGTTAAAACTTCATCTATCGTGTAACTGTTCAAGATCCGACCACCCCAAATTTTGAGATTAGGAACGACGTCTAATGAGTCTCCTGACGGGTATGGATGCGGTTGGTGGCAGGCCGTAGCCAGGCAAAGTTAGTGAGTGGACAGGCCGTGCGCGGCTATGTGCGTACGTTAAACTTTGGACTCCGAATTCTGCCATAGATCAGGAATTGCGCGATCAGAGGGTAGAGGGCAGGGCCAACGCAATAAGCTCTGCTTAGCGGTGGCTCTTTCCTTATGAATCCTTCCAACCAATAGGTTGGAACAAAATTTATATAAAAAATGTCTTATGATGTTGGGACTTGTAAAAATGTGATGATTTCTTGGTATTGCTTTTTCTAATTCCTTGTATATAGTTCAATTAATAAGATCGCACTTTAATTCTACTTAAAAATGTCTTAAACATAATTATAACTATATTTCTTAATGGGTAAGCCTTGGTAAATTTCGAAAATGCGGGTAACCCTAGAGAACACATGCAAGCTACACGTACGGAAGTCCAATGACGCCTTCTCAAGCTATCATTCATACATGAATCACGGCCATAAAAATTTCAAGTGCGTCACGGCTCATGACACCGTTTAACCTCCTTGGATCACATCTCGCACCGTTCTGACACGTCTGACGGGGGTGGGGGCGTCAGATCACAGCTCCAGGTGACAGCGTGCTCTGGCTGAACGGTGCAGCGGTCAGCGCGCTCCTGCAGAATCCCCATAGGCCACTTTCTCCGACACGTCACAAGGTCACCAGATCATCTTCCCTGTGGAGGCGGCGGCGACGCGCCGGTCCGGTCCGACCCGGTCTTCGTATCTCTGCTCTGAGCGGCGGCACTTCGCGGACGTGACGTCACCGGATCGGGGTATAAAACCGTCATCCGCCGCCGAGATGGGCACATTCTGCTGTCTGCCATCCGCTCTGTGGTGGCACCTGAAATCCTCTAGGTGAGTGGCCGCCGAGAGGCGCTGGGCGGTGGCGGTGAACAAAATGGGGAGAACTCAGCCTGAACGAGACCATCTGAGGCAACGAGCGAACGTCCGCCTCATTGTGCAGTGCACGAGTGATTTGGTTGAAAGTTGAATTTATTTAACAATTTTGCCTTATTAATCGAGACTCCATGTGTCCAAAGAAGAATGAATTGGAAAAAAAAATATTTGTTACACTCGGACGTTCACCTAAAACGGTGACCGTCTAAAAAAATTGAATTAGCGCAATAAGATCGCTCGCAAAAATCATATTCCATGAAGACCTGAATAACTAATGAGCTAATGTGACTGAAATCCTCGGTCAGAGCAGACTATGAAGCTCATAGTTAAAAGCATTGTACGATATCAACTCCGAAAAAGCTTTATAATGCACGAATATAGCCTCGTCATTTTTTCATTAGCACATGAACGCCTTCAGTGAATCACTTATTATCAAGCATGAAGTCAACGTGCTGGCGACTTTGTTGTAATAAATCGCAAGACTTTGTCTGCTTGAGTTTTGTTGAACAAAAGCATGTTTTTAAGTAAATGCAGATTTAGGTTTGAATTAATCAAAGATAATGCAAGAGCTTCCCAACCCAATTTTCATACAGAGCACCCACCCTAATTTTATGCATTTTTTTATTGTTGGAGCCAGCAACTGCAAGCTGCGGAGCTGGACGCAAGCGTTCATGAAATCACCAGTTCCCACTATCTTCGTACTGGCGGAAGGAAGTTACTCTGGGTCACCTGCTGATAGGTGGCTGCTGGAAATCAGACCTCGGAAACGGTGCACGAGGCCCGCCCCGCGACCCGTCCTGGTGGCCCGGCCAGAGTGGGCAGTAAAGTCCATCCAATCTCAGTATAGCCACTCCGCTCACAACTGCCATAGAGAGAGGTACATGCCGAGGATAAGTGATTGGACTTTATTGCCCACTGCCGACACCTTGCTCAGCTGAAGTTCCGCTCAGAGCCACATAAGGTCCAATCACTGATCCCCATGTACCTGCTCTCTGTTGCAGAATGTGGCGGATTCTGGTTTCCTCCTTGCTGGTGGCCCAGGCGGCCGGTCAGGGCTCTGGATTCTCCAGCGCGCTGACCCTGGCCGACGGCTACCTGCCGCCCGGCGGCCCGGACAACCCCACCCCCAACGTGGTGCGCTGCGAGCAGCCCAAGACCTTCTACAAGACGGAGACGCAGCGCATCGTCAACACCGTGGTCAAGACGGTGCTGGTGACGGTGCCGCAGGTGATCCAGAAGACGGCGGTCGTCACCAAGGTGGTACCCTCCACCATTCTGGTCACCAGCATACAGCAGGTCAAGTCGCCGGTGGTGCGCACACAGATTGAGTCCAGCATCGTCAACCGCGTCTCCACAATTACCGTGCAAGGCCCGGGCCGGACCAGCGTTCTGCCCGTGACCCAGTCGAAGGAGCAGATCAGCTACAAGACAGAGCAGCGCGTTGTCCAGCGCACCGTAACGGTCACCACACCGCAGGTGCGGTACTCGACTGTGGTGCAGCGCATCACGAAGACCATCACGGAGCGGGTGCCCCAGGTGGTCTACGTCACCAAGGTCGTGCAGGTGCCAGGCCGCAACGTGGTGGTCACCAAGACCGAGAAGAGGCGGATCACCAGCGTTCAGCCCTACCAGCCGCCGGCGCGGACTAGCATCAAGAACGAGATCGCCTACGTTACCTCTGTGGTGGTGCGTCAGATTCCTGGACCGGTCATCAACAAGGTCAACAACATAGTGCGCACGGAGATCGTCGAGCAGACCAGCGTGAAGCGGGTGCCCCAGATCAGCACCCAGATCGTCCCGCAGAACAAGGAGGTGCTCCGGACGGTGACGGAGACGAAGACGGTGAGCCGAGTGCAGGTGCGTACCATCGTCAGAACCGAACAGGTACCCGTGCTGCTGACGAAAACCGTGAAGAGCTACATCACTGTGCCGCTGGTGCTGACCTCGACCTCCACCGTGCTGCGGACGGTGCCCGGACCGGACGTGGTTCGCAGCGTCATCCGCACTGATCTGCAGGTGGCCACCGTGCGCGGCCAGGACCGCGTCATCACCGACCTACGCACCATCAGCAGCGTCCTTACCAACATCGTCAGGACGACAGTCATCAGGCCGAGAATCGTCACAAAGGAGGTGGTCAAAACCGAGAAGTGCGACGATGGATACCACTATGACGCCCCCAAGAATCCATTCAACTTCTAAGAAGCTCCATGGAGACCAGAGTTCATCCTACGATCAGCTGGGATAGTACTGATGTACCAATTGCGATTACACTGAGGGTGTGCCTGCCCCGACCACATGACAGCTGGCACATCACACGTTTGTAACTGAAATAATAAATAAATTGACACCACATCACGGCGTTTTTCCTTATAAATAAAAATACATGCCCCAGTTGAAAATCACCGCATCTTCAGGTAAGTTTGCATTAGCATGCATTTGTTGTGCACCTCGCTTTGTTTCCGTCTTGCATTTCTTGATATCATCGACTCTTTGCCAGAACAACGCATGGGTATATGGCCTTGTTTGTTCACTAATGGTGTCCTGTTAATTTCAGAATGCGGACCTTCTTCGCTCTGGCATGCCTGGTGGCGGCGGCGTCTGCGGCGCCGCAGTTGGCTGACTCGTACCTGCCGCCGGACCCGGAGCCCACCTACCCGCGCGGCTCCTCCACCTGTCTGCCCGTGCAGGACGTCTACAAGACCAAGATCGTCTCGGTGCCCGTCAACAAGGTAGAAGAGAGCTCGCGCCAGGTGGTGGTTCCCGAGACCAAGTACTTCACCAGTACTACGGTGGTGCCCAGCCTCATCAGCCGCCAAGTGATCAACACCCAGATCGTTCCCGTCACACAGATCAAGGTGGTCCGATCCACCTTTGAGCGCACCCAGCTCAAGACCATCACCGTGCCGGGACCGGACCAGGTCATCCGGACCACAATCGTCAAGTACGTGCCCGTCGTCAAGACCGTCTACGTGACCTCCACACAGGACGTGGTTCGCACGGTTCCGAAGATTGACGTCAAGTTGGTTAGCTCCACACTGATCCAGCAGAGCACGGTCCGTGTGCCGCAGATCAGCACTGAGACGAACACGGTGCGTCAACAGCTGCCCGATAACGTCCGAACCACGGTCAAGTACCTCACCGACATCGTGTACGTCACTGAGACGCTGCCAGCTAAGACCATCCAGCGGACCGTCGTGAAGACGGAGACAAAGACGGTGATTAGTTCCGTGCAGCAGCCGGCGCGTACTGTGTACGTGGACCGCACCCAGGTATCGACCGTCATCCGGCCGGTGACCAAGACAGAGCTGGTGCCCCAGGTGGTTACCGAGGTCAAGGTCAACTACATCACGAAAGTTGTACCCGCCTTCATCACCAGCGAGGTGGTGGTGCCCTCTACGAAGATTGAGCGGAAGGTAGTGCCCGTCACCAGCTACCTGACCTCTGTGGTGCAGCTGCCGGTGACTGAGACCGTGCTCAAGACGGCCGTTGTTACCTCGGTGCAGCCTGGTCCCGGCAAAACCGTCCTCCGCACCGTGGTCAAGACAGTGATCAACACCAAGCTGGTGCCGGGCGCCACGAGCACCATCGTCAAGAACGTCACCAAAGTCAACACCATCAACCGGGTCTCCACGGTGATCAAGGACCAGATCAGCAGCGTCTACAAAACCAAGATCGTGAAGGAGTCCTGCAGTGGATACAACTATGATAAGCCCCGCAACCCGCTCCTCTTCTAGACGCGCTGTTATCGAAATGTGAACATCTAGAGCCGCCGTGTACGCGGCAAAACACACACAATATCGGACATCTGTACGTACAGCCAGCTGCCTTGTGGTCGGGCAGATAAGCGCTCGCTCAGTGTAATCGCAATAAATACAGAAAACGAAGTCGTTCTCTCTGTTTCATAGCATGTGCGGACACACAAGTAGCACCAATACGGGAAAATTCAGCTTTCTGAGAAGCTGGTCTAGGGTTCCAGTAAAATCAGTGCGATGTCTGCCTCATCCCATCTCAAAATTTTGCTCCTTCGTGTACACCATTTCTTGAACGTGTTTTACATCGCGGGATTAATTCTAAATGACATAAATAGCCGAGTACCTAATCATAACATGATCGCCAGAGGTGGTAGCAACGATTATCAAATTAACTTGATAGCTTAAATGCCAATGCATTGTGTTAGGTAAACTAATAGAAGTAGGTATCAGTCACAAATTATGCTGGGGCATTGACGATGATAGGTAAGAACTAAATGCGTACTAATAATTTATGTTCCGATTGAGTCTGTTCATTTTGACCCTGTCAATCACCGAAACCACAGAGAGCATCCTTTGCCAGACCATTTTTTTAAGACCATTGTTCTCCCGACCACAAAGACCAGGCCGCTTCCCCTCGCCAGACTACTGGTCTAGTCTTGCCCTGGAACACAGACCACTGCCCCACCTCAGCTCGGTCTAATCTCGCCCCTGACCCGGACTGGTATCGCGTGATAGCGAACAAGCCTGACGCGTTGTTTGTCTTAAAGGTAGACTGCCACCTTTTTTCCACAAAACGGTTTTCACCAGAGCTGAGCCACCTATGTCCCAGACTGAAGTCGGTTTTCCGAAATTCGAACCCGTTTGCGAGAAATCGGAGACCAAAGTTCAGTTTGATGCCATTTTTTTAGTCCAAGAAAACCGACATCTCTACTGTTTATCGATAACTTTGAAACACAAATTTTCTTATCTTTTGGTAAATATATGTCAAAACTTTGATTGTTTCGAGATCAGAGAAGAATTTTGGAGTGTCAAAATAAAAGTTAAACTTATATATTCAGTAGTTCATTTTTTCCAAAAAAGTGTGGGAAATGGGGTTTAACATGGGCCAGACCCATTCCAAATGAGCCATGATTTTAAAAAATGTTTTACGTACTTAAATGCAAAATAAATTAAACATGGCCAATTTCTTATGAAATCATATATTAGTAAATCATAAAATACCTTACTTTTTCAAATAAAATGTAATAATCTTATGACCTTGAAGTCTAGTGATGTGTAAACATTGTCGCTAGACATTAACTGATTGATAATTGTATGATAATCGACATTTTTTTCGCGATTCACGTGATGATACTTTGTCAGGTGAATTCTAAAATTTTGTTTTGTCCAGGGAATAAATCATAGGCCGATCTGAGAAAACTTTTTGAAGGTGGCAGTCTTCCTTTAAGAGCACAGCACATGTCGCAAGAACAAATGTGATTTAGTAGGCTACAGATGTGCCATCCGACCGGTATTATTACAGGTCGGCACTGCTTAAGGCGGAGTACTTAAGCTGGTGCCAGTGCCGTCTGGGATTACAAGTGGTTTAAGTACTTTAGTAAGGTGATTCTGGTCAGATTAGAACTGGCGCATCCCGGTTAATGGTAAAAATAATCATAGGAGAAAAGCAGCTTAGCTCAAGGGATGCACAAAAACCAGGACAGACGATTTTGTGGATTTTTATTAAGCTTCAGGGACATTCTGCTAAATCAGCCTTTCATTAGATATGATAAATTCCCATGTGAAGCAAGACGTGCATGCTCCTTGCAGTTATTTCACCTCGCCCGAAATAATTAAAGTCACTGGGGATCGAAGACAAGGAAGTCATTATTCTTACGCACGAGCACATGAAACCCTCGAGTTCCCTCGGAATCCTTGCGAAAAATAATAAGAATCGATAAAATTCCAATCGATTTTATCCAATCTATTCCAGCTTCTATATAAAGAGTAAACAAGTTGTGCTTTGTCTATGCTATACATAGCGACGTGCAGTGCAGCGTATAGTAATTGAGTTCTATGAAACGAATAATCAACAAGTCGACTTCATACCCTCCGGAAGTGCTTCAAACGACACCGATTGGTGACATAAAATCGAAGTGTGTACCTATCTGGAGAGATGCATGAGGCGATACTTTGGTTATTTTAAGAATATGTATTATGCATGTAACGACGGGACGCTTTGTGCTTCATACAGCAACATGACCATTCTTCAAAGGGTTGAATTTGAAATGGATTTCATTTCATTTCATTGGATATAAACGTTCGGAAAAATCGTCACAAACGGCGGGATTGGCCTTGAAATTGCACTTTACTTTCTCGGCCCACATGAAAGGATTTACTCTGTAACGGGAAAATGAGACTTGTAACTACATATATCTGTGCTACACATGTCACGTCCTACTTTAAAAATTCATTTATCTAAGAAGGAAACCGGTTTCTCGATATTTAACTTCAGTATGCTTTCTGTTTTGTCCGCATGTGACATAATATTTTCATCTCTGTACTTTGAATCTTACGATAAAAGTATGGCACAGGGATTGAAACGAGAATACACGCCCAAATATCCCCCCCCCCACACGCACATCACAAATCGCTGTGCCACAAAATTGCAGCCTCCCTCCCACCCAGTCGGTAGGTAAGTAGTAAGTACCGGCCGACAGCGCACCTGCGATGCTGAGCGTGCTGGTGAGGCTGCCGGAGGCGGTGCTGGCCAGTGGTGGCAGCGGCAGGTTCAGCAGCACACCAGCAGAGCTACCGATCCACAGCAGCTCCTTACAGACCATCAGAGAGGTCACCCGCAGACACGCTGTCTTGTGCTGCCGAATAATGCTGTCACAGCCTGCACAAAATGCAGACATCATCAGTCAGTGGATGGTTCACGGTGGTTCACTCAGGGGGAGCTCGATTAGGTTGACAGTCATGCGCGCAGAGTGATGCTAGTGTGTTTTGCGTAAGCGCTGCACGTGGACCGCATAGCGATTAGTCAGATTGGCCGTCAAGGCAAAAAGACACCGCCAGAGAGAATGACGACGGAAATATTTGGATGTGTTTACTGTTTGTCTCCTGAATGTGTTGTCTGGAACAGATGGAATGCTGAGCTGAAGTGATGACACTTGACTGAACTATCAGTTTATGACTTCGAGTTTCAGAGTCATATGCAATAAAAAAGTCCGTAAAAAGAAAATGCAGATTCACGTCACTCCGTCCTTCTCTAGACTGAGCAATCAGCATACACTCCACTTATTACGATATTCTTTACGATACAAGCAAAAGCTAGAATCTTACAGAACATAAGGCTGCATGAATGTATTACGTATACGCTGCATATGCTATTGCAATATACATAATCGAGATGACACATGTCGCGCTGTGCGCGGGCGCGCAGACTTCACACCGCTCTGGCTGCCACTGACCGGAGAGCATGCGCGTGACGGCCGAGGTGACGTCCACCTCGCAGATCCGCTGGAATGTGGACGCGTTGAAGAGCCGGATGGTGGCCGTGTGGTGGAAACTCATCCACACGCCCAGGTCACAGCAGACCAGTGCCTGGACGGCCGTGTGTCGGCGGCCGCTGACCGCCACCGACTGCTGCGGGGGTCAGGAGGGGATGTCAGCAGGGGGGCAGGAAGTCAGCAGAGATACCGCTGACCACTATCGACTGCTGCGGAGGTCAGGGGAGGGAGGGGAGGTCAGCAGAAGGTCAGACATAGGTCACGAATGGATAGTGAAGGTCAGCAGGGGATGGCGATGGGACCACATTAAATTTTAGCAAAATTTACTTGGTCAGACTGTGTTCATTGCGTAACATTTTATTCTTGCGTATCAAGTCATTCGTACCTATCCCAGCAACGTGTCTTCAGTTCACTGAATACTTACCAGCACGGTGTCAGTGACTGGGTCTAGAACCTTGACCACATTGTTCGTGCAGACCCACAGTTTTCCGTGAACTTTGGCTAGCTTGTTTATTGGATTTGATGAAATCTTCATCACTTGAGGATTTTGGAGATTCCAGCATCCACCTGAAAACAATGCAATGCGATAAAACATCGGATATCTCAAATAAAGAAATACCTTCCTCACATTTTTGGTAAAGCTCGCTCAATGACCAAACATTGTTTGGATACGAAGATATAATAATGAATCAAGATGATCATTTTGCTGATGTAACAACTATTCTGTTAGCAATACCAAAAGTTGCTGAAATGGACCGTTCTTTCACGTAAGGCCCATCAGCGCGGCTGTGGGACCACCGATCACATCATCAGCGCGTGCTCGACGCTCAGTTGTCGGCTCACCGGCCCCGGCACCCGGCACCGGCCGTTGCATGACCCAATCAATCAGCCCGCCTTCACAGCAGGTGGCGGGGGTACCGCCGGGTCCCGAGCGGTGCATCGATCTACATACCTTCCGTGCGCGCGAACGTGGAGACGGCCCCGCTGCCCAAACCGACGAACACACGGTCGTCCAGGTAGGCCAGCGAGGTCACGGCCGCGCCCAGCTGCGTCTTGACGGTGGTCTTTTTGACGCGCACGTAGTCGCTGCAGTTGTACACGTAGATGCATCCGTCCTCTGTTCCGATCCACATGGTGGCCTGCGAGGGTTTGGCAGCCTCGTCGGCCGCCCCTCGAGGACCGACAGTGGACTCGTCCGCCACCCCCCGGCGACTGCAGGTGGACTCGTCCACAGACAACTCCGAGTCGGAGGAACTGCCGCGAACAAAAGCACGACGTCAAATGTCCGACATAATTGCTGGCCACGACAGGTGTAACGTTTGAATGACGCTTGTTCACAAATACTTTAGTTGGTCTGTAAGTTTGAAAGTGCTTAGGTAATTATTCGACAAATATGTTTCTAGGAAAAGAGGTGGATACATAAATTCCTCCCATGCTAAAGGCTCTAGCAACTGCTTTTCGCTGTTGAAGGAAGCAAAAGGTACCTACCTATACCATTAGACTAATAAAGACATTTTATTTCACTCATTGTTGTAAGGCAATTAAGTTCACCATTGTATGTACTCGTATTTTTAATGCACCAAAAGTATGCTAATAGGTAATGCCTTTTATCTCTCTTCTGTTCTCTTCTCTCTCTCTCTCTCTCTCTCTCTCTCTCTCTCTCTCTCTCTCTCTCTCTCTCTCTCTCTCTCTCTCTCTCTCTCTCTCTCTCTCTCTCTCTCTCTCCGTCTCTTCCGCCTCTTTTTCTCTCCTTCTCTTTATCGTATCGCAATGAAGCAATCGGCTCCTTTCTTAGATAGAGAATGTTAACCCTCGCCGGCACGGGGGGTTGATGCAACCCCCTAAGGTTTTTCGCGAATAACTCGCGTAAAAAGCGGCCGATTGCGACGAAACGTTCAGTACATCGCATTGATTAATTTTACACCTACCCTGAAAATTTCATGACCCTGACCCCAATGACCTTTGATCTGTGACCTCTTTTCCGTGACCATGTTTGGCCGAAATCGCGATTCGGCGTATGTCGGCTCGCATTAGCCGCGCGTTTGCAAGCTTTTCGTGGTTTCAAACGTTCAAACATGTGATTTGATGTTGCTCCCATGCATTAGGGTGGGTGTCAAGGTCACCTGAAGGTCAGGTCAGGTCATTGACCTTTGGTGACCTCGGTTCACTTTTTCGAGTTTTACATGTTTCTAGGCTAGTTTTTGGAGCTGAATTCGAATTTAGCAACCATTTAAACATTTACGAAGTAGTCTTAGTGCCTTCGTAACATGTTACGAAGCTGTCAGAGGCGGTTGACACGTATTACGAATACCCGTCATGACCCCTACCGGTTGACCTGACCTGACCTGACCTGACCTGACCCGACCTGGTCTTAACGCTTAACGACATCATCTGTGATCAAAACTAACACGATATTCGTGATCAGCACCCCGGAAAACCCCTTAGCAGCCACGCTTTATGACTTTCTAGCAGGTCACGATATTCCCGATTTTTCGGTCATTGACCTGACCTGGAAGGTCAACCGATGACCTAGGACCTTAAATTGGGTATCATTGGCTTCTTCTCGTGACGGGCAACACGCTCGTCTTTTCCGTGAAGCTCTAGCTCCATCAGGGGCCAAACGCGAGGGGGGGGGGTTGTACCCCCCCCCCTTGTGCCGTCGAAGGACTCAAAATGGCCTGTGCCGGCGAGGGTTAATGAAGAATCAATTGCTCGCTGAGAAGTAGGTTCCGTTTTACTTTGGAGCCTTTCCAATGCCCTTAGATCTCTGAACAAAACATCATCGTTCGGGAACTTTCACACAGCTTAGTGTGGTGCACTCAGACAGCCATTCTAAACAAAACAATCACATCAAAATATTTTGTATAATCAGCATCGCGACAATAACTTTTTACCTTCCTCAATGAGCAAAACAACACAGCAATGGATAACGCGTGCCGTGTGTGTAGGCCAGGACCTTTTTAGTATGCATGGCCGTTGTTATTGTCGTGCCTGTACCACGCAAATACTAATAAGACGGGACTGGAATGATGTAAATTTGCATCACCTGGTCCCATTTATTGCCTACGGAAGCAGGGATCAGCTTTGTGCCATCAAGAAAATCATTCATGCGGATTACACAATACCACTTCGCGTTACGTGCTGGCTACGTGAAAAATAGCAAAATTTGCGCTCTTGAAAATAATTTCAGTGTTTTAACTGAAGAAGAAAGTCAACTGCGCACTTCCGAGTCTATCTGTTTATGTTTTCGTGCGTCATACTCATAAGTGTGCCCACAGCCACGACCAATGACCATTGATCATACTTTTCCGTGCGTGCCATACTCCAGCCCGCAGTTATGCAATATGTATGCAAGGGCTGCGAGCGTGTGAGTGCGTGCACTCTGCGCACAGGCAGCCACGATCGATGACGGGTAAATTAACCATCGGATCGTGACCCTACCAACAAACATCATCGTAGCATCAGACGACGAGCACGGATTGCATATTTATCAGAAGCGATTCGCGGATAAATTAGGCCGATTTGCGAGCAGTGCCTCGTATGATGGGATATGGAGAGGGAGTGGGCTATGGGAGGGGTAGGCGGCCCACGTCGACGGCAATCGCTCATTGATCGGGGGAGGGCGGGGGGGGGGGGGGTGTTAGGGTCCGTGACCGTGCACCCCATTGGCTGATGGTGAGGTCACCGTGAATAAGACGAGGTGTCGATGAATAGGGAGCACTAAGTACCGTTTCGATATGGCTGGATACGCTGTGGGTCCCAAAGTTTAATAAATTGAAGCAAATGGACCACGGCTATCATTAAGCGCTGCATATGACAGTTTTTGAATTAATTTACAAGTAAGCCTACAGTAAAATCATACACTGTAAACTCATTTTGACAAGGGGTTGTCGTACAACGACGAGCGTTTGTCAAAAATACTAATAAAGGTTATGTCGAACGACGAATATCTTGTCATAGTTGGTTGAATCAACAGGGCAAATATTAGTATCAGCCCCAGCACCCAGTCGACCATTCATAAAATTGACGAGGATTATGGAGGCTATTGTGAAAACTACCAGGGTCTTATTCGTAATATGGAACATAGATTTGCTTATGATTTGTAATTTATATCCTTGTCGAAAGAACCAGCTACACCATTGCAACAATACTGATACATACTTATGTAATCTATGTCCTTGTCAAAGGTATCAGCTACACCTTTGCAACACGGACTTAGTTACGCTAGTTAGACGTGTTAGTAGTAACATATACAAAGCTGTTACTTGTTATATAGGTGGCGCCAAAAACGTTTCCGGCCGTTTCATTTTGAAAGTTTCAGTTGCGCGCCAACCGCCGTGCAGTGATGTGGCCTCCTGCGCACTTCCGTGAAAATGGTAGGTGATAACAGTGTTCGGTCGTTTTTGTCATTTTTTAATGAAATGTATGTCTTTCAACTGATAGTAATGCAGATTGAATCAGAGAAATTTGCTAAATAAGTGCGTGATGTATGGAAGCAAGCACAATGTGTTCTGCTCCAGGCCATATTGTTCTGCATATGCCATAATATAGCGATGCTTTCTTTCAGCTTTCATCAGGAGCGAAAGCTCCAGCTTGCAAGCAAGGGTCGCTACACAGAAGACAGCAAACTGCAGAAACTCAAGAATTCTAAAAATGAAAAAGCACCTGAATTCCAAGGGGCTAATGAATTTGAATGCCCCTTAGATTTGAATGGGTACAGTGTACTCGGTAAGTGATGACGCTCATTGCTTTTTCGCATGCGTTATTGCCCTTGCCCCTTGGGTCATGAGTGTTATCACCATTGTGTGTGTAATGTGTATGTACCATTTTAAATACATGACCTACTTTCAGTAATGCTGTTTTGCTGTAATAATGAGACTGCAGAGCGGCGACCTGCGATTTGTGGAGAAAACTGACGAATACAAGGGAGGTCTTTGTAAAACGTTACAAACCTGAGACTAGTAGATTGCTTACAAGTACAGGTTTGCTGCACGTAGACATTACTATGCTAACTAAGATTTGCATTGATTTGACTTAACAAGTACACGGCTCAGCCCTGTTAAATGCAAACATGCGCAGGTCTTTACCTGGTAGCCGCATGATTATAACTAGGAAAACAGTCGTTCACACAACAATGACAAAGCAAACTTTGGTAGCTAGTCTAACGAACTACATGTGAGTGGGTTGTAAGAAAAACTACCATGACAAACAATAGGGTCGTTCGATGACATGGCAAAGGGTGCGGGGATTTGCGCTAAATAATTTTCCTTGTAAAAGTAACAAACGTTTGTTGAAATGAGTTTACAGTGTAATGGCAAATAAGTGTTGTCCTAGCTAATGGCTGGTGGTCAGGAAAACCAATCAGAGGAAAGGACCACGGCAAAGGAGAAAGCCATGCATGGACGAATATTCTCCGGCGAGATGCTTTCAATCCAGATTCCAGATCCAGCGACTGCAATTTTTGGGCCAGGTGACCAAAAATCTGCAATGACCAGCTCAGTCAAATAAAGTGCCTGGAGTTGGATAACAGGCTCAGGAGTCAAGTGACGAGGTGTGAGTCAGGAGTCAGTGGACCAGAGTCCAATACCACCCACCTGTCGGCGCCACTGGGCCGGTGTTGTCTCGGGCCTCGTCTCTGTTCCGGTCTCCACGGGCTGGCAGTGCTGAGGACACACGCACACAAACACACGTAACACGAGCTGACACCTAAGATAACATCCATCAAACAAACTCCTCACACGGATCAGTCGATAGACTACGAGTTAATCGGATTCGCACCATCACTTTAACGAAAACGTTGGATTAAATAGGTGAATTCCCCGTACCGCGTGGCACAAGCCGAGACGACACTAAATAGCATGTCTCCATTCCTTCATCCCCGCATCCGCAATGGCTGAATTTATGTGCACTACTTCGCACATACCCTTATACATCATCCACTGACTTAGACCATGTTTTATGCCACGTGGGTGAGCGATTAGCTGGGAGCGGCTTAAGCCGTGTCTGTCAGGCGTGTGTTTGAGTCGCCGCCTCGTCGGCTCGAGCCATCTCTCCCTCCCCCCTCAATCCCTCTATCTATCTCCCTCTTTTTTATCTGTCTTCCTCCCTCTCTCTCTCTCTCTCTCTCTCTCTCTCTCCCTTCTCTGTTCTCTTATCTTTCTCTTTTTGTCTCCTCTCACCCTTTCTCCTCTCCTCTCTATCTATCCTCTTCCCTCTCTCTCTCTCTCTCTCTCTCTCTCTCTCTCTCTCTCTCTCTCTCTCTCTCTCTCTCTCTCTCTCTCTCTCTCTCTCACCTCTCCTCTGAAGAGGCCGCTGGCACCGGCTCGATGCAGAGGATCCTCGAATTGCAGACGCCGTTACAGGAGGTGACGCTCGGTTCAGGACGTAGGCTCAGTGTGCATATTTGACCCACGTAACCGTCACTGCGGAAGGAGCAGGGGAGGGCAGGTTAGAGTTAATCCAATGGCGGGATGGGGAAGGGAGGGGAGGGAGGGGAGGGGAGAGGCTGCGGCTGCTGCCGGTCGGACATGCTTAATGGTCAGTTAGAGATGAAACCTCAAGGATTATGGGTTATTTTTTAAACTGATGACTGTGGGAGCGAGAGACTTCATGAAAATAACGTTCATGTGGTTTGGTTTTACATATAATGACATCAAGAACGATAACGAACAAACGTCGGGTGCATCTATTTTATGATTGTGCATACCTGGCGAGGCAGTATCGTAACGGAACTTATATTGTAGACCAACTATGCAAGTAAGCCGTTCGTTAGAATGAGGCTCAATCCTACTGGACTTTCCCTTCTGAATTCTATTGAATCGAACACTTCATTCCAAGACCTCCCTGTGTTCGTCATGATTTTACACATGGAGCCGTTGAACACACTCCACTAACCTGTTGCAGACCCAGATGTCCCTAACTCCCTCTGAACTCTGGTTGGGAGGTACTGACGTATCCACTGACCTGTTACAGACCCAGATGTCCCTAACTCCCTCTGATCTCTGGTTGGGAGCTACTGACGTGTCCACTGACCTGTTGCAGACCCAGATGTCCCTAACTCCCTCTGAACTCTGGTTGGGAGCTACTGACGTGTCCACTGACCTGTTACAGACCCAGATGTCCCGGACTCCCTCTGATCTCTGGTTGGGAGCTACTGACGTGTCCACTGACCTGTTACAGACCCAGATGTCCCTAACTCCCTCTGATCTCTGGTTGGGAGCTACTGACGTGTCCACTGACCTGTTACAGACCCAGATGTCCCTAACTCCCTCTGAACTCTGGTTGGGAGTTACTGTCGTGTACACTGACCTGTTACAGACCCAGATGTCCCTAACTCCCTCTGAACTCTGGTTGGGAGGTACTGACGTGTCCACTGACCTGTTACAGACCCAGATGTCCCTAACTCCCTCTGATCTCTGGTTGGGAGCTACTGTCGTGTACACTGACCTGTTACAGACCCAGATGTCCCTGACTCCCTCCGAACTCTGGTTGGGAGCTACTGTCGTGTCCACTGACCTGTTACAGACCCAGATGTCCCGGACTCCCTCTGATCTCTGGTTGGGAGCTACTGTCGTGTACACTGACCTGTTACAGACCCAGATGTCCCTAACTCCCTCCGAACTCTGGTTAGGCGTGGGCGCGGCACAGCTAAACTGCAGTCCTGCCCGCGTCTTCCGTACAGGCAGTGGTCTCAGGAAACTTGGTATAGGCCGCCGATCGTTCGTCCTTTCGGCTGCAGACACGCACACAAACATGAGCAGCATGGCGGTCTTGACACAAAATAATAAGGGATTAACAGAAGTTAGCAGTTATTTTTAATTTGACTTGCCCCTGGCTTTAATTAGCCTTACCGTTAAAGGGACTATCCCACCTTTAACATGGGGTTTGAGTTGAGATAGCCAAGTTTGCGGCGAGGTTCAGAAACCACTATCTATCTAGGTTGCAACCCCCGCGGCCTCTTGGTGTTGAAGAAATTCGTTCCCTTCATTTGAAAATGGGCCTTGTACAAGGCCCTATCTTCAACATGGAGCGACCGTTAGTGTGACGTCACCTCGTTTAGTCATTCTGATTTAAATGGGTTTGTTCGTTGAAAAATCGCTTAAAACTTGGTCTGAACTTTGTTGTGGTGCCTACAGAGTAAAAAGAATCAGCTTTATGACAGTAATGTGGCCTGGGGAAGGAGGTAATTTTGGGCTGTGACGTCACATATTTGAAAGTTTGTGTTTGGAATATGGGAAGCCTAAGATGTTTAATGAAAAATAAATGCCAGAACCGTGTTCCTGGTCATCCAATCTATAAAGTCGGGCACAATTTAACTGGTTTTAACAACATTTTAGAAGGTGGGATAGTCCCTTTAAAGGAAAAGGGCCACCTTCGTGAAATATGAAGATATCGTTGTTTTTCATTTTGACATTATTATTTTTCATTTTCTTTTTAAAACTGGTGCCAGAAGTGCACAATTCGCGAAAAAGTATTTAAAACTATTTAACATATTGGTACTATGCTGATACTCTCTACGGCACCTACTGTATGATGGCATAGCGATGACGTCACACTCAAGCCAATCAGCGTTCAGAAGACAGACTCGTCGGATTGTGTCAGATAAGCTGATTGGTTAAAGCTGAGCTGGTTGGAGCTGATTGGTAAAAAACCAAAGCCTCGCCGCGGGTGGCTGTATTGTCGGATAAGAACGCATTCCTGGGATAAGGACGCATTCCTGGCGTATTTTCTTTTAAAATTGCCGATAACTACGAATGGAGGCCGAAATCGGCCGTAAGGAGGTAGACAGTAAGGTTTTCGGACACGGGCTACAAGATGGCTATCTCAGTTTCAATCCCCATGTTAAAGGTGGCCCTTTTCCTTTAAAGCTTGATGCATGTATTTTGTCATTTGTCATTTGCCAAGCGTATCCTAACTTACCTAGTTTTTGTTTCGTTTCGTTGAAGAGCTGCTCCCACGACATACGTTTTTCCAGATCATTAAAGCTGACGGTTATGTTTTCTATGCCTTCTCTGAAACACAAAATGTTGATAGTCAAACTAATGTTCAGAAAGTACGATAACACATCTACTAAGCCTTTAGCCCACTGCGAATATGAGGGCATCTGAAATGAAACATCCTCAACAAATGTGTCGAGGAATATCCTGGTACTGGCTGATCAAGTCACAGCAAATTAAATTTTTTGACTTTGTTGAAAATCGAGAAACATGCACAGCTGAGAAATGAGTGACCGCTCTGGCATCACTCTACAGATAGGGAATTCCCATATTTTCAGTTTTGTGATTCTTGTCAAGGGAATACCAGTTGTTGTTGATCGGTATCTGCAATGCTTTGTTGATTGTTTCAATGACACTAATTGACAGTTGTCAATGACTTAGGCGACGGGTTTGACCACAGACAACGTTCTACGATGCCTCTCAACCTTGGTGGTTGCAAGAAGTTGCCATATCAATTCACTGATGGACGTTTCAAGAGAGCGTTATCAGGCAATCTCCAACATCACCGCACTCGGCAACTTTTTGCTGGCTGTTTAATTAATTAATGCATGCATGTTTCGGAGCCGTCGGATGGCTAATTTCTGTCGTGAGCTCGATGCACGAAACCGTGCAGTCTGAGAAGTCAACGGGAGGACACGCTACTGCTGTCAAGTGGCATTGTTTGGCCCATAACTACTGTCTAATAACACACTGTCACAGTGACACATGGTGGCACTCACTGTCGGGTGACCTGCAGCGGCAGCAGCAGCAGCTGGCTCTCCGCCCTGTGTCGCTCTGTCAGCTCCCTGCTCAGCACGTGAGCCATCTCCCTCACCAGCTCCTCAACCTAAAGGAAACAGTCCAACAAGGGTCAGAGACACAAATGAGTGGCTCGACTGCGATAAAGTTACATTGCTTGAGGATTTATCGCAACGTAAAATGAGAGAGGAGGGGTAAAATCCAGGTGATTTCTAGCCTCCGAAGCCTCCGAAGGGATTTTAGCCTTCACTTTTCCGAAGAAAAGTGAGAAATGGGCGCGATATAGTCTCGGTGCTGGTGCCCTGTCTTTCCAAATCGTCATCCTCAGTCTTCCAGTGAATGAAAACTTCAGCAAGTGGGTCTGAACGGTGTGTATACACCCTCAATCTATTAAATGTTTGTGCTTCACGAAACATCGTCTAACAAAGCTAAACCATCTTTCCCTCCACACTTTATTGAGCCCGACAGCGTGTCGCCTCAATACACGACGGGCCATGTCCGTTACGAAAATAGACGTTTGTTATTGGCCGACTTCGAACGCAGCCGTGACCTCATTGGTTGGCGGCAGTGCGACTATTTCGGGGTGCGAAGCCTTCCCGCCGGCTTTGCGGGGAGTTCCTAGGAGTAAAGCAGCTCAGAAACAGTTTGTGGCCGCAGACGATGGTTTGTCAGACGAGATGACGTCACAGCAGATGTAGGTCAGGACAGCGGAGGGGTGAGAAGGTTTCAGCGGTAGCGAGTGTCGTGCAGCTATACAAATGTCAGTACCTATAAGCTAGTCTTGCCTTCGGTTCTAAAGAAGATGTTTGTGAATAACTCAGCAGGAAGCTTATAAGTCCAGGCTGATGAATATCAAATACATATGTATGATTTTTTTTCAACTCAGCTGATCGAGCATCTGTAAAATTTTACAATACTTACCATCTATAAAAGATAAAACTGCTTAAAATCGCATTGAAGTGGGTTGATACTGAATTATTGCTGCCGCAAATGCCAACCAATAACGTAAATAAGCTCTTACGCTAATAACGAGTTTATGTTTATCGATGAGGATGGCATTTTCACAATGCGACTTCGAATTACTACGGGTCATTCAGTGATGAGAAACCGTATAAATCATCAAATAACGTAACGTAGGCGTCCATATACCAGAGCACTGTATCGAGCCATACCTGGTGGTGATTGCTGTGAAGTTTACAGACGAGCACTCCCATCTGTCTCAGAGTAGAAATGTCCTCGTCAATCCGCTCAACTTCCTTCGCCAGAGTGTCCGGGTTGAAAGCCTCATCTGTGAACCGGATTCACACAGGGATTTGTGCTCAAGACGCAACGCAGTGCGGGGATATCTTACTTACAACCCTTCCAAAACCAACAGCGATAGTGAACTAAACGGATCAGAAATCCTCGGAAACATGCGAACATGAGCTCATCCAGCGTGTATTTGTTACTATGAAGTGGGTTGGAATCAACACAACTTCTTGAGCATAAGAGCAGGTACGCTGGATAGAGGAGATCATTTGCTCTAAACTTGCCAGCCATTCGTTGGAAAGGCTAAGTTGTGTGACGCGTACGGTCGTCGCGATACATGGGCATACGTGAAATAAGCCGCGGTGTATTGACATCAGTTTACAAGCTGACGCTCATTCGCACCTCTTTCGATGCAGATGTCTGTCAACGGTATCTTCATTAGGAATTTGTACTTGTTCGGCTCCATGCCATTTGTGGACGTGGAATTCGGCGGACTGAAACAGACACACTAATTGTAATGTCGGATCACGGAGCACAAAAAACAAGCAAACAATTATTTATTGCCTAACTATTATGCATAGTGCATGCTATTTATAATCAAAAGAAACCATTCAAATTTATTGAAAGATAAATGATAAAACACATCTGTTTATAGAATTAGCGCGTTAATATCAGATAACTCATATGAAATTACTTTTCCGTACTTCGAACAAAATAGGAACGAAACAATTCAAGCCGACTAGCTCCCGCGTATTCTTACGGCGTTTGTTTGCGCGATGCGCTGCCTGCCCGTCGTTTGATGCTGGCCACCACCAGCAGGTCCCCGAACAGGAAGAGGCAGCGCTCCTTCTTGATACCCGCTGGTGTCGTCATCGTCACCGGGTCGCTGCGCAGAAACTCCCTGCAGGGAACACTCGTTCATTATTCACTGGTCAACAAATTAGTACATACCTTAGGCTAGGGTCTAGTTTACTTACACTAACCTTCAGAAGAAATAGTAAACACGGTCAACGAAACAATGTCACTCAAAAGGATGAGTGCCTTTGGATAAGTAGAACATCGTCGAGGTGGGGAGATTCCCCTTTGCCAGACTGTTCCATCTGTCCTCCCCTGGGCCGGAAGCTGCTCCGGTTTCCCTCCCGACATGTAGGATGCTTCCCTTTTCGCCTCGCCGTACTCTGTAAGAAAGGTGAAAGCTATCCCGCTCGCCGTCCCATGGCAGGTATACTCTCCCGTTCACCGTCCTCTGGTCGGTATACTATCCTGCTCGCCGCTCCCTGGGGGATATGTTATCTCGCTCTCCGTCCCCTGGCAGTTATACTGCTCCGCCCACCACCTCTGACCTGTCGGGGGTCACCAGTCCGTCGAGGCCATCCACAGCCGCCTCCAGTTCCCGGAGTGCCTGGCGACGGGCCTCTCCGCGCAGAGGTGCCCGCTGCAGACTGTTGATCCGCGAGGCGAGCTGGTGGATCTCCTCGCTCGCCTGCTTCAGGGGCTCCAGGTCTGGGTGACCCTCAGGAGTATGGCTCACAAGTTGCTGTCACGGCAGGGCGGCGAAAGGGTCACTGAACCGGGGGACGTACTTGACGCATGATTCAACCACAAAGGTGGGCCGGCGAGTTCACTGCGAGGCGCTCTTTGATGAGCGCGTAGACCTACTTTTCCCGATAATTTGTTTTGTGAAGTACCACGTGAAACGTGTTTCCTCCAAGTGATGCGTTTTACGTGTCAAGGTTGTGAACGCGAAAGCGTTCCAAAAGAACACGTGATGAAGATGATTACTATCTGACAGGATAACATAAAAGCAAATGCGCTCCGCCATAATATCATAAAGCGATGATGGCCTCATTCCTAACATTTCAGCGTATTCTCAAGTATATTTGTGCTTATTGGCCGTTTTCACGACGGAATAGCAGGCATCTATTTAATCCCCATTTGATCCTTTGGTTCCTCAGGAATTTTAGTAGTTCTTTTTAGTAGGTTCCCCAGCTTTCGAATGAATGGTGCGTTAGTTTGCTATTTTTCTATTAAATATCACATCGATTTACTTTATCTAAGGATTTATCACTAATATCAACATAAAGCGTAAGCACAATTATAAAATTATGAAATTATTAAATACTAGTACAATAGTTAAAAAAAGATACTGAGTTGCCAGGCTACAAAGAATATATTCATTTATGACGCACGACAGACATTTAGAAAGCAGCGCCCTGTTTTATTGCACGCTGCTAGCCGCTTCCATTGGGTTTTGCAGGCCGACGTCATTGGTCGTTACACGTATGATGTCACGCGACTTGTGGCCTGTCACGGCTCTTTAATGATCTCCACTAAATGAATGCAACAATGGCCTTTTAAGTTGATCTCTGTGGCCATCTGTCTATGGAGCGACCAATATGAAAGTTGGGTGAATTTACCGGGGTTACATGACTATGAGCAAGCAAATGTGTATCAGGAATGGATTTAGGTGGATAATTGCGCTGGACCATGAGTGCTCGAACGCTCCCAATTCCACGCCGGTTTGGCTTTGGAGCCGAGACAGACGATGCGGGTCAAGGTCACCGCTGGGGTAACGGTGGATTGGCTGCGCCCGAGCACCCGTAACGCGGCACAATTCTCCTTCTATGGATTTTCCTACTCGCTCAGCATTGTGATAGGCGTTCGTAATAGCATTTACTCTGCTCATGCACCTATCCCCGGTTATTTAAAAGAAGTTTTTGTGGGGGAATATCACGGCTTTAGGTACCCGGTGGCCCTATTCACGACTTTCAAAGAATGCTCCGATAACTAAACACCGCACAGACCTACTGCATTAGTGAATCTGACAGAAGGTCTGTGGAATTACATCCCCCCTCACCACACCCCTAAAAACTCATCCAGTGTCCAAAACCACTTTTATCGACTCGCCAAAAAAAAAAAAACACACACACACACACATACACACACAAAGCATGGGGCATGTCAGCTCTCAGTTCATTTATCATTGTTTTTACCATGGTTCAATTGCATTGCGCGATTTAAAGCACGTGAGTGCCTATAAAGTATATATGTAGAAAATAATATCTACAGCAAAACATCCAAAATTACAAAGGCTACAATGCTTAAAAAGTAGGTTCATCAAGGAAGCCCATTTTTACTTGCGTTGTGTTCCCAACCATGCGATTCCAACGCGGGCTATTCGCAACGTCTGTTAAGGCACGTTAACAACTGACAAGCCGCCACCGCTGCCACTTATTCATAGATGGTTGATATCGCAGCTTGGGCGTCAGCAGCGCGGCCCACAACGCGTCGGCGCCAGCGCACGCAGCTGTTGGCACTCGGCAGCCGGTGTTGCGACTTAACGGCCGGCCGGCCCCATGAAGGAGAAGCTCTTGGTGAAGCTTTGTGATCGCCTCATAGCCGCCTTGGATGTCATCTTTCTTGGCAGATCCATCCGTTCAGATGGTACGGTGCAGTCTGGATAAAGGACGAAGTCCAACGCCGCTAACCCCGCGACCGCCACCCCACAACGTGGCCGCAGACCGAATGGGCGTGAGGGCCGTAAGGGCCACCCCGCCATCCGGTAGGTGGCTGAGCAGCCGGGCGCAGCGGCGCCTGGGCAGCGGCCGCGCTGAGATGAAGTCCCAAACCGCCATGTCGCCATCACCGCCATCACCATTGCTGCAGCTGTTCCCAACCGCCTCAATCGCCGCCGTTTTGCCAGCAGTCGCGCCGCGGAATGGCAGAAGCTCCAGAGTAGCCTCCAGCGCCCCTCTCCGCACGTGTGCAGGTGCACTGCGGCCGCCGGGTCCGACGTCCAGGCAGAACATGATATTTCCATGCTGCTCCGACTGTGGGCTGGTCTTGTTTGGGCGTTCCTCCACTGTGACGTCGGTCACGCCTGCCCCGGCCAGGGCGCAGAGGCCGACGTGTCACCATCCGGTTGCAGTCCTCAGTCGGGTCGCAACGTGTACCTCTTCCGCAGCGTGGAGCGCGCTCCCGCTGGGCAGCGATACAGCCAAAAGTAGCATAGCATGCGGGCGGCCAGCGCTGCGCCGGACAGCGGACCCATGCCGGGGGTATGCCGGTCTCGGCCATTAGCGGGGTCGTCGGGGCCGAGGCTGTACATACAGCTGGTGACCGCGTGAGCCGCCAATCGAAGCTCACGGCTTATAAGCTCGACGCGGGCATCACACGCCGTCCCGATGGGAGCTCCACGACGCCGCCGCGAACTCCAGCGCGGCTCGCAGCGCGAAGACCAGTACGGACGGCCGGGGCAAACGGCGTGCGGGAGTCGCAGGCGACGTTCTGCGGACAGAAAGGGTTGGGCATAAGCTGGTCGGCAGGACACTCTTGAGCCGAGCCTTTGATGTAATTACAGATGATCCAGAAGCATGCACAAAAATTCATGACACACTATTCTCATTTATGTATTTGCTACATATGATATGATATACCAGCTCATGATCAGTGACGCATTCTGGGCAATATGTTCTAAAGTGAAGTAACTGAAGTTACAGCTCAAAAGGTTAAAAAAACAGCTTAAAAAACACACACACACATTCGATAGCTTATGAGAATAACATGCCTTGTGTGCTTAATGCAGGAAAATATTTTTTTCACTTTTTTTAGAAACAGCAAGAGTTGTCAACAAGCCATGTCAACTATCTAAACAATTTTTATGGAAACTGCTCTAGCTAGCTTAAAGGGACCCTCCCACCTTCAAAAAAGTTTATGAATTGGCATGAAAGTGATGTCGCTCGGTTCCGAAAGAGCGAAAACGAATATCTACCAAATTTCACCGAAAAATATTCATTGGTTTTCAAGATATTAGACTTTTACTTATGTTTACTTTTTTGGGATCTCCGCTGTTTCTAGCGACTTTATTTTAGAGGTGCGGCGTTTGCGGCAGTTGTTGCGCGCAAATAGCATATACCACCGCGTGCTACAAAACGTTTTAGTCAAACATTTAAAAATCGTTAGATATCTGCGCTGACGTCACACATTCAGAGGGGTATTCCTAAGCATTAGCCCCTCTGAATCAAAATGCTGCAATTTTGAAATTCAATATTTCCGATTTAAGGCATTTCTCGATGTTGTGAGTGCCGAAACCGGTAATTGTGAGCCAGGGACCCCATTTTGGCTATCTCAACTCAAATCTAATGTTAAGGTGGGAGGGTCCCTTTAAAGTTCCACAACGTTTCCGGAGCACCGTACCCAAACTCAGTTCATGTTACAAGAAAAAACAGTAATAATGCCTCCTAATTTTGAATGAAATATAGGTATGAGTAATTTGATTTGGAAAGCAACAAATTTCCGCACATCATTTTAGCAAAATTACTATTTTCTTCAGCCATCAGGTTACACAAAACTATAGTAAACTTTATGATCTAGTTTACACAAAACCAAAGCCCCGATTTTAACAAATGTAGATAAAATTTAAACAATTTTAAAAAATGTATCGTGGAGAAAATGAAAAGTGTAGATTTGTAAAGCCGGGATATTTCAATTTCACGGATTAGGCACTTAAAGAAATATCTTCACCTTTCTTTGAGCCACCAGCCTTCACCCAAGTTTTACACGAATGTAGTGAAGCAGACAATGTGGCAACTCAAAATTGTGATGGTTTGAGATAATTATGACGGTAAAAGAAAAAGCAACACAAGGTTCCTTACCCTCGTTTTTTTTCACATGGGTTCAGATGAGGCTTCAACTGTTGCCGACCTGAGGAGCTATAGGGACTTGAGCTTTCCAAAACTCAATTTCTAAGGGCACTGAGCAGTGTTTGGCTTTCACACGAATGCGATAGTAAGTTATATGAAGTTGACAAAGCAAGCAAAGCAAAGCATGATGCCCCGCGCGTCCGCCCGCGACCACGCCCCGCGTCCGACTCCCGACCGCCGCGTGACCCGAGGCGCCCGGCGGTCACGTGACCTACCGGCCGGGACTGCAAACGGCCATCACCACCATTCTTGTATGACGTCATATCCTATTGAGGTGCTGATTGGTCGGAATTAGATACCTGAAGGTAATTATCTGCCGTAGTTATTTTTGTTTCATTGTTTTGCGTGTTTTCTTATATGAAATGTAATTAAAAAATTTGTCATATTTTAATCACCATTAAAACATAACTGAATAGGTATAAAAGAGAACTCGATATATACTTTCCTTGTTTTTAAGAATTCCGGAATTAGATACCCGAGGGAGCAAAGAGGGAGCAAGTTGCCACGCTGATTTAATACCTCATAGTCGAAAGGTGGGCTACTAGAACTAAAAATTGCTGTGTTTGTAAATAAATAAGTGATTTGAGGGCAAAAAATGCCCGGATTTAAACTTCTAAAATTATTTTGAACATAAAATATTTCAGTTTGAGGGATGTTAAGGCCTCTAAGGGTAGGTACTTTTTAGGTATCAAATAAGTTCCTCTGCGAAAGTTCCGTCGTGAAAACGGCCATTACGTCCTCAATTATCACGAGAAATACATTTCTACAAGCATCAACTACCTCATTTAAATAATATGATGACGTTTTATCTTTCCCGGCGTCACACAGGTCTGCTCTCACCTTTAGAAGAAGCTCATACCGGGGGATCCTCTGAACAGGGGCAATGAGCAGCTGAGTAAGGCTTAGTCTTCTCTTATCGGCCCGCTCCAGTGCCTGAAAAAGTCATATATGTCATAAATAGTATTGTAAACGAAAAAGTAGTTCAGAAATGAATTGCGTCCACATTTTATAGCTTTAGACCAGCAAGTGTCAGAATTGAAACAAAAGAGAGGGCGATTGAATGTTATAATTAACTCCTATTCCACATTGTTTAGTCATTAAAATATTTTTTATGCCGTTCCTGGTACTGTAAATCAGAGTTTCCCCTATTTTTACTCCTGTTTGTTTAGCGTTCAGAGAAATAGCCTCTGGGGAAACATTTCAGCCTCCGGCTGGTCCCGGATAGTGTCGGTGGGCTGTCAGACGCTTCTGACAAGGTCAGAGATATTTTGATACCACTGACGGTGGCAGTTCCTCCATCATTAAAGCCCAACGCCCGAGTGTCGGCGCCTGTCACATCAGTAAATGTCTGTCATCGTTCACTATCTTCCACGCGGCTATAAAAAGCTACGCGAGACTGAGCAGACCGACGCGGAACAAGAGCTCATTTGGTACACTCGGCTGTGGTGGGAATGGCGTGGCAATCGCACGCGGTGTAGTGACTCCGCTGCATTACGTTTACACTGCCTTTTTATGGCCCTTCACGTCAGGAAAATTCAGGTATCGTGAAGATGACCTAAATTCCTCACTACCGGCTGGCAAAATGCCAAAGGTGAGTTCATCTCCATAGCTCATAAACAAGTGACCAATCAGATTAGGACTTTTACACACCATCTTACTGTTATGCAGCTGAGAAAAGATTGCTGTCTTTTGTTGACACCTGGCTAAAAGTTAATTCAAGGCTTACTGTTATCGGTCATTGCTGGACAGGTAGTGAGTATGTATGCAGCTGCGCCCGAGCCCCTTTGCTTAATGATTGATAAGATGACGGTCTTGATCTCTATCGCTCATTGAGACAGTTGATTCGTAAGAATGGAAAAATTATGAACTCGCTACAAAATGACATAAACGTTATCTTTTTCAAACATAAATTCATTATATCTAATAATAGCTTAGGATATTTACATATGGGCGGATTTTTTCTGTCCCATGCGGGCCTGCATTGCAATTATGCAGCTGTAGTTATGCCAATGCCACCTATATAGACACCAACACACCTACCGCTCATATTCCACGAATATGGGCCACTAAAATTCTCAAACACGTGCCTAAACGACAGAGCCTAATGTGGCGCCGAGGGCCGTTACGCTAGCGTTCACGCGACACCACTTTACCGGGGTAATAAAAGGACCGGTCATTAGCTGCACCGGGCAGGACTCAGGCGGCACGCGCGTGCATGTGAGGAAGTGCCCAGTGCCAACTGCTTACCTCGAGTGTCTTTGCCAGTTCCGGCCGGGTCCGACAGGCCAGCCGGAGTGCCTCCCTGGCCTCGGGCCAGTGGTTGACAAACGCTGCGTATGTTTCCAGCACGGCGGAATGAGTCAGCTGAAATGGACCGCACAGTGTCAAGGGACGCCGCTGTCTGGGGTGCAGTCTGGTGACACAGTTTTGGCCTGTGTGTTGGTGAGGCGTTCTAGTCTGGTAATAGGCTGACATGGTGAGGATGGCCTATAATAAAACTGTTCCGTTCAACTGAAAACTAGCAGAATCAATAAACCGTTAATGCACTGGAAGTGAGGTAGTAAATAATTCAGTATCCATTTTTTTCTTGCCGAAAGGACCTCTATGATCTGAATACTGGAAGATTTTTTTTTTCAAGTCAATTTGATAATTCCTTCAATGAAAGCGTTGGATGGAAAGCTTAACGAAACTTAACCCTAAACCATGAGCCACGTATGGTTTGTTGCGATGGCCCGCTCCAGAATTCAATGCTCTGCTCGCTGACATGGTCCGTTTAAATCACCGTCCTAAATTGATTGCAGTTGACCCCAACGACCGAATACAATCCCCTTCAGAACTCTTTAACATCGAGCGTCAGAACGTCTGCAAACCTCAACATGGTGACTGGTGAGTCAAATGGACAACACTCCACCAACTGAGCTGCGGTATGCATATAGATTCGCGTTTATAGATTAACAGTTCAATAAATTGATTATTACGAGCGAGCGAGCGCAGCGAGCGAGCGAGTTCATACTGAATCAAGGGAAAATCCTGAGCATGAGCAGTAGGTAAACATATTTTTTTTTGTCAAGTGAAACAAACTTTTACTTTATTGGCTGAGCTGTGTGTATAGTCGACTAGGAATGATGTTCCACTCCTCAGAAGCTGTCGTTGCCCGGAGCGCTAAGTTGTGCCGTTTATCACGCAATTAAGCGTGTCGATTGTGAGCATTGGGACAAAGCTATAATTTGTGAACTGAACCCGTGTGATGCGGCACAGCCTACCACTCCAGGCAAATACAAATATGTAATTGGCTGTGAAAAGTAGAACATCATTCTGTAGTCAGCTATACAATGTCCAACATCAAACGTTTTAGAAGACATACGCACGCATAGTAAATCAGATGATTCGTTCCCACCGCAGGGCTCTGTTTGATGTTCGGCCCTCTGCCAACACAACCCAATCCTGAATCGAACCGCGCAGTATCAACTAGCAGCTGACGGCTGCGCGGGATGAAATCGTCAGATCGCGCCGCGCGGCCTGTCAGTCCTGACACTGCTGGTGGCGTAATAGCGCAGTGCTAAATGACGGGATTGTGAGACGGGTGCCAGCCCCAAGTCGTACCTCTAGGTAATGGAAGGCCGTTCCTCAGCAATATATCGACGCACGTATATAAAGATGATATTTATCATGCTTCGAAGTAAAAAGGCAAACAAAAAACACAACAGGGGCGAGTCAGTACAGTGGGATCATTCTTGTCCAGTTTCTGGACCCAGAATTGGACAAATGCAGTTGTTTGTATGCCATCCCGCCCATGCTGACCTTATTTAGGAAGACCTCGCCGATTCCCTGATCCGCTGACCAGTGATCGGTCTTTTCGGTCAAATCCGCCAGGAATCCCTCGTGGATTTCGAGCATTTCAGGGATCTGAAAGCGGTAATTGTCAGACATTAACTTTGTCTCTCTTAGCATACCTACCTTTTGAACGTTTCAATGCAAGCGAAACATTACGAAAAGGTGATATAATGAAAGATCATGTAATGAAAGTTTGCGTGCTACATATTATATTATACGCGACAAGAATGTTGATATACTTACAAAGAAAAATGATCTTACGTCATGATTATGCCTCCAGTTTTTTCCGAAGTGTATCACTATGCCAAAGTAGAAGCTGTATCCAGTAAACCTCTAAACGCTCACCATTTGGAATATGTCCTCCAGCGCCACGGAATCGATCAGGCCACTAGGATCGGCGCTATTAAGCCTCTCATGATACTGAAATCAGAGAGCGCTGCTCGTCATCAGGGGCCATCCCTTGGTGGCGGCTCATTGCGCGCTGTCAGCGGAATCCTTGTAATGGGACTCTAGGACATGATCGGTAAATCTTGAGGTATGATGTCAAATCAGCATGTCGATAATAGGTATACGACAATGTATATTCAATGACAGATATGCTTGAACACATTTGTAACGATAGAATATCTGAAAATAAACGAATGAGCAAATAAGAATATGTCACTCTGTAGCACGTATGCACTCACCTCAACTAAGAGCCTGAGCGACTCGACGTATCGCTGCTCGGTATCGAGCAGTTCCCCAATTATGAAGACTCGTCGGCCTTGCGCCTGGAACCAAGATAGGTATATTTTTACCTTTGATGAAAGGAAGGAAGGACATGAGACTAAATTAATCGATAACATTTATTGAACTAAGAATACAGAAACAGCCATAACCATGTGAACATGATATGTCGTGAGCTATTTTCATTTTTTAGATGGGTTTTGACTGTAAAAAGTCGCACATATGGCGCCGTGTCAGACTGTCGGCGGCGATCAGCCGCTCCCAGGCCCTCAGCGCCCGGCGACCGTAGCCCCGGGCGCTGTGACGTCATGCGCACGTGACCTGGCGGCCGGGGATAGGCCGGAGGGGTGACTGGGAGGGGTGCGTGGCCACGAGCACGGAAAATTTACGGACCCAATGGGATCGCCTTTTCTTATTTCAGTCGCAATAATTGACGATGTAGTGCACAAAGCTTAACACTTTATGAGCCTCTTGTGAGGAAATTGCTCACCAAGAACAATGGTCCTTGGTTACCTAACTGGTGATTGTTATCACGGACATGGTTCCGAACAAGACGTCTCTACCTAAATAACTGAACAGTAAGACACTATCAGAAGTAGGGTTGACAATGTTTCGGAGCTTACCTGGACTCCTGGCTGGTCCTGTCCCGAGGTGACCTGTGCCAGCATCCGGCGGGCTGTTGGACCGACGCCATCGTACAGCGCCTCGCTGAGGAGCTGCGTCAGCTCCTGCTCAGCACCGGGGAGCTGCGGCAGCTCTCCGTCCGAACAGGGGGCGGCGGAGGGCAGCCGGAGGCTACTACTCGCCCGGTGCACCTCCTCGCGCTGCGATCGCTCGCCCTCAGAGCCGGAACTTCTGGTGCGCGGGGTGACTGCTGTCGACTCAGAGGCGGCTGCAGCATTTCTCCGCCGAGTACTGCCTCGTCGAGAGCCGGGCCGAGGCGAAGGGCTTGGTGAGGCTGATTCGACCAGCGCACTGAGAGGCAGAGTAGCTTCCGCGCGACTCATCTTTCCCTCGAGCAGCTCTCCGTAGGGTCCGCGCAGCCGCCGCCGGCAGGTACGCCCCGGTCCATCCGGCTCGCTATCGTAGGCGAGAGGAGATGGTGAGATGTGTCTACGGCGGGCTGGCTGGGCTGCTGTCTGCTCCGTCAGCGGCAGTAGTCTTCCAGCTGCACTCAGAGGTCGTAGTGCAGCCGAGTCGCTGACAGTTCGCAGCCGCGGCGAGTGCAGTTTCGAGTGGTTGTGACGAGACGATCTTCCGCGACCCCGAACCCGCTGCTCGTCTGAGGACGTGGAGCTCACGCTGTCCGTGCTTGGGCTCAATGCCGCCGCCGCAGCAGAAGACTTGGTCGCAGGACGTTTCTTGAAGCTGCGTCGACGCGGCTCGGCATCTCGAGCCCGCAGCTCAGCGCCGCTCAGATCGAAACTTCTCTGCCGATGCTGTGCGTAGCTGTTTTGAGAGCGCGGCTTGAGCTTGGACGATCCCGTAGCCACTGTCGATCGCCGACTATCTCCCGATTTCTCCCCAGCCAGTTCCTCCGTCAGGTCCCGCCTCAAGACACTCGGACTGAGGCTCTTGGAGCGAAAGCGTTTCGGTTTAACTTTGACCGGCGGTGGTCGCCAGTGGTCGGCAGCCGTCATGGAGGCAGTCACGGTCAGCCCAGTGTCTGAGAGCCGAACCACGTCCACCGTCTTACTCTCAGGCTGCTCGGTGGCGTACGTTGACCTCCTCCTCCTCCGAAGCTGTGGTTCGTCATCCTGAGCTGGAAAGCTCTGGGTCGTTGGAGGACCTGATTGGCCCGGGTACCATGGGTCTTCCTGATCCTCGTCAACATTTAGTTCGTTGAGGAGGAGAGCTACGGCCTTTTTGACGGCTTGACGAATGTTTTCCTTGTCGGTAGACTCGTCAATTTGTTCGCTGTGGTCCAGACTGAGTTTCAAGGCATTGTCCTGCTCCTGTCGGGCTCCTTGGGCTGCCTCTCCGCCGGCGGTGTTGGCGGGATCAAAGGGACTCACCGACCGACCAGTGGCGTTTTGACGCATCAGAGGCGGTGCGCTGCGCACGGCATGCTCACTTGACAGATTCCCGGCTTGTGATTCGTCCCATGACGCAATTCTGACGTCACCGCGTCCAGGTTGCTGATTGGCATCTGAATCCAAACTCGGCCTCGGATTGGTTGTTTCTTGGCCGTCATCCAGCGCTGGGTTCGGTGCATTTGGAGCGATGTTTCTGGCAGGGTCACGCTCTCCGGATTGCTGGTCGTTTGACTGCGTCAAATTCTGGAACTGACCTTTGGGGGCAGCGGGTAAACATTCCGAGTCTTGTGACATAGAAGCAAGAGAATGTTCTGGCGCTCGAGAGTCCTCTGGGACGTAGGCTGGCTCTGGTGTCTGTTTTACTGTTCTGTCGTCATCAGCTGACGACGAAAGAAAGCTGGACTGGTCCGTAGAATCGTTCCGCCTTATATCGAGCGGCAAAGAACGCGCAGGAGCCTCGCTGCTTTTCATAGAACGGCCATCACCTGGCTCGCCAGTATCAGCGGTTTCCTCTTTATTCCGAGAAGTACCGAGGATTCTGGCCTCACCTTGCGGCGCCATGGAGTCGGCCCCCTTTTCCTGCTGACACGGCATTGAGTCCCCGACGCCCTGATTGGGTCTGGCTGGTTTCTGACGGCTGCCGGCCTCCCGTTTGGCCGTGTCACTCGTTGGCCGTCTCTGCCAATCATCTGACCCGGCCGTCGCGGCGCGCGACCCCAGCGATTCGGTCCGTCGCCCTCTCGCTCGCGGAACCAGCGGCGACTCGATCACCTGACCGTGCGTGATGATGACCGGGGACAGGTCGGCGAACCGCGGCTCGCGGGGCTCGTCCCCGCTGGTCCCGCTGTCGCTGCTGCCCGGCAGGAGCGGTCTGCGCAGCTTCGGCCGGCCCCCGGCTGCCGCCACCTCCACCGCCGTTGATGGCGCGGCAGCGTCCGTCGTCGCCCCCGTCGTTTGGGGAGCCATCTCGCCGTCGCCGTCGACTGACGAGCCGCAGCGTTCGACAGCGGGTCGCGCCGGAGCTGTCCCTGGCGCGGTGGCCGATTTTTGGCCGCCTCCGACACCGTCCGGCCGCGTGACCTCGTTCGCCGCCGGCGGCGGATCGGCGGAGACGGCTCGCGATAGATCGGCGCCGCCCAGCCGGGCCGGCCGTCCGTTCACGTCCCCCCATCCGTCAGCCGAGTGGGACTGACGCTGCAGCAGGCCCGACGAGTCGCGACGCTGCAGCGACAGACTCTGCATCTGGATTTCGCGCAGCATCGCTGCCAGAAGCTGACCGTTTCCGTCGTGATGGATTTCCTCGTCCTCCTCATTTAGCGTCCCCGATGTGCGACCCAGTTCTACTAATGAGTCCGAGTTTTGACGGTTGTGAACTGGTGCTGTGGTTGGGTTATTGACGATACCGGAAGGCAGTTTTCTGGGCAGGGTTTGGGGAGCACTCGGCCGCGGCGGCACCCGACCAGCTGTGAACGACTTTGTGCGAGCGGCAGCGCTGTGTCGCGCAGTGTCCGGATTCTCTGTCGCGCCACAGATGTCGACACGTGATACGGATGAGCTGCGGCTGGGCACGGCGCTCTCCTGGCCGGGCAGGTCGCCGCTCGGCCGGCCGGCAGGCTGCCAGGCCAGGTCACTGTCGCTGACCGGCCTCTGACGGAGACTGGTGGTCGTCTCTGCTCCCTGCCCCGGCTCCGAGCGGCCACGGCTGTCAGCCGGCGCCGGCTGCTGCTGCTGAGCCTGCTGATGACGGCGGTGTCTGGTTTTATGCGAGGTGTTTGGAGGGGACGACGCTGTCGGTTTGTCGTCTCGGCTCCAGCGCAGCTTGTCGGTAAACTCACGAAGTCTACTAACGCGCGGTGGTTTTTGTTTCCGTGTCGGTTCCGGCTGGGGCGGCAGCGACTTGTCTCTCCGAGTTCCCAGCCGAAACTTGGAGAATGTCAGAGGAGTTGGCATTGGTGGACTGGCTCCCTCCGGAGCATTATCCTCCAGATCGGACAGCGAACCACTCTCGTGGGACGCAGCTCGGCCGGCCGGGGCCAGGTGAGGGGCGGTCTGCGGCGGTGGGGCCTGCGCTGCCTCGCCGCTCATACCCTCGTCAGAGTCCATGGAGCCCTGTCCGCGCAGCTCTCGTATTCGATGTCGCCACAGATGAAGCCGGCCCGGGGGAGAAGCGGACGCCTCTGGCTCGGCATCCGAGCGCGGCATCTCAGCCGCAGAGACAGACACAGCCGCGAGTCTGGGCTCGGTGAAACGCGATAACTTCTCACCACCGCTATCACTGCAAAGACTCACTTAGCCGATAGATTCGCTGTAAAATAAGGTCACAGGCCAGTACGCGCAGTGTCACTAAATCGGTTCACAGCGCGACGTTCAGGGGCCGTCGTGGCGGCGCTCGTTCGCAGACTGCCCGAAGCGACGCCTCTTTCGCTCGACCTAGCTCGCGACTGGGCTCTGTATTCTGACCGTTGCCAACTGTAAACAGTGCGTGGGCGAGGCGCCAGCTCGCTGGGCCGACGGCGGCGGCGGATCCCTGCTCTCCGACTGCGCCCTGCTCAGAGACGGTGGCCGACAGCCGGCCGCCGCTAAATTTAGGAGCGGCGCGTGTCAGTCTGTTCCGGCCGCCCGCCCGCGGCCACCGCCGGCGGGCCGCAGGTGGGCAGGGTGGGAAGGGAGGGATGTGACGTCACACCGCGGCAGCGGGCTGATGCGCCATGACAGCGGGACTGCTATGACGAATAGTGCCTGAGGCTATTCAGATCAACAATGGGCCGTTATGACGCGACCGTGAATCGTTAGGGCTCGGTTGAGCTTGTGTCTGATGGTTGGAGCTTTGATAATTAGTGTGTGAATGACAAGTAGGATTATAAAATTGTCGTTCAGAGTCATTTGGGAAAGAAAGACGCGGATATTTTGATCACCATTTAGGTTATGTAACAGCTGGAACCGCCAACATATGTAGGTTGCATAACACATTGGCTACATCTATGAGAAGAAGGCGTGCTAATTGATACGCTACCTTCTCATGTTTTCATACTACATACATCATCATCATCATCATCACGTTTATTAAGAAACAAAAGAATACACAAAATCAAGATAAGTAAGAACTGGTGCAAAAGCACTCGAAAGTGCTTAATTCGAGGCACCAGCTCTGTTAAAGAACATACAAGCAAATAAACACATACACACATATACAAGAACTTAAAATGGATTCAAACAAACTAAATCGCCGGTCGCCGCCACCAAGCCGAACGCGTCGCGCATTACAGGTTGTCCAGAGAGCCCCGTTGCCGACGCCACCCCACCGAGACACGCCCATCCCGCCTCGTAATTAAGTAGTCAGAGTGTTGGGATTGTAAAGCGCCCAGAATTAAGTAAGAACGTTTGGAAGTGTTGAGCCACCGCCCGGCCGTCGCCACTATTTAGGTTGGTGCCATGAAGAAGGATTTCCAATTTTTTATTAGTTTGGTATTCATGAAAGTTAGTATGGAGTGTTTGCGATACTTTTTGGTAAAGGATGCGTCTTTGAGGTAAAAACAATGGACATGCTGTGATGAAATGACGAACGCTTTCTATGCTGTGACCACAAGGGCATGCCGGAGAATCTTGTTTTTGAATGTTAAATTGTTGTGAATTTAAATCGGACATTCCATTTCTTAGTCGCGAATGTAGGATGTTGCCTGTCTTTGACCCAAACGAGTAGTATTTTGGTGGCTGGGGGGAGCCAATATGGTGTACAATGTGTTTTTTGAATTCTACTATGGATAAGGATTTAAATGTTGCCGGTAGTTCGTTGTACTCTTTGCTTGTGGTGATAAAGAATGATCGTTGATATGATGATGTTTTCGGACGTAAGCTAGCGGGAGTTGTACCCGTTAGTTACCTTGGGCCCGATTCTCTTCCATCCTCTCTTTTAAAACACACAAATAATATCAAGCCATGTACTTAACTATCTACATATGCGTAGGGCACTCAAATTTGAATAAACACTCAAAAGCATCAAGCTAACATCATTGATCCAATGGTACATAACTTACGCAAAAAATATATAGAAATGTATGCACGTTGTGTGCACAGAACTGAGTCTTTAAGAGCTCTGGTAATTACACAAAGCATGCACCGAATATAGAAGGTATAGCAAAAAAGCGCATCAAGTTACATCCTGTTCTACTGATGCTCGGCTATCAGCAAACTACATCTGCTGTTTTCCAGTGACCGTGTACCTCCGTTTACGCCTAGCCGCATGACCTGGTGTCGTTTTCACCGGTTTATACATGGGCGGCGGTTTGATAATAAGCGGGCCCCTGTCCAGCACGACGGTGGGCCGACGCGAACCACGACGCATCACGGACGACTTCCGACGCTGGCGCCCCTTATCCATCACCCTGACCATCAGCCCGGCCATCGGGAGCGACGGCATCCTCTCGCGTGTGTCCACACCTCCCCGGGAGGGTCGCCGCGAACCGTGAGCCATCTCGGCCACCAATTCGTCCACATCACGAACCAGCTTCGGCGTAGCCTCGGGGAAGGCTGAGTTGCCCTGCAGCTGGCAGATGTGGATGTACTCTCGGAGAGCGGCCATGGCGTGCGACCGGGAAAGAGTCTGAGGGAGAGAGGGGAGAGGGTGTGAAAATAAAACCAACAGAAGCCAGATGAGGCGTAAATTAGGTTTTCTGGTACTTTTTTGTGAGATTTGTGATGATTATACCATTAGGGAGAGAAGCCGGCAGTCGGCACGAATAATGCAACATGCGAATGCGATTAGGTAGAGTAGAACTGGAAAATGGTGTTATTTCAATAATTATTTGTGTCATGAGGTCACACAACTCACACCACAGGCCTCGCTCTGAGATGAAGTGGAGCATTTGCGCCATGTTCACAAGGAGACTGAAATGGATTGCAACTGATGGAACAACCGACTTCCGAGACTCGCCATTTCACCTGGTGGTATTTGTTACCGCATTTGGTAGTTCATTCCCAATGCTGCTCACAAAGATTAACAAAGACTAGTTAGGAGGTGCCATGCCAAATTAATGTAATTAGAAATATTACATTTAGTCAACGTTTATACTCCCTGTGATAAGCATTGTGAAAACATGGTATTGGCTATTGCCGTCCTTATGCGTCTCATTTGTAACTTTTTGCAAATAGCATCATCAGCTGAATTACTAAACTGGCACCAACGTCGTGACCTCCACGAGGTTGGTGCCACTGCAGCTTTATCCTTCCTTCAATCCTCCGTAGTCGAAAAAGTGTCGCGGCGGGCCCGCGCCTCCAGAACGCAAAGGAGCGCCTGACTCTAGCCGCGGGCCGGTAGACTAGCCCGCACGACAGCCATGTCATGCGGCACAGTATACCTTCCAGAGCTGCGTGAGCGAGAACTGGAGCGCGCGGTGCCGATAGCCAGTCAGTCTGCTTGTGGTTAGTGACTCAACAGACAACCGTTTAAATTTCCCATGGATGTTCTGACATTGAAAGATGTTCTATTTTGATGCACAAGTATTAAGAGGTGCGACACTTTCTGTTGGCTTCTACGCCCCAAGTTTCAGTGTACTTTACGCACCTCATTCAGTTTCCTGTTGGCCAGTTCGCGCTTCCTCAGCTGCCGTGCCTCCTCCGTCTCTGGGGGTGCCAGACGACGGCCAGCCACCAGCGGGGACCACTTCTGAATCGGGATGTACCAGTCGCCATAGTGCACACGTGGCGGCAGAGGCCGGGCTAGGCCGTGCTGACCTGACCTCCAGATGGGCATGCGTCGACTCAGACCCATCTGCCGCCACTTCTCCCGTAATTCTGGGTAGTAGGTCAGGGATGGGGATCGGCAATAGGCGACCACTGCCATACCCTCCGTCTGGGGGAGAAAATGGTAATGTCATTGGCGAGGTATGCAATTATGCATCAGCAGTCCTACGGCGGTAGTTGAAATGTGACAGGAAACAGGGTCGGGGACCGAAAGTTAGGCGCAAGTGGAATAATTAAAATCCCAACGGTAGCGAGGTACGATGAATACTGGTAGCATGTGCAAATGCCTGAAATATTTGACAAGACTTTAAGGAAATGGACAAGACGGCAAATGGATAACGCCGTTAGGCGTTACGATCAGCTTTGTGCCCACAATATCACAAATAAACAATGATCTTTTATCACCATTATGAAGTAATCGGAACTTGGATGAACGTGATACTTTCGATGAATCCCGTTTCGCGCTATCTTGAAATCGGCCCCCAACAATGTCCTATAGTAAACATTTACGAAAGGTGTAAATAATAAGATTTATAGGCCGTTTCACAAATCTGACTATGAAGGTAATTCACCCAGTGCTAGCAACATATGCCTCAAACAGCGTGCAAATAATGAATTATTGAAGTGATTCTTAAGTATATAGGAAGCGACTTCAGTTGCTTATTTACAAAACTAAATAGTGAGCGATTTCATGTATGCTTCAATCACCATGTTGAAGCGTTATAACGCACTACAGCAAATCCATGAGCGCGGCTGCAAATTCAAAGGGCATGGTGGCCATAAGCCACATCAGTTACGTAACAGCCTACGGCCGAGGCCGACACTTACCTTCCGCCTTGCGTCGGTGGCGGCCATCGGCGCCCCCTGACGAGGCGCCCTCGAGCTCTGTCGACGCTTCCGGGCGTGACCGGGCTGAGTCATACAGACCTCCGGCGGTCGCACCACCAGGTTATTCTCCAGACCGAGTGAGAACAGCTCCTCCAGTCGCTCCTTGCTGACGGTCATGTTACGCCGGCTTCCCAGCGAGGAGAGCCACTCGCAAAACTCCTCTTTGATCTGTCGACGGGGCAGTTGGTGCCAAGAGGTAAACCGTTCAGCTGGAGGAAGTTCGCCATGTGTCATTGAGTCAGGCAGGGGCTGTTCGATAGAACGGGTATGTGGGTGTGTGGCTGACCCCCGGCATCGTTACATGAAATGATTCACTGGAGGCAGGCTGTTGGGCTTCGTTTGCCTAGCTAATGAAATCAAACAAACACGGCCAGTGGTATCCAAGTATGCTGTCCGGCCTGTTTGGAATTGGCGAGTTGTGCCGGGTCATGACTCAGTCTGCCGACGAACAAACAGTCGGAGCCCGCTGACCTTTTCCAGAACGACGCTGGGTCCCTTGGGAAGGTGGGCGCTGTCCTGTCGGGAGCGACGCGTCAGCCGCGACGAGTGCGGCTCGGTCACAGGCGGAGGCGTCGGCTTGGTCTCCTCAGCGCCATCTTTGGCGCGCTGCGCATACTTGTAGTATGGATTGGCCTTGATAGGCTTGCCCTGCTTCGTGAATCTGGAATATACAAAGAACAATGAACAGCATGCTTTGCCTTTGACGCGACATGATCTATGCTATGGCAAACACTTGTCTATTATTCCCAAGTATTTTCTCGGTAAATTAAGTTTGTTTTGTATTTTGTAGACCCAACAGTGACATAGAAAATTTACCACGTCACGATGCGTCACCCACGACTGGTTCATCATTTTTTTTCTTCAATAAGTTAAATCGTATGGGAAGTAGACGGCAAGATGGTAAGTAGACTCCACTCTCCAGGGATCCAGGCAGGGAACAAACTAGAACATACGCACCCGAGATGGGCTCCCTCATCCTGCTCCTCTGGGTGCATTAGACGTCTGATGGCCGCCTTCTGCTTGTCATTGATGTGGATATTACCGTCCTCTGCCACAATATACTCGGTATCGGTCGCCACCGATGTTCCGGAGCGACTGGTAGGGTCACCGGCAGCGCCATTTTGGTCCGGGGACGAGGTCCTAGAGGCAGCTTCTTTCGGTAGTTCTTGTTCATCCCGAGAGTCGTTAGCCGTGTCCCTAGAGGAGCCTCTGGTTGAGTGGTTGGAGGATCCCTTTGAATCGTGAGGGCTGCCCGGTCCCTCGGGTTTTGCTGTTTGCTGAGGACCATGCTCATTGTCTAACCCGTCACCAGAACGTTCAGTTTGAGATGAAGCTTTGCTAGCAGTCGCCTCTGGTACCGTAGAAACCGATTCTTGATTTCCACTTGTTGGTTTGGTCTGGTCATCAGTTGTTTCTTCTGGTGGCGATTGCGGAGCATCGAATTTCACAGATTGTGTTCGTGGAGGCGTTGACGGGTTTTGTTGGGATTGCGGTTGTTCATCCTTGTTTGCTGATTCGTCACCCATTTTGAGAGTAAAATTGTCATGATCATTGTAATTGTAAAACAGCCATCATATCCATTGCGGAAAGAATTGATTTTGAAATAACAAATACCTTCACTTACTTTAGCCAGGGTAAACGACCAGCAACGAAATTTTGTTAACCTAGCCTAACACCTAACCTAACAATGAAATCTGGTGAGGCGGTCGCTTAGCCCATGCCCAGTTTAGAAATAACTGTTTTCAAATAAGCTAGGAGATATGCATGCTTAGCTTCATGAACAAAAGTGATTGATAATGTTCACTTGAATTTATTTCTTAGCTCTTGCGTTATTCCAGCACATACCTTCAGTTATAATTTTCGATGCTGGAAAATAAATGTTACCTTGCTTTTTATATGTTTTACACATATGAAGACAAAGTAATGAGAAAGCATAAAGCGAAACGTTTATTTAAACACTTTTGCGAATGAGCTGCCGACCATGCTATCGGACTCACTTGGCATAATAAATTCTTCCCTTGGGTGTGGCCCGGTGAATGACCCTGGCCCGACGCTCGTCCGAGTCCGCGTCGGCAATGGCTGCTGTCACGATACTCCATTCCTCCTCGTCGGTAGAGGCTGCCATACCCTTAGCGCCTGAACTGCAACAAAATTACTCTCAGGTCACGGGGAGGGCGAGGAAAAGTGAATATTCGGCTTACATACTATGAGTTGACTAATGAATGATGAAGGCCTTCGAGTGTACCTTACAAATACTATGACAAATAATACGGCTGCTATCATAAAAAAGTAACAAATGCATGGAAAATGTGCAGGCATATCGGCAGGCATTGTTTCAACCAATAAATTCATACTATTATTATCTTCAATTTCACATTCCAAAAAAAAGCGATCGGCAGCAAATGTTTGGTTTAGCGTCCCAAACTTACCCATTTGCATTTTCCAATTCCTTTTGCACCAGCTCGTACAGAAGATCCCTGCTCTCTTCGCGTTCTTGCTGTTCGACCACTTCCTGTTCTTTCTGCTGAACAGCCTCAGTTCCAAATGTCGTCAATAGGCGGCGCCATCCCTGACGCTCCTGCTCCGATGGAAGGAACAGCCAGAGCTTTCGGTTGAACACCACAGACAGACCGACCGGGTCTTTTCGTCGGGCCGAGCCGAGACGCCGTCGATATCTGGAGTCACCGGGTCACAGCAGGGCCATGAAGGTCACGACAAATATAGTCAGCTTGAGAGGTCCCAACAGGGTCACAGAAGGGTCGGGGTCACGGCAAGGTCACAGCAGGACTATAGACAGAGGTCACATCCGGGTCAGAGCAGATCTTGAGTCGATACTTAGCTGCTACTTGATAAATAGCAGCAGGCTATGAAGGGCCACAGGGCATGTCGACGCCAGAAGGTGCGGGTGGCGGATTGGATACGTCAATTCAAGACAAGCTAGGTATATAGCTTCAAACAAGCTATGAAAGGTATACCGGATATTGAGTAAATCGTTTGAAGTCTCTTATGCCTAGGAGCGAAAGTCTTATTTATCACGCCTTACGAAACAGGATATGCCTACACTAAGGCTTACTTACAGCTCGTAGGTTGTCATGAAGGCCACTTTGCCAAGACTTGTCCAAACGTTCGTACTGAACTGTTTGGAACTCAAAGTCACTATCGATCAAACTAGAATGAGAACCAGCGCGACGAGCACTGCCGCCGGCCGCCCGGGTCCCGAAGCTTTGGTTGGGGCCTTGTGGGTAGGTGACGCTGTGGTCGGCGAATTCTGCTCGTGTATTTACGTCGAGATCCATTGTGGGAACTGTCGCTTCTTACGGATTGAGTAGAGAGCACCATAGGTGGGCATCGTTAATCAAAAAGTCAGTTTCGTTAATCGTTAATCCGTTAACTAAAAAGATAGTTCCGTTAAACGATAATCCGTTAATTCACAACAAAAGTAACGGAAGTTACTTAAGTCCGTTAATCGTTAACATTTTACACGGTAATAAACAATATGAAAATGCTTGTGCATTTTTCTGAGGACAGCTCGACCAACCTACGCTAACGGCTAGGCGCCACTCACTTGTCGTAGCGCGGTTCTGCTCTCGAAGACCTGCCAACAATTGCACCTGCTCGGTGACGGCATGGATAAGATATACCTATTTATAGATATAATACATGGTGATGATATGTGTGATGCGAGTTGCGACCGATTTCAACCTGCGTTACCGACGATTCAGCTCGCCTGACAAACAGCTCTACCCTTTCTCTCCGCCTCTCAGCCAGGCAGCGTTCGAATGACAGGCGTGTGCATCACAATTTGCAACGTATATTGCCGCAACACACTGAATACCAGAGATGAGGCGCACACAAACAGCTAAAGGGCGCACTCAAGTAACTTGTGTTCTTCGCCGCCTTCGCCGCATGAAGGTTTCACACACACACCAGTAACTTTACAGTAAACTTTTTGCTTAGAAATAAAAGTAATGATTAACGGATTAACGGACTAAATTTTAACGATTAACGGAGCCGAAAAGTAACGGAACTAAAGCGGTCCGTTACACGTGGAAAAAATTAGCGAGTCCGTTAATCGTTAACCCAAAATTTAGTTCCGTTAATTAACGGATTAGCGATTTAACGGACTTGCCCACCTATGGAGAGCACAAAGCATCGGTAAAAACCCTAGATGACCTCACATTACTTGCCTACGATTCTTCTCATACATGTTTATCTACAAGACGTGCATATCCTAAAAAATTCATACCCCGTTCAAGCTCGGGCGACCACCATTATTCGACGCAAGTAGCTCCCATCGGAGCAGGCTCCCGAGCGGAAGAGTGGACGTTTGAGTGACTAGGAGGTTTGTTAATTAGAAAAATTATGCTGACCGCCAAGACCAATTTCCATCTAATTTATGATATCCCACAGCCCTAGGAAATAGCCCAATCAAACCGAAAGCACATAACCCCGCACAATAAAACAGAGCATTTGAAAGAAACACATAATGCTATCTCATCTGATAAAATGTGTCTATGTGAGTAAGTGACCACCTGGCTGGCTTGAATTAGATACATAGATCATGTCAACGCCTTATAACCTAAAAACTTAACACGCTCCCACTTCCCAGTAAGTTCCCTCACTCTCATATAACACCTCAATAAGCCACCACCGCATCCCTTCGTTCACCTCCCCTTCCTAACCGGTCCGGGCTGCACCCTCCCCTCCCTTCCCCTCCCCTCCCCAGGACCGGCAGCCGTCACCCCGACTGAAGGCCGCAAAGTCATCTAGCGGGCTGATTTCACGCTGGCTGATCGTCGATGATGAAGTGAGCGCGGCCGCCGACCGTCGCCTAAACGGACCCAGGGGAATCGGGACACGAGTGCGCGACCGCTGTCGGAAGACAATGCGGGCGGCTGGGGCCGACGGAAGTGGTTAGAACGGAAGTTTTCCGTCTGATCAGTGCCGATGTGTCGGTCCCTAATTAGAGATGTCAATCGGATACCAACTTTTTGGTATACCAATACCAAACCGATACCAATTTGGTATTTGGTATTTCAATCCTAATGTGTTTGGTGTTTTGTTGGTATTATGAACCCTCACTAATGTATAAGAGGCTAAGAAATTGGTAAAAATTTGGTATTTCCCTCATCTTTCAAAGTTGGTTCGGTTTCGGTATTTCCCAACGGTTATGGTTGGTATTTGGTTTGGTATCGGTATTCCGATTTTCTATAATTGACATCACTATCCCTAATGACTGGGGTAATTGAGCATCCGTAATTATTTGTTCTATATTTTATTAACTATCCGCAACAAAAGTCCGAATTTTGTATTGCTGCGTCGTACTTTTTTATTTAACGTAACAATGATATTCTGCTGTCTTCTAAGTTACGTCCAAATTTAATTGAAACAAATAAATTGAAATCTTAACCATGCTTTTAACCCATGCATGATTGGGGTATTTTCCATAACGCGAGTGACGGGGGGGGGGCTCTCCAGAGCCCCCTCCTATCTCCGAAACTACTGAGCCGATCGTCAAAATTCAAACGGTGTCTGATATTCCTGGAAAAACTGTCGAGCGAAACCTAATTTTATTGACCTGTAGGTCACTGGTGACGTTACAGGTCAGTTCAAAGTAAAAATTATCTACGTTTTGGCTTCAAGTCGTTGGATATAAGCAATGCCATGTTTGAGCATCGTTAGTAATATCATTATGATGAAAAATAACCTTATACTCATGATATAAAATGATTAAGTTGAATTGAAGTAAGACCAACAAAATTATTGATATATTTTGACTTGCGTCGTCTCCGCGGAATGTGAAGACGATTACGACGCAAGTCGAAATGTATCAATAATTTTTTTGGTCTTATTTCAACTCAACTTAATCATATTATAGCATGAGCATACGGTCATTTTCATCATAATAACTAACGTTTTGGCTTGTTCACAATTCCGGCTCTGGCCGTCGGCTAGCAGGTCCCATCAGGCTCATTTTTGGTTTACACACTCGTGACTATAGACTTAATAATAACATACCCCGAGGGCACCGAACTTGTGCTCCGAATTTTTCAGATTAGTGCCAGGTCATCTAAGTCACAAAATTGTATATGATGCATCGTTCACGTGACACATGCTGCATAATCCATTTAGGCCATAGATTTCGAAATCATTACCGTCTGTGTTATTCGAGGCCATTTTCAGCTGAGTGTTGCTAAGGTCAGGTCACTTTCAAGTCAAAAATGGTCAAACTTTGAAGTTGAAGTTTTTCAACAAAAAAGGTGTTCATGTGTCGCATGCGGTTTGAGCTCAGAAACACGATGGTTTATTTATTTTGGTGAACGATGTCAAAACATACTGAAAAAGAGTTTGAATTTCTGATGATGGTGAAATGTTAAGCACAAAGCGTATAACTTAGCTATCTTTGAAGATATCGGGCAAAACGTTCTGGAGTAGACCATCGGTATGTGCTCTGTCACTTGTAATCCTTTTTTTTAGTAAAAAAAAACTTAAAGGGAAGACAATTTAAAAATATACCTATTTAATTCTATTTATATAACTTTCAAACTTTCCAGAAATTTTGAAAATCCGAAAGAGCAGTTTGAAAGTTCTGTGCAGTTTTAGTCCTCTAATGCAAATACATTGGATCTCGCAAGCTGAGCTTTTGAGAGAGATTTCGTAGCTCAATGCTTTTCATCAAAATCGGCCGAACATGCCGTCACTCTGACGTCATTTTGGTATGGTAGCTACGACATTTTTATTCAGATACAAAATGTACAATTGACGCAGCCGAGGGTACTGAAACTTTAGTGTTGGTGTTAGT